ACCTCGCCTGCGCTGTCCCGGGGATCCTCCACGCGGAGAAGAGTCCAAGGCAGGTCGACGCGGCGCACAGCCTCGAGAGCTTCCGCGTCAACGCGGTGGGGCCGCTGCTGCTCATCAAGCACTTCTCCGAGTTCCTCCCCAGGCGGGCGACCCAGATGAGGCTTCAGGAGGAGGAGGAGGAGGAGGAGGAGGGGGAGGCCCTGGCGCGCCACGCCGTCTGGCTGAGCATGTCCGCCCGCGTCGGGTCCGTGGCGGACAACAGGCTGGGCGGGTGGTACTCGTACCGGGCGAGCAAGTCGGCCGTGATGAGCCTGACCAAGACGTTCGACAACTTCCTGCAGGCCCGGAGCGGCGACCAGGCCGTGGCGGTCGCGTACCACCCGGGGACGGTCAGGACGGACTTTAGCCGCGAGTACTGGGACGGCGTCGAGGAGGGGAAACTGTTCAGCCCCGAGTATGCCACCGAAAGGATGGTGAGCGTGCTGAGCGGGTTGGAGCTGGGGCAGAGGGGGAGATGCTGGGACTGGAAGAATGAGGAGGTGCCGCCTTAGCAAACGATGCTGGCGAATAAGGAATACATATTTGAAAGGAGTTCCCTTTAGTTATACAGCTCAAAGGTTCGGAAATTTCAGTGGCTTCATATAGGCAGGCTATATTAAATAGAAGAAGTAGAAGTAGAAGCAAGTAAAAGAAACCAAAAGCCTACCGGCCGCAGAAGGCCCTGGACGCAGCTGTGCAAAAACTCCCAATAGATAGAAAAGGGTCACGGAACGCCTCGCCCCTCCCGACCCGTTCTAGTTTTGGTAAAAAATACATTTGAGGCGCTTTACAGAGCAACGTCCTGGAATGAAGCGCCGTCGGGGGTGGGCGACTTTATCGCTTGGTCCCCGGCGTTGCTGGCCTCGCCCTCCTCTTCATCGTTGCTGTCATCCTTCTTGGGGCGCAGAGCAACCTTGTGTCCCTCCATCTCTTCAAGCCGCACCTTCTGCTCGTCCTGGTCCCTCGCGGCCAGAGCCTTTTGCTCTTCTTCGGGCAGGGACTTTGGCTCCTGCTCGTCCTCCTCGGCCGGTGCGCCCGTTGCCTCATCATCTTCGTCGTCCTTCGTCGGGGGCAGGGGCTTCTCCTCTTCCTCCGCGTGTCCCTGGCTTGCCTCTGGCCGCGCGCCGTTGCCCGGCGCCGTGCTATCCCGGGGGAGCGGCTGTTGCGCCGGTGTTCCCGGAGCTGAGGGTGAGTCGTCCACTGGGGGGCCGGGCCTCATTGCATCCAGGTAGAACTTGGTCACTCCCAGGATCCGGCCGTTCTTCTCGCAGGCCTCGACCCATTCCGGTCGGACAACAGGAATGTTCGTCTCGACGGCCTTTTCCCAGGCCTGGCCTCGGCCCTCTGTCGTTACAAAGTGAGTCGTGTCGATCCGTACGCCGTCCACAATCTTGGCCCCAATCCTATTCACAGCTTGGCCAAGCCTCTCTCTGGTGGCAGGCGGCAGGATGCCAGTTGTGATTGTGACACCGCTCAGGTCTGTCATTTTGTGTGTTCGCACCGTTACTCTCTCGCTGCCGAAAGTTCCCGCGGTCGTCCTCAGGACCAAGTGGAAAGTGTACTCGGTGTCGACCGCCAAACCGCTGATCTTGGTGCTGTGCATCTCCAGCGGGCGCGGGATGTTTCCAGCTTTCTGGCCATTGCGATACAGGCTCAGGGAGATCAGGTCGGCGGTGGCTAGCTGGATGGGGTCCCACTCGAGGACGACAGAGGTTTGTGTGGCATTGCGGCAGCTGAGGACGGGCGTGGCGGGCTCTTGGGCGCCGAAGGAGTCGTAGATCTGGTCCTGGAGCGCGCGGAAGCTTTGCTGGGCGGTTGCCTCCTTGGCAATATTCTGGGAGACATTGATGTCGACGATACTGCCCGATGAGATGTCAGGGGGGAGGAGAATGGATGGGAACTCGATCTTAGGGAGTATCAGCATTTAATTCTGGCGAAGATTGGAAAGGGGGGTTGTGAACAATGCTGGAGGACGTACTAGGCGCTTGTCCGGCGTCAACAGGACGGTGACGCCAGCGTCGACCTTGCCGACGGTAAGAGATACAAGCATTGTCGCGGGTGCGCAGGGTCTGGAGGCAATGCTCGATACAGTTGTCGACAGAGAAGCTCGATAATTGTGTGCGCAAAGGCTGGAGCAGAGAACGATGATTTCCAGATGGAACACGCTGCGTGGCCTATTATTAGACTAGGCGTTGGCGATTACTGCCTGTTTCCGCTCCTTTGCCGCAGTAGTAGCTTATCAGCCACAGCCTTAGGGGGAGCTCTTGTGCTGTTGCGGCTCAGCTACCAGGGCAGTCACGTGCCCAAGCTACATGCGACACATCGTGCACTTTATGCACTGGCAATGGCATATGATCGTGGTTATTGTAAGCGCAAATGTTCTGTCCAAGTTGGTGCTCCATCGCAAACCGCCTGGTCCCTCCTGCGCAGGTTCCATGCATCTCATTGGATTTCTTTGTGTAAGTGCTTGTTATCCAATTTATGCGTTGAGCTGCACAACCTTAGTGCTCTCCCCACTAGGCGAAATCTTGGCAAGGCCGATATAGAGGCATGTCATCAACTGTGGCATTTGCCTGGCATTGGAGCTTGTAAGTGTAGTGTGACTAAGAGACTCAGACGGGTCATAATATATAGTATTAGAGGAAAGAACTCCTCAATCCCATAATCAAAGCGAAATTTAGAGAGGGTAGACATCCAGGAGCCTGCATTTAATAACTTTGGTTTCACAAGAAGAATCCAAAAAGCTTCTCCTCTATTCGCATGCTGTACAACGTTCGTCCATGATTTATTTAACCCCACCATTTGAGCTCACTATTCACGACAGATTCCCCCCGCACCATCTCTCTTGCTTCTCGGGAAATGAACAACGTCTGGTAGAAAAATAGCTTAATATAAACCATCTTGGTGTTTGCTTAGTGCGAAATGATTTTGGCTTCGTTGGCGCCCCGAGGCGTCATGATATCGATACACGGCACCAACAGTCACTGGATTCTCAATTGTAACCTTTGCACCGGTATGTCATTTACTTCAACTACCAATGCACCCTATTGGCATTCCATGCACCCGAGATTGTAGTAGAACCGGCCGGAAAGACACAAGAACCGCAGACTCCCTCTCCCGCAAAAATTTTGGATTCATCAAAGACAACCGCTTAGCGGGTAGCCTTGGCGATCTTGGGGGCAGCCCCCTTAGCACCCTGCTTGCTGACCTGTCCTCGTGCGGCCGAGCCCTTGGCGGCAGCGGCGCTCTTGGCCTTCTCAGCCTTCTTGGCGGCGGCGCTGGCGGCCTTCTTCTCCTTGCTCTCCTTGATGGCGGCGGCGCGAGCGGCGTTGCGGGCCTCGGGGCGCTGGGAGCGCTTCTCCTTGATCACATCGAGGGAAGCACCGACGATGCCACGCTGGGCCTTGACGGTGCGGCGGGTTCGCTTCTTGGCAACCTCCTGTATCTGGTGTCAGTCGTGTTCGCCATCACACAGAGGCAAGAGCTCTGCCATCTCCTCCCGAAGCACAGGAAGCCCCCGGGGTAGGGATGCATTGGCAAACTCTCGGGTTGGGGGTTGCTAGGGGCGCTTTAATCGTACCTCAGAGATACCCTTGCGGTGCTGGCGGCGGTAAAGGACAGTCCAGGCGATGCGGCGGGGGTTCTTTCTTTGCAGGAAGAGAGACTCGGACTTGCCGTTCTGGAATCGGAAGACCTTGCTGTCGCCACGGACGTAGATTTTACCCTGAGAGACAATCACCAGTCAGCTTCTGCAATCAATACACTAGACGTTTCCACGGGGCTCTGGTCAAGCGAGCTTGTCTGTCCCATGCTGGCCGAGGTTTTATATCCCAAGACATCCAGGTCAGGGTCGAGGGTCGCAGTTCGCCGGACGGCAATGACCAGAGATTGGGAAAATCGAGAGGATCGAGAGCGTACCTTGCCAGGGTAAATTCTGACGCCGGAGAATGAGTCGTCGTAAGTTCGCATCTTGTCGCAGTTGTCGGATTATCGGCGACAAAACGTATGTGGTGGACCGGAAATTTGGCGATGTCGAGAAGTTGCAGGTCGCGATACGCTCAATTTTCTGGAATTGGGTGGTGTGTGGTACTGACTAAGCGGCTAGGGCAACGGGGCCGCTAAGTGCTTCATGACTGGCCCTTCACGTGATCGCGGCATCTCGACCCACCCCGTACCCTCACTCGGGAGCTGGTAACCTCCTATGACCGCATTGAGTAATTATAAGATGGCCAAGTTCCTTTCACACACACTTGCAAGGGCGAGGGAGGACGTTTCCCGGCGCAAGTTGTAAATATATAGCCAATAAATGGCTTCACGGGCAAATCGCATTGCGCTTGCGGTCCTCAATGAGTTCAACAAGCTCCCCGCGAAGCGCAAACCGCTGGTTCGAGATAACGGGATGCATGAATGGGTGCCTCTCAGTGGCATAGTTGCAGAAAAGGACGGGAACTTTCAATGCTTAGCCTTGGCGTAAGACTGACATCTCATACGCTTGTCTCTCCATCCCTGTTCTAAATATCTTGTTGTAGGACTGGTATGAAATGTCTTCCCACCACCAAGTTGTCTGCTTCCCACGGCGTTGGTATACATGATTGGCATGCGGAAGTTTTGGCTATCAGGACCTTCAATCGCTTTCTCCTAGATGAATGCCACAGCTTGACAAGTGGTGAAAGTCAAACGAAGTACATCTCTCCAATACGTTGCAGTCCACTTTCAACAGGAGAACATGGGAATCAGTTGCCATTTGCCATTGATCCCGATGTCAAGCTTCACATGTACTGCTCGGAAGCTCCTTGTAAGCAAACCTATTCTAGAATAAGAGATGCCACCGAAGATGCTCACCCTTGCAGGTGGCGACGCTAGTATGGAGCTCACAATGGCTGCGCAGGAGATCGCAACACCCTGGGATGTGCCGGACGCCGTAGAATGCGCAGGCTCCCATGATCCGACTGGCTCTCTCCCTGGAAGAGCATACTTTTCACAGCTGGGTATTGTGCGCAGGAAACCTGCCCGCGGGGATGCTCCTCCAACCCTCTCGAAATCCTGTTCTGATAAAATCTCGCTCAAACAATGCACCTCACTACTCTCGAGCATCACATCACTATTCATAGACCCTCCAAATGCCTACATAGACACGATGGTTCTACCTCAGTCTCAATTTTCTGAGAGTGGCTGTCGACGTGCATTCTCAAGGCATGGCCGGATGAAAGCTCTTGACGGGACACATTGGCCTGGGGGCTACTCCTTTAAACCGTTCAAAATCGAGACAACAGAGCTCGAATTTGCATTCTCGAAGAAAACCGTCTCCGAGAAATCTGGCAAAGTATCAGCCAGCAACTTGGCTGCAGCCTGGTCACTATCTGGAGTAGAAGAGACCATCATCGGGGGTGTCATTCAAGGCAGAAAGCCCTTTGATGCCCGTGGTGCCAGCCAGATGTCTCGCAGGGAAATGTGGCTCAAGGCTAGGTCCCTGGCTTCCAACCTTGAAGCAGGCCATGCATCCATAAATCAAACGCTCCAATTCTCCACCTACCGAGAGGTCAAAGAATCTCCCTTGCTAGCGGTAAGAAGAAAGGTGAAACAAGACGTTCAGATCAAAGCCTTGACAGGCTGGCAGAAAAACGATGGCGACTCAGACTTCACCATCAACCAGATACAATAACGTTTGGGGAACAACATCAGAAATTGGTATTTTTTCCGGATGCAAGCCGTACCTAGTACAAACCCAAAAATAATCAAGCCAGCCCGAAGAGTGTCAACCCTTTTTTACTGTGACATTTTGCAGACCATGACCATTTGCTATGACTCCAAGTGCACCATTGGAAACCCTCAGGATTACTGCAAGGGGCAATGATTCCAAATCCTCCATCACGCCTGTGCGCACAGAACATGGCAAGGGGATTTTACTTGAGTCGGCAGAAGCTAATTCCCACCCTGCCCTCCTTTTGGAGTCAACGACATTTATTCGACCTTGCTCTCGAAGTTCTCGCCCTCTACCAGGTCGGGGATGTCGTCCTCATCATCGCCCTTCTCACCCTTCTGCATGTTCTGGTAGCTCTCGGCGAGCTTTCGGAGGGAAGCGAGAGAGTCGGGGCCGAGCTGGTTAAGAATGCCGGGAACAAGCTCCGTGAGCTCCTTGTCCTCGCCGTTTCCGTAGATGGCGAAGGTGTTATGGGGGACAGCGGCATGAACTGAGGAAGCACGAGTTAGCAATTTCGATCACACCATCAATCCAAGAAAAAAACGCAGGGCTCCTGTCATTACCCTTGGGGGCAGCGAAGTGGATAACGTTGCCGTCGGACTTGAACATGTTAACCTCCTCGATAGCCTGGATGGGCTGGGTGCCCAGCTTCTTCAGGGCAGCCTGGAGCTTCTTGTCGTCGGCGCCGGAGCGGGCGGGCGCACGCTTGACCTTGCGGCGGGGGGTACCCTTTCCACTATTCAACCATGTTAGACGTAGGACTGCACGCGGAATATAACTTCGAAGGTCGCGATAGAAACATACCCTATGCGACAGGTCAGTACACTCTCAAATCACAACAGATATTCTCCGATTTCCAGCATACCGATTCGGGCACCCTGGCCGAGCTTCTTGAGGCGCTCCTGAACGTCCGCCATGTTGGGCTGATGGAGGGGGATGTGAGGGTTGCGGGGTGGGAGACAAAAACTAGACGGGAGATAGTCAGCTCAGTGAGCAAAATTGAGAGTCGCTTCGGGGACGATTTTGGCTCGTTGCGACATGAATCCTGCGTTTCGCAGCACAAAACTTACAGATACAATGGAGTTGCTTATAAAGCTGTTCCTTCTCCGTCAGTTGAAGTTGGCGATGGTGGTGGTTCAAAGTCGATTTTGTGCGTGCCAAGACTTCCGGCACTAGGAACATATGTTTTACCGAGAGGGTGCGGCGCCCGCTTGGAAAGTCGCATGTGGGGGATTACATAATCTTCTCTCTCCAATTGAAGATAGCATCGACGTAATTTACTGTAGAACTTGGCGGGGCCTGTGAGCCAGAAGGTACAGCAATTCTCATTTGAAAATAGGCCATGGCTGCTATCTCGCAACAGAAAATTGAATAATTGGCTCCGTAGATCGGTTAAGTCTATCTTTCGAAAATAGATCGTGTTGTGTACCTCGTTATCGCATACTCCCATCGGGGCACTTCTTTCTATCAACTTCAGAAATATTAAATTAGCAAGAGCAGATACGAATTGATTCCGAGCAGAATACGTATTGTCTCATTATCGTTTCAATGATTAAGTATAAACAGACATTTTGTTTGACCTTGACCAACCCTTTCGACTATAGGGTCCAAATCGTACATCTTATAATACATGATACAAAGGTGATTGGTGGAGTGAGACGAAACGCCTGAGAACTTGACCAATTATACCCTTCGAACGCACATCAATCATCTCGACAATCCAGTTTCTTTTCTCATTTCTTCCCGTCTCGCCTCAAGCTCCTGCTCCTTAGCCTTGGCACTGTCTCTGATATCTTTCCTCCTCTTCTCTTCCCGCTCTCTATCCTCTCTTTCCCTTGCCTCTTTTGCGACTACCCAGACTAATTTTCAGTTAGCATGATTTCCTCGAAAGAATTGCAGAAGCACCAGTATCCGTACTCGGCTTATCCGACTTGGAATATTCCTTCAACTTAGTCACAAAGTCGTCAAACTCTTGCTCCCGCTGTGCTCGGTTTTCCTCGCTTCTCCGGCGCAGATCCGGGTTATATCTCTTTCGGATTTCTTCCTCGGTCGGAGTTACATATGCCGTGAGCATTGGGCCACCAACACCAAAGGTAACGCCACTGTTGGTTCACTTCGTTAGCTGCTGGGAGGCATCTGGACCGAAATGGCATCTCCCACTTACGCAATGGCGACCTTGGTCCACATCCTCCAGTTGAACGGTTTCTTTGGCATCTTGTCACGCGCGGAGCTCGAATCGGGAGGATGATACGGCAGGGGAGGATGCGACTTGAATGACGTTGATGTCGCCAATCTCAAGGCGACGGCAAGCCGATTTGTTCTGGCATGCCGGCAGTATTTTTAGCGGGCGGTCAAAGCTTCCTGCCTTAAAAAGCAGTGTGTGGCTTGCCTATTGCTGCGCCATACTACATGTACGACGTCTTACTTTACCTAAGGCATGTGGGGAAAAAGAGCTTCCCATTTATGGTAAACACGGCACATGCTGCCATCTGCCAATCTACCTAGTGCGGCGTGCCGACCTAACTTTAGACTTCTTAGTATTATGTGTTACTATCCTCCGTGCTGCTGCTGAGATTATTCAGGCGATGGCCAAGCCTCTCTGATTCTTGGCTTGACTTAAGTGGTAGTATTAATAACACATCTTACCTCATATCCATAGCGAGGGAGAAAACATACGTCCAAACCTTGCAGGGCGTCCTCCCAGCTGCCAGACACGCGACGTTCCATACGGCTATTCTGATCTAAGTCTATCAGTGCACCTTAACCTTATTCCCGGACGGTTCAGTAGGGCGGGAGACAGGCTGGAGAAGCACGGCAAAAGGAGACGGAAGAGCCACCTATTGATCATTCCCATCATCCTGGGTGCTATCCGGTTGTCCTAAAATATTAATAAGATCTAATCGGGCTATAAACAGGCCCGGATGTGTACGTCAGCTCCAGGCGCTAACGGGATAGAGGCTGTGGTGCTACAGATCATCAGGCACGGCGCAACGTGCCGTAGGGAAATATGCATTGACTGGCTGGGACGGCGCAGGGTTTCTCGCATTTTTGCAGCTTCACCGGCGGGGGCTGGAGACACTCGTCAGACACTCGCCAATCACACGGCCTAGCCCCCTGGGCCCTCTCGGAAGCTTCTCGAGTCTGAGTTCTCGCAGGGATAACGCCAGGGTCCCGCCTTAGACATTCTGGCCGTTGGCCTGTCACTTGGTGGGCATTAACTGGCCGTTTGAGCCCAACAGGCAAGTGTTAATTTACACTCTGGTCCTGGGACGGGCCATCCTGGATCGCGTGCCAACACAGATCCAGATTGTGACCTGTCCTTTGTCTACCTTCCCCTTTTTGTTTTGCTTTGGGTTTTAATTTCTTGTTCCGTGGTCGCTTGACAACGCGCTCCCCTTCCAGCTGGACTGTCTGGGAACCCGTGCCGCTTGTCTCATGACTTTCCTGCTGCGTGCCCCAATTCGAGCTTTGAAACTTGAGAAGTGACCGCTGCTGCATCCTGTAAGTTTGCTTACCACCGTCATACTCCGTCCATGCCATGGAATGGCACAGCGCCCAGAGTGCACGGTGTGCTGGCCCTGCTCCCGACCGACTGTGACCCAATAATTACCTGCCCTCCGACCCATGCACCTCACCTAGATCTCTAATTAGAATCCTACCTTGCCTTGCCTTGCCTTGCGCTGCTGCATTATTACTACCGCCCTCATCCCTCCCAACGATTGCGCTGCCTTTTCCTTTCGAGAATTCTAGCGCCACTGCCCACGCTTCCCCTTCCCAGTTTTGGATCTAGACTGGTCGAAACACGGACAAGCTAATCATCGGCGTTTAGCCCTCCGCAGCCGCTTAGAAGATCACCCCAGGATTGCCACCATCTGTGACGGCCTGTACCCTTCCCCGCTGTCCGCAGTCTTCGGACCTTCGCACACGACCAGCGCTGCAACGAGCCCAGAGATGCGCCAGTAGCTCTCGAGCCGCGCTCCTGCGACATCGAAGAGCATCCTGCATCGCAAACACTAACTCCCTCCCACCTGGACATGGGAGCCTCGGCACTGTCTTCTCCTCGGTAGCATCTCCGGTATCTGACTCAATCTAGCGATTCAGCTCGCTTCTCTCTTCGATTTCTCCTCTGCCCATCGTACAAACGCCAGTCATGGCGTACGATGGGGGACACATGAACCAGCGGCCATATAATGGTCAGGTTCACCGAGGAGGGGGCTACGGCGGCCTGCCACCACCCCAACAACAACATGCCCAACAATATGGGGGCTCACAACGACAATACGATAACTCCTACGATGGATATGGCCAGGACGACTACTATAATCAGCATGAGGGAGGCTATGCCGACGGGTATGGCCAGGGATATGATAATGATCAGTATCAAGGTCACGGGTACTCGCAACACTCCCAGCAGCACTATCCACAAGATGGCCATGGCCAAGGTGATGGGCGGCAACCCTCTCGCGGAGGATATGGTGGGATGGGATACGGCCGCGGTGGAAGGGGGCCCGCACCAAGGCAGGGTGGTCATCCATCAGACGTCCCCCAGTCCTATTCAGACCCAAACCGTAGGTTTCCATACCGCCACACATCCTATGACCCAGTCTAACAATCTTGCAGTTGGTCGTCCAAACGAACAACGAACAGGCCCTCGAAATGGAAACTATAACGGTGACTATCAAGATCGCCAATTGGCTGACCAAATGTATGGTATGGATATTAACGATCCCAATGGGTACCAACAGAGGATGCCTCCCGGACCAGGACCAGGATCAAGAGGTAGTAGCGGAAGCCAAAGGAGTCATGGAGAGTATGGAAGGCAAATACCTAGAGGTCAATCGGCTCAAGGGTATTCCAACGGCCGAGGATATGCTGAGCTAAATGGTTATGGGCATGACAACCGCCAGGATCAAGGACGACAGAACCATGAATTCGGGCCTCCTGGGCGCAGTATGACGACACCCATTAACGGAAGCCATGCCATGGGCCAGCCACAACGCAAGAACACGAACCCCTATGATCATATGGCTGGCCAAGGCGTTCCAGCCCGACCAGCGACAGCTGCTGGTAGCAGACCACAACGATCATTCACTGGGGGTTCTAGGGAACAGCATGATGCCTTCCCAAGTCGCTTCGACGATGGCCATGGCTACGGACAACAGTCCAACGGACAAGGTCCAAACTTCAACCAAGGCCACGGTCAAGGATCCGGTCCATACTCCGGGCATGATCGCACAAGCCTCCCTGATTTCGATGCAATTCCACAGAACGCCCGAGGATCATTTGACGACTTTATCCAATCAAGCCCGGAGCAACGTCAACCTGGTGCTCACCAAACAGCTCAATTGAGTCATGCCAAGTCCCAGCCTGATTTACGCCAGCCTCAAGCTGCTGTCTTCGAGATGGCCCCTGATGCTCCCTCTGTGCCACCCATGCCCAGTATGAACAACTTCCCACCACGAAAGGACTCGAGTTACAGTGAGCCAAGGAACTACAACCATCCTCCTCGGGGGGCATCCCGAACTCCAGCTCCCGGTCAGGCAAACGCTCCCTCGTTGATGCGACCAGGAGGTCCTATGCCACCAGTTCCGCCGGCCGCCAGCACAAACCCGGACGCGCTTCCTTCACACCCGACTCCAGTACGCGCTGGACTGATGGAAAATTCTATGGTCAATATGAACAACAGACCACCTCCTGTACGCAACTACGGCGGCGTCCAACAACCGCAGCCACCGAAGCAAAACCACCATCCAGCACCTCAACGACAACAAGGCCCACCGGCTCCCAAGAGAGCTTCACTAACAAAGCCACAAGATCCTCCTGTGACTCCGCAAGAGCTCGAACACCTTCGAATGGTAATCAAGAACAACTCGAATGATCAGGCGTCAGCCTTGCGTCTAGCCAAAAGGCTTATTGAAGCCTCTGATGTTCTTGTTGCATCCATGCCCGATCCCAAAGCCAGGGGGAAAGCTCGAGAAAGGTATATCATGGACGCACACAAAATATTGAAGAAGTTGTGCAATGCCGGGAACACTGACGCTATGTTCGTAATGGCCGACGGTCTTGGGCGCGGACTCTTCGGTGGCGGCGATCACGACACTAAGGAAGCCTTTACATTGTATCAGTCGGCGGCCAAGGCTGGCCATGCCGCCGCCGCTTATCGAACAGCGGTATGTTGCGAGATTGGCAGCGAGGAAGGTGGCGGAACTCGGAAGGACCCGATGAAAGCAATCCAATGGTACAAGCGTGCTGCAGCTCTGGGCGACACGCCTGCAATGTACAAGATTGGTATGATTCTGCTGAAAGGGTTGTTGGGCCAGCAACGAAATCCGCGGGAGGCTGTAGGATGGCTGAAGAGGGCGGCTGAGAGGGCTGATGCGGAAAACCCGCATGCTCTTCACGAGCTGGGCCTGCTCTTTGAATCGGCTCAACCCAACGACGCCATCATTCGAGATGAGCCTTATGCCCTTAGCCTCTTCCAGCAAGCCGCAGATCTGGGATACAAGTTTTCACAATTCCGGCTTGGCTGTGCGTTCGAATATGGTCTCATGGGTTGCAGGATCGACCCTAGACTGTCGATCATGTGGTACTCGAAGGCCGCGCAACAGGGCGAGCACCAAGCCGAGCTGGCACTGAGCGGCTGGTATCTCACGGGCAGCGAGGGCGTTCTAGGACAAAGCGACACGGAGGCATACCTATGGGCCCGGAAAGCCGCCATAGCGGGACTGGCCAAGGCCGAGTATGCTATGGGCTATTTCACCGAGGTCGGCATCGGAATCGCCGCCAATCTGGAGGATGCCAAACGATGGTATTGGCGTGCTGCCGGTAAGTTGACAATGATTGAGAACAGCATGATTCCGAGATGAAGCTAACGCCCTCATACAGCCCAAGACTTTCCAAAAGCCCGTGAACGATTGGAAGAACTCAAACGAGCTGGAAGAAACGCTCCCCGTCAGCGGGAGCGCATTTCACGAACCAATCAACAGGAGGGCGAGTGTAGTGTGATGTAAAACTAAGTGCGCGACGAGCTTGGTGAATGGAGCATTATTATACCCACGGACGACTGATTAATTGCAATGACGAGATGATACGAAGGAGATGAACCAGTCCAGCTGGAGATGAGGGTCAGCATTCATGTACAATGTATCATAATTGGCATCTGGATAAGATGAGGATATGAGTGTCAAAATAACATGTATGAAAATGAATAACTAGCTAGCGTGGCGGATGAGATGACGATTGTTTAAGATGAGAGTTGATAGCATAAATCAAACAGTCACTGGTTGACTGACTAACTATTCATGAACCGGTTTTTATTTCACCACAACGAATTCTAGTATCAGGTTTCCCCTAGTAGTTTTACAAAAGCAGCCGAAAGGCATACATAATACAAGAAACATCTATCCAATGAGAAAGAGGCGACACTTTTGGAAACCTCACTTGCCGAACAACCCTCCAAAGGAAGAGCCAGAGCCACCTGCCCCTCCTCCGGACGAGTGCCGCCTCGCAGCCTCCCGGATGATCCAGTCGGTCAGGAACTGGCGGTCAGCGAGGCTCCGCCCGTCTGTGACCCTCGTGGCACGGATGGGCTCGCCGCGCCGGGCGTCAAAGGCCAGCAGCGTGGGGATGGAGGTGATCATGTAGGTCATGGCGAGGCTCTGGGCGTCCGGTGCGTCGAACTCAACGGGGACCAAGTTGACGCCGCCCTCGGCCTCGCCGGTCCCCTGCTGGATCAGGGAGCGGACGAGGGGGTACACGGCGCGGCAGGTCGAGCACCAGGACGCGGTCCAGAAGGTGAGCAGCGGGGTGTTTGAGGAGGCGGACACGGACAGGTAGGTGTCCAGGCTGTTGGTGTTGCGGACTCTGTTGGGGCCAAGGCAACGTTAGAGAATTGCGCTGAGGGAGAGTGATTTTGCCACTCTTATACATTCAAGGGACAATACGGGATCACGTACGGGTCGAATATTTGGTTCTTGGCTTTGGCAGCGGTTGTGGAAAATGCAACTGTGTGTAGTGCAGGTCGGCGTGCTGGTGATGATCTCACTACAGCCTTGACTGGCACAAGATATTGCGTGTGAACTCTAGACCACCGCATGCTGTGTCGCTTGAATTGAGCTAGTATACGGGAGATTGGGTGGGGTTTCTAAATTCACAGTCAAACACAATAAATGCGGTCAAGATGGGTGTGGTGAGTGAGATGAAAGAGAAGACAATTCAGTAAGTTGGAGGTTGACTTGGGATGAGGTCTGTGTACTGCGTCACTACTACTAACACATGCTACATTCTTGTCCAAGCAGCAGCTCACTCCTGAAATACGCTAAGACTCTTATACAGGTCTTATTCGACAATTGTAGGTGTTCACATCTATTCTACCTAGATCAATTCTACATGGATCAATTGAACCTTGGAATTGATCCTTACAATATATACAAAAGAAGATAGTTAGATCATATTGGGTGTGTGAGCCAGCAAGTTGTTTAGAGCAACGGGCTGTCAACGACCCAAAATTTTCGTCAATCCCACTAAGCCCACCCCACCATCGCCAACATCAGATATCTTGCAAGTACCCAGCTTGAAAATTGTGCGAACCAACTGGTCTTCACATTGTCCTCCAACGTTCTTCCCTTCGGTTGTATATTTCTTGTATCTATATCCAGACAAGTCAATTCTGTCGCATTCATACGCCACTTTATGCGCCATGGCGACTCGGATTCCCCCACTCTTGGAGCCTTACCTTGCTCTCCCCGATGAGGCCTCTCTTATTCTACTTACAAGCGTTCTGGGAGCCAGCTCAAACTGGTTGGTTCTGCGCTATATATACTCAATTTTGAAAGGCCAAGATGGGGGGGAGAACGCCGGTGTTGTGCTGGTCAGCTTCATGAGAGACGGCACATTCTGGCGGGAGGGAGCCGGGAGGATGGTGAGTCTTGCAGCTTTCAAGTCGCCAAAGGATATGCGCTGACAATCAAGCAAGGGGCTCGATATTGACCACATGAACTCGACTGGGAGATTTGTGTTTGTGGATGGCCTGTCTGGGCAGATCAGTGGCACAAACGCAACAGGCAAGAGTGAGAGAGTGCTGCGAAGCACCAGAGTGAACGACGTGGAAAGGGAGATTGGGCAAGCTCTGGGTGAACTACGCACACAAAAAAAAGTTCTGATCGTCGACCAGATTGATGCTCTCCTTGCCATCTCCGAGGACGATGTGACAAGCTCCAAGCTGTCGAGCATGATTCTATCTCTCCGCGAAGTAAGTGTTCTCACGACTAGGTTTGCAGATGATTCACACGGGAATGCTAAACCATGACATCGCCAGCGCGCGCACTCTACGATTCTTACTCTGAGCGCCGACTCACCGTTGGTTCATTCACAAACAACACTACTGGAGCGCGAACATGCCGCACTTGCGTTGGGGCAGGCACATGGAGCTGACAGGGTCTTGTCGCTACGGATGCTGGACACCGGTACGGCCAAAGACGTCAGCGGGGTGATGAGAATCACCAGTAACATTGAGGGCGAGGAAGGAGGGAAGGAGTATCTTTATTTTGTAGCCAGTGATGGAAGTGTCAAGGTGTTTGAGAGGGGCACCTAGACAGAATGTGAAGCAGACTGCGAGTTCACAAAAAAATCGTTCTTCTCATATACCCAATTCCCCCCCTCACTCGTTGACTTGCTCAGTGAAGTATCATCGAGGAGATCCCAAATCCTGCTCCTGCATTCTTCCGAAAGTCTACGAGCCCATCGCGGTGAGCCTTTTTCTTGTCTGCTTCTCGCTTGACAGGTGGAGGACACGAGGTATTGTAGAATCAAGATGCCATTGCCGAAATCTGTATAAAGAGCCAGTTCGCCTATGGAATCCCGAAGCCGGGCGCAAGAAAGCAAAGGGGGGGGTTCCGTCAATGTTTCCTTGTGCCCAGAAACAGAAGCGTTTCAATCAAAACACCGTATCCCATGCTCCAAGCCGTGATTTCAACCCTTCCACCGCCACACAAAAAAAGGTTCTTTTTTCTTTTCTCAGATCAACTCCCCCCCCTTGGTGGTTACTCCACGCTCTTCCACATACACCCTTGATTTAAAGAGAGGGTTTTAATTTATGCCTCGGTGGAGACCTTGTTGACGCCGCGAGCGTTCTTGGGCTCGCCGCTCTGGAAGCCGTTCTTGAATTTTCGGGGCACTTCCTTGAGGTGACGCATGCGACCAGTGCCGGTGGTCTTTCTTCTCTTGCCCTTCTCGCTCCAGTTGACTGTTGAGGTTCGGTCAGTACGCTTGGCCGTCTTCATAGTGGAGAAATTCTTCATGATGTGGCGAACATACACTTGCGAGTCTTAGCAGCGGGGTATCCGCAAGAGGAACATTCGTGCTTCTGGACGTGCAGAGAGCGGCGACCTAGTGAGAAGAGCCGTATCAGTAAACGACAGTCCTAATATTCCTAATATTGCCAGCGTTTCCCTGAAACTCCAAGTCGGTCGGGGTCGAGTATTCGTTTCCAATCGTGCTTGTCGTCCGTGGGAAATTGGCAGGTGAAGGGAGCAAACTAACCGCATCGTCGGCACAGAGTGTGCGTCTTGTTGTGACGCTTACCGAAGCTGGAGGTACCCTTGGCTATACAGAGACGCAGAGGTCAGCAAATTGGATTCTTTTCGATCAATTCGATCACTGATTTCGGGCCGGCATTTCCATCTGCATCGGCTCATCAATCGAGACGGGTGTTCGGGGGCGCAAACGTACTCATCTTGGCGGTGTTGGTTGGGCGTGTGGTTGGATGACTGTTAGGAAATTCTCACGATGCCTGGCTTTTTTGGTGGACTGGTTCGGAAATGGCAAGCCCTAATTTCACATCTTGGTGGGTGGACGCACGGCTGCATTGGTCTTCACGTGACCTGACCCTCTTGTCCACGGGCAGCACGTGATAGTCTGGACCAGCCCATCAAAGGGCTCCACTGTTTCTCAGTGGCCCACGTTACAAGAGCACCTGGATGCGGACACCTAGGTAGGTACATGCATCCGTAGACAAAACAGACAGTAATCGCTCGAAATATTTAAGAGGATTATTTCAAAAAAAAAAAATCACGTCTAGTCACAGCTATACCTACCAGGTAGGAATAGACTTGCTTCATCGCAAGGAGTGAAGGTCAAGGTTATAATGTAATCGAATCAACTAAGCTACTCGTCAAGGCAGTTCAGGAAATGGAATATATACAACCCGAGAGAAGAATTTGTCAATGTGATAAGGCCTTATTTTACAGGTCTAGTTTGATAAAATGACGGGTTTCGGGTGGCATTGCAAGGCTCCCCAAGAAATCTATGAGAGTAAATAACATGCCTTCTCTCAGAACTCGAAATACACGATCCTATACGCATCTTTGAAAGAAAGCAAACACCGTACCTTATCTTTCCAATAGTCCAACCAAAAACTCCCATCGTTATTGAGTCAAGAATGCATATGCATTTCAGAGCTTTAATCCAATTCAAAATGCAAGATATCAACGTTCCAACTCCACAATTCCATTCTGTGTACAGTTTTCATGGCCATTCAGTAGGTCCAAACTTTTGTCCCTGAAGGTCCGGCATCGAATGCGCCATATGGTTGTAGTCCAAGGTGTCCAACGCACCAGTGTTGCCCCACCATTGAATGTGTTTGACTTCTGTTAAATACAGGGTGAAGAATATCAGCAGGGTTGACATGATCAAACCACAATCCAGAGCAGCTGAGGTGATGTAATTATACTGAAGCCACCAGCCAGTATACCGCCGCCGAATATAGTAGTTGAAAAGCATGCCCATTGATCCCCAGCAGAGATAAATGTACACTGTTGCGGGAGGGATGAACCCAGGACCACCAAAGATGACCGGGGTATTGACATAGCGCCAGATAGACTTGGGCCATCGGCGAGCGAGTAACCAGGTAATTATCGGTGCAATCGCACCAACAAGCCAGAACCATTGCAAAGAAGAGTATAGGGCCGAGCCGCTGAAAATACGAGCAGGCCCAATAGCTCCCCAGATAATAGAGGCTGTAAAGAAGACACGACTTCCTGGACAAGTGTAGTTATTGGCTTGATTAGGATCACACACGTCGGGGATTTTGGCCAAAGCCCAATTCATCACAGCAATCTGAATGATGGCTGACCAGATTGAGGCAACAAGCTGTGAGGCAAACATGACTCGAGGGGGGACTTTCATATAATGGCCAAGCTTCAAGTCTTGAGCGAAATACAACGCTTGAGCCATGCAGAGATAGCCGTAGTTCTTGAACATCATCATGGCGAGTGGGCGGCCAGGTAGCATGTATCCGATGATGAACTCGGTCAACACATTAAGGCCAAGTTGAACATTGGTCATGGCCTGTATCAGACCAATCGGAATCAGCCAAATGATGGGCAGAAGCATGCAGACGATATAGGCCCACCAAGGGAAGCCAGTGGGCCAGCCAGCAACGACACCAATGGAGACAGCCATCATGCCGATAAAGAGAGCTGATTTGGTAGTTAGCACTTACAACACGGTTTAGATCACAAGCTGACGAGCACATACCTGCATACCACCAATCTTCGGCATCTCGATACTTCTTCATCAGGCGCATATGGACATCATCCTCTTGGTGGCGAGCCATCTTGAATTGGTTCCAGAGATCCCTGCCGTGGTAGAGACCAACGTGGATCACAACCGCTGCGACGGCCGCAAAGGAGAGTCCATAGGCAAGGGCAAATTGGGTTGACAGGAACAATGGTGAGTACTCTTTGTAGGCTGTCTCGTTGAACTGGTTGGATGAATCCAGAATGCGCTTGACATCGTAAACTGCGCCAGTGTTGTCGTAGGACTCAGAAGACTGGACGGGGAAGTAATCCGCGTACCATGTGCCACTGAAGTGAATACCCATTGAAATGAAGACAAAAAACACAATCGTGCCGCCCAATGTGTTGGCAATTGCATGGAAAGGGGGAATCAAAGGTGATCCAACAAATCCGCTGTAGACAGTCCAATCAAACGAAATAGGCATCAGTCCATATCCGGTCCATCCACCGAAGAGTTTGTTGACGGTAACATTCTTGGGTGCGATCCAACAAATCCAGGTGAAGAAGGATAGGCCCTTGAAGATCCAGCCAGGGAACCAGTAGTAGACGAAAGCAGCTAAGCCAATGATGACAAAAAGCTTGTACCGGCCAATCTTCCAGCCATTAGTCTTGCTGGGATCAGAGTGAGAGTGATCATGGAGAGTATAGAAGAGGGCACAATTGACCAAGTCGGCAGGCCATATCATGGAAGCGGGCCAGACCAGAAATCTACGGGCAAGACCAGCCAGTCCATAGCCCGTGCAGATTGATGTGATTCCAAACAGAAGCTGAAAAGCCCAGCCGAAATTCTCGTGATAAAAGAGCTGCTGTGCAAGCAAAACATCGGTGGCATACAAAGATCCACCACCATAGGCAGCCTAAATGGTCAGCAAAATGTCCGAAGATAAAGGAACAGCCAAATTTCCGAGCGAGAAAGAAACCACGTTGCTTACATTGGACATGGCAACAATAATAACATGCTCCTTAAAGTTAAACTTCCCCGGCCGAAGATTGAACTTGAGTCCGAAAAGGTTCCACTCTCTGTCGGGCATGATCAAGTCCCAGCCTCTACCGATGGGATAAGCAATGAGTTGAATCACGTAGGTGGTGATAGCAACACTCGGATTTCGAAGCGAGAAGAGCATGTTGACCCCAGATCCAATGGCGCAAAGGACCATACCAATGACCCAAGCGCGAACAGTGTTGGCAGGAAGATCAACGTCATAATTTCGAACAACAGCACGAACCTATCGCACATCGTTAGCCACTTCCATCTGCCTCACTCCGTTGCAAATCATTCAACTCCTCCAATTGTCAAGGTTCAACATTGGCGCCCGACAGAAGCAAGATTGTCACATACCTCAGGGTATGGGCTGTTGTCCTCCATGAGCGCGTGCTCAATATCGAAACCCTTCTCATCATTTCCTGTTGCTATGGCGGCTTCAAATTCATTCAGGTCGTCAATGGGCATATTCGGGTCGAGTTTGTGGATTTTGTCAAAATCGTTGAGACCCTTTAGTTTTTCGATTGAGGAAGACTGGCCATCAGGCGGACCAGGGATAGGCGTTATTTCCTCGGCCTCGCGGCGCTTGCGAAATAAAGACGCCATGGTGGGCATTCTTGATGACGGCTGAGATGGCACTGTATGGCCTCGCTCTCGTGTGGCAGGTTGTCGCGATGTCGTCGCAGTCGTCTTTCAGTCAACCGAGTGGGAGTCGACACCCACGAGAATCAGAGGCGACCCTCTTCAGGCCAGGTTGTCGGTGGCGGGGGTCTTGAAGAACCAGTATCGTCTCCAGCAGGTGTGTTGAATGAGAAGACGTCTACATGAACGAGACTGGGGGATTGAGAGGACTGGTTGGCCTTCTGTCCCCGCAGACCTCCCACAGGCTGCGGCTGGCGAAGCTGAACACACTCGAATGCCGAAAGTACCGCTACCAATCACACCACAGAGTGAAACGGAAGGTACTTTCCAGGGGGGCACCGCACAACTGGGTTGGTGTGCTGGGAACCACCTTCCGATCTCAGCAGGTGTCGACCAAGGCACCAGATAGGTTAGACCGGTTACGCCTTGTTTGAAGGGTCGAGGCACTTTTGAAGCACGTTGACTGTCCCGGCCGTCTGCTTTAAACCCAATTTTTCATCGGTAGCGAAAATCATTCGCCCCTCCACTCTCTTGAGGAATTCTGTCTTCTGGCTGGAATCTCTGTTTCTTCTCATGTTCTCTAGTCTGCTGCCCTGGTATTTGGCTGCGAGCGCCCTGGTCGGCCTGGGGTCCTAAGCACCCCCTAGATTAAGGATAGCAGGCATCACAGCCAATAAGCACGCTATCAAGCCTTTATCTATCATGCGCCCCAGTTGCCCGACTCGTGATGGCGTGCTAAGCAACCCAGAAAACGAGATGTACCTGTACCTCAATTCTCTTGGGTATACTTGCAGCACACAACAGGCGCAAGACGCCACAAGCCAAACGTCTAACCTATTGCTGCACGCTAGTGACATTGTATCAACGCTTCCTTATCAACCATTACCAGGCAAGCGAGTGACATAAAGCATGGCACACCCAGAACCTGCAGCGTTGAATTTCAACACAGTATCAAAACAATTAATCAATAATATTTACAATATCAAGCTAAATACTATAGAATAATAGTTATTAATTTTGTCTTTATTATATTTAGTGTTATTGATACGAAAATGAGGTCCGTGAACAGAGCTTTGGTACGCCATGTTTTATGTCACTTGCTTGCCAGGCACAAATACATGTGTACTCACTACTGGGCAGAGCAATATAACACTCTTTCAAGGCGCCCGATTAAGTATCCAATTCGAAGGCTGTAACAATTATTTCGCTCCTGTTAGGGGTCTCTCAGTACATTTGGGGGTGTTGTAAGTCCTCCTCTTTCTGGACGTTTTATCCACACAGACACATTTACACCTTGCGGAACTTCCAAATCCCAACCAAAGCCAAGGAAACTTCCGGCTCTTTCTGATTGCCAGTTCATTTGATCCTGGTCTCTAGTTGAATGGAGCGATCTTCGGAAGGCGGAAGAGCTCATGCCCAGCTCTGTCCCACGTGCACTCCAGCTCAATTGCGTTCTTAGGCCAGGTTCAGTCCTTCAACAGTTTCGACTGGTTCATCTGAAACCGTTCGCAACCCCTGGGTTATATGCTGCCATTCGGTTGTACTAGTTATCCCGAGGACATAGTCTCTCACGATTGGATTGGACAGAAGATCGAGTCTCTGAAGGTCGATGAGGTGGGCTAAGAACGCCGCCGCATGAGCATCCAGCAGTGTTGGTTTGTCGCCAAAAAGATACAATGCTGCTAGAGGTCTGCTCTTTATTATATCTCCGACATTATCCACAAATCGGAGCACCTTCTCTTCTATCAATATGATGCTGTCTGGATCCAACAAGTTACTATACAAATTATCGTGGCTAAGATTTGGATACAGTTAGCCGTTGTCGTGCTTTTTTTCTCTTTCATTTCACTACGTCTCTTTAGACTCACAAGATACTCTTTATTTCCAGGCGACGTCGATGTGAAGCCGTTAATTTGTTTTTCTCCAGCATCGCAGCTGCTTGGTTAGGGATACCATCCTTGCAGATATCTGACGATAGCGCCAGCGCTTGGGCATGGATCCCGTGCAGGTCGTTCATGATCTTTGTTATGATCACATTGTGCTCCTCGGGGATCAAGTCTGTTTGCTGCAGGGACAGCCACTTGGCTATCTCATAACTATCTGTAAGAGGCTCAGATAATGCTGGTGAAGCCAGGACAGGAACCTAGACCAACAATAAGCGAGCTGGTCCGTGAGATAGCAGGTAAGGGGAACAAACCTGTCCTCTGGGGTTTAGAGTTAAGAAATCTTCTGAAAGATTCTCCTGCTGGTGCAAGTTGACCAACTTCAGCTTAATTTGGGGAGCATTTTCCGGGCTGAGCTTCTCTCCGAAAGCCAAAGCCAAGCGGACCATAAGTGAATAGAGAGAGAAGGGAAAATGATATAGCGTGTATACCGGGCTGTCAGCCATTATTATTAAAATTACGGCCCGTATTTGGCCATGAGATAGAAGAACCCGTTCTGGATATCGCAAAGGCATCAGACACGGACATGAGAAATTGCTCAAGCGAACCTACTCCCTTTTAAACAAAAGGCAGATGAGCCGTGCTGATGATGTCTTTGCAGGCCTGGAGCCTCAAGGCACGCGGGAAGGCCATGAGTGGATCTTCTCTACATGACGATGAACTATCCCCAGTCCCAGGAATGCGGAAAACTATCCCAAGGCTGCTTCTGGCTCTTGCAAAACTCCATCACTCGTAGTCCAGAGCAGTCACAGCGGAAAGAACATCGTGACTGCGCCTCATTGCACCTGATGATCCAAGCCCCATTATCCTGGTAATTGAGGCAAGTGCTTGGGGTCGTGGCGCGTGCAAGCCAGTTCACCGGGCCTGAGAAACAGCTGTGGCTCGACTTAGTCCCATCTTTCGGTGTCGCCGATCTCCGCTCGAGATTTCAAAAGCGGCCCTATTCAGTACAGTTCCTTGTTCTCCCCCAGACCCAAGACACTTTGACCCCAATTCTTGCCTGGGTCTTTGCAGGATCCCAAATTCGGGAACCAGTCAATTAGCCACAGGCCCACTCGGGAAGGCAGGAAAATACAACACTCATGGAGAACGATGAGCGAGAATGCATCTTCTCATAGGCCCAATTATAGCCAAAGTGTGGCTAGTGTCACCCAGGCGTGCGCCTTTTCAGGAACCTGTGCCTCCGAATGTCCAAAAATCGTAACGGCCTTCGGGAGCATCGTATCATCAAAGCACAAAGAAGTTTGTGCGTCTTCTTTCGCCACCAAGTAAGCAGGATACGCCGAGCAAATGCGTGCAATTTTAATAAGTCCCCGAATTCCGCATTTCCACATTTCCCATCCATCTTCCCTCAATTTTTTTGCCACACCTCGGCCAGAAGGCAACTCTTCTCCCTTATTGCCCTAGAATTTGTTCTTGTGAGCTGCCAATTGAATATTTTGATCAGTTGTCGAACGACATTTCCCTTTCCTCAGCTCTTCATTAGCTAGTTGGCCTCTTTGCCTTGCGGCCTCAGACGCGGTATCATGATATGACCGTAGTCCTCCCCTTGCTTCTGGATGACTTTGTACATCTTCTTTCCCACCAATAGCAGCCCAATCCTTCCAAACAATGAACAGGAATGGAAGCTCTTCACGTGGTTGCCAGTGAATTGCCGGATTTCTGTAGCCTAGTCCAGAACCACCAATCAGGCCCCATCAACCGTCACCAAGTAACAGAAGATCACACAGTGTCTCACAACGGTCGGGGGATTGCCGTGCCATCAATGGATGATACCGAACTCGTACAGGATAAATGGTCCACCATTATCCATTGCTACTACAACAAAGCAATGCTCACCAAGCTACAGAAAGCCCTGGGCCAAGTACAACGACACTGTCATCGTGATTAGAAAACCAAGAACTATCCCCCTGCACACATACTCATTCGAGAAGGCATTGCTTGACCGTGCTTATCTACGTCTCACAATTTCGATCACAGGAACATGGGAATTTGCCGATTGTTCAGACGGCGCCATAAGCCCCTAAGCCCTCCTCGACTTAGGGCCGGAACGGCGGGTGGGTGAGGCCGGGTAGTATGGACAAGCTTCGCACACATCTGAGGCGTCCCTCTTGAGATTGCCGCAATCCAATCTTTCTAATACCAACGCGGTCCATTTCCTCCGCTGGTTGGCCGTTATCCATCTCATCTCCATAGGTTAGCTTGGTTAGGTATCGAGTGCGGGACCATTGCGCAGCTGCTGGCGTATCCCCCACGCCTATTGGCGGCCTACGCTAGTTCTTGGCAGGGGAATGTCGATTCTTTATTACAGGGGTCATCGTGATCGATTAGTACCTGGATCGGAGCATTGAGGCACAAACAGTTGGCTGTTCTAGTGGTGGATCAGCAGCCACCGCGTCAACGTCCATCCTCTGGTGACGCCAAGGTCCAGGAACAGCCCTGCCCTGATCTCCTCCCAGATGACTTTGATGGTGGTGAACATCGTAAGAGAATCTGGCAGGGAGAGGATAGATAGGCCAGCCCGCAGCTTCACAGGGTATTGAAAGCTTACCAAGGACCCCTTTTTCTGTGTGTCTTTGAATAATTGAAACAAATCTCCCACTTCCGCCTCTTCCGAAAAGTTGGGAATGGCACCCATGTAGCCAACAATCAAGACCATTTTCGAGGAATGCATTAGTGTTACCAACCAAAGAACCTTAAAATAAACCAAATACAAAAAGCTGTCCAACCGCGGGTTCCGAAGCACCAGAAGACTCCGTCTGACAACACAAATTTCCGGTGGTGTTGCTGTAGAGAGCTAGGCTCGGTCGGGCAACACTGGCGGCCGAGCGCGCGCTGTGCCAGTAGCGCTTGTTATTGCTCCCGGCTCCCGAAGAATATATCGATAGTTTGCCGCCGTCAAGAGCCCAATGATCTGATTTGGAAATAACAATGAGGAAAAGCGATGCCATTCTCTACGTCTGCCAAGGAAACTAAACCAATCCGCCTTTTACAGCCCTGTATTCCCGCCTTTTTCCTGCCATATTCTGTGGATACGAGCATAGCGTATCCTCTACCTGCCGCCAAGGTACACAATGCTGGCCTGGCCGATGTGATCGACAGCGATACCATGGGGCTCCATGTGCATAAGGTTCTTGAGCGAGATGGCAGTGTAGCATTCTAGGCACGGGTGTGCATATTGTAGGGCTCCTGGGCCGGCGATGATGAGCAAAACTCATCAAAAGCCGAAAACCTAGAGGTGGCATCCCGCATCTCGGGAGGTGTGGTGTAGGCATTTTGACTTCGAGGATTTCAAGGGAGAGACGTCTTTCCCATTGCTCCAAAGCACCCCTTTTCCCGCGGATGTTTATATGGATCCCATAATAACCCACATCCCACCCCTTTTCTTGGGGATTGGGTTGTGGGCACGGGTGCGCATTGCTCGATGGACGGGCAGAAAATATCAACAAGGAACCCGCACTAGAGAAGCACGCACATGCAGTGCTCTGCAAAGTGGTGCAAGCTATGGAGAACTCGGGAAAGCGGATCAACGCCCATGCCACGCAATGGTACAGGGGAGAATCGGCTCACACGAATGCCAGCAAGCAGCACCTCATGCAAGGCGGTCTATGAGAATCGGTGACAGCAACATGTAGGAGCCCTCTGCGAATTGCAGAAAAGTGTCCAGCAGCGTCGTGCAACTTGGGCGCGCCGTCACGTCACTGATGTAGATCTAATTATAAAACCGGCCTGGTTAATTATCACTGCCAGCTACCTACCTATCTCATCAACCTGAAAGGCCAGCTCGCTTGCGAGCAGGGACAGGTGCCGGAGGGAGGCAGGTGCCTGCACTCTTGCCTAGCACCAAGAACAATTCATTTGCTGCATGACGTTGTATGGATCGCCCACGCTCATACCCGGCAGGTTGGTCTTCCTTGAAAGAGAAACCCAGGCCGCTATCTGTTCGTATCGTGAACACTGCCACTTCCCACTGCGCCCCAACGCCGGCTTGCGTAGTACCTCCCCACTATCTCCCACTACATCCCCCCATGGCGGCGGGTGGTGCTTGCCAGCAAGATAGCAGTGGTTGTGGCATGTACATGGAGATCTCGTATGGAGTACCTGCCCTGCATTCCCTTCGTACCTCTTCCCTCCCTCGCGCGTATCTGTATGGGGTTGCGTGCGTGGAAATGGGTGGTAATCATACCAGTTCACTGCAGTACCTCCAGCATACCATCACTCGCTGTTCCCCTGCGCTTGGGCGGGTAGTCATCAGCCACGAATCTTCCGTAGGGCCCTCTGCCTCTTGTTCCCCGTCGTCCAAGGGTGCGTGTCGTCTGTCCCTTTTTTTTTGTTTAAAAAATTGTATCTTGGTCCAACTTCTTGGCTTTCTTTCTTTCCGTCGTCGCCCAACGCCCAGCACTCCGGGCATTGTGTCCGTAACGTCACTCACTCGTTTACAAAGGTGTACCCGATTCTGTTGGATGGTGAATCGCATTCACAGACGAATCGAACGTATCTACTCCACAGCAGGCATTCGCTCTTTTCACGCCGACAACCTGTCTGTTTGCTTCCATTCCTCGCGTCGAATATCGAGATCTACACAAGCTGAGCATCCGGCCGATTTAATTGCATGACACCCACGAATTGGAGCGGCGTACAGGGTTCTTTCTTTAGGGGAAGCCGCTACTTACTTAATAGGTAAATTTACCTGCAAGAAGAGGCGCTTTCGTCACGCTGTGAAACGACGCCAATCAACCCTCGTGAGAGGGCAACTCCACTTCTCCCATACATCTCCAGCTCTGCAAGCCGTCCCGACTGCGGTTATTGCTCAGCTCAGCCGGCCCATCCAATCTTGCCTTGGCGCGACTCTACTAGACACCATGGCGCCAATGACGCCCCGACTCAAGATCCTGTCAGGTTCGTGTGGTCCTTGATTATGCAGTTTTTTTTTGCCCCATTCCTGTCATCTCTTTATTTCCAAGTTTCACGACGCTGCCATTTGATTTCCCGGATGGCGACTCAGACGACTGTGCCGCCGACTCCTACCCAGCCCTAATTTGTCCCCCGATACCTTGTTCTGCCCAATAGTCATTCCCTTTCCCTCCGTGATTGCCGTTCCTCCGCGTATCGACTTGTTTCTAGTTCAAGCTGCCCCTTGAAGCAGCTCCGTTTGCTTTTGTTTTAATATGGCCGACGACGATCTAATGCACATTTGCTCAGTGGGCGGGAATCCGGTATCAGCTTTTTTATCATGGAGGCTTCAAGCGACCAACGCGTGCGACGTCACCTTAGTCTGGAAGTCGGGATATGAGCATGTTGCTCAATATGGCATCTCCTTCAAGTAAGTATCCCCAAGCGTTTGTCCTGTACGCCCTACTCTAACCCAGGTTCTCTTTTCCCTAGATCGCAAAGTTTCGGTAACGAGCGATTCAAACCTCGACGTGGTATGTTCATCTCCCGAAATCCCCTAGGCGCTGATGCCTTGTGTGACATTGAGCTCATTCGTGCCCTTGTGCAGTTGTCCGAAATCCCGAAGATGCCGCGGTTTCCAGAGAAGGCCCGTTCGACTACGTTGTTCTCTGCGTCAAGGCACTACCCGATGTTTATGATCTCGCTTCCGTTATCGATGCCGTCGTCACACCCCAACACACCTGTATCCTCATTAATACTACACACACGCTGGGCGTTGAAGCCGCCATCGAGGAACGATTTCCTACCAATGTCGTACTATCCCTGGTCTGCGGTGCTGAACTCACCCAACTTGGCCAGAGCGAATTTGAACATAAGGGATCTACGAAGATGTGGATTGGCCCGGCGAATAAGAGCACCGAGATACCGCGAGCGATCCAAGAGGACATGGCACAGGCTTTGTCAATGACGTTGAGTACAGGGCAAGTCGAGTGCACCGTTTCTCCCAACATTAGGCAACAGCAATATGAGAGAGTAATCGGGTAAGTTGGAGATGTCAGGTCATCTGATGAGGCTTGCTAATGAATGTACAGGCCGATCGCATTCCATACTTCAAGCGTTATTTTCGAAACACCAAGTCACGTCGCACTTCTCGAGAAAGTAGGCGTGAAGGATTTAGTACACGGTGTCCTGGACGAGTTATTACTTCTGGCCGAAGCAAATGGCTGCAAATTCCCGCCCGAGTTTAAACAAAAAACGATTGACGAGATGACCGACCCGAATGCCCCGGAAAGCATCATGTGGCAAGATTTTGTGGCTAGGAGACCTATGGAGGTTGAGACATACCTGGGCTCGCCCATTAAACTGGCGCGTGAATCCCAGGTTGCCATCCCGCGCATCGAAACTCTCTATGCAATTCTTCACAGTATCAACATTATTAACCGGAACCGACCGAAGCCGGGTGAGGGCGGTCCTGCCTTTCCACCTTCCGGTCCACCTTCCGGATCACCAACGATGTCGTCAGTCCCACCCAGAATGCCTTCTCAAAATGGCCACCGTCCGATGATAGGACCACCAAATGGTATGGGTATGCCGCCTCGAGGACCTCGGCCTCGCAATTCTTCGAACTTGAGCCAGCCCGGTGGGATGCGCCGTGGCCCGCCGCCAGGCATGAACGGAGGCCCCCCCAATGGCTACGGTAGGCCTCCACACATGAATGGAGGAGGTTCGAGAGCCCCTTCTCGACGAGGATCGATGGATGGCAACGAGCTGGAAGAATTCTCCCATCTCGTGGTGTATGATAACATTCCCGAAGGCCAGGAACCATCTGGGCGGGGTGATCCTGCCGATCCCCGCGAAAGAGAGTATCAGCTTCGTCAACGAGAACTTGCACTCAGAGAGCAGGAGATGCGGTCAAGACGAGGTCCTCCGCCAGGCCCAGGCCCAGGCCCAGGACCCGGCCCCGGACCTGGCCGTAGAGGTCCACACCCCATGCGCCATAGCCAGCAGGCGTTTGATGACGATGAAGACGACGATTACTACGTTGATCCGATGAACAACCCGGCTACTCCAGTAATTGACCCCGATAATTTTGACATGATGAGTATGACCTCGAGGAAAAACCGAAAAGCTCCGGGCCCTTCTGCTGGTCAATTGCGCCAAAATCCAGAAAATGGTGGGCCGCCATCATCGAGAGGGAACAGATTCCGTCCCAATTTTGGCCGGCATCGTACCAGCCAGATCCATGCACCTGTAACGACAGAAAATATACTAGACGACGCCTTAATGACTACCACCTCCAATCGATACGGCACAGTCGATCGGGGGACAATGGGAGCAAACTCCCGAGCGAACTCTCTCACAGCTTCGAGGATGGATGAAATTCAATACGGGGGTCCCAATGGTCCACCAGGGACACCAGGTATGAACGGTGGATTCCCTCGAAATAGGCCAATGATTAAGCAAAGGGAAGCCAACGGGTGGTAAAAATTGGCAACCGTACTATCATGGTCACTTCTTGTATTTGTTTCTTACTTCATTTTGTCAATTCGCAACTAGGGGGTAATAGTTTTATACATGACGGGTTGCTTGGGTTTTGATAAAGACAAAGAAATGGGGGCATTGTTACACAAATAGCCAATTTCGCGGGACATTCTTGAATCGATGAATACAGTATCTCTTTTGAACATCAACTTATAATACCATGGCCATCATAGCTCGCCTCTGAGATCAGAACATATATGTTTGTTTAGAATGGGAACTAAGGCTAGAGCTATTATACGCGCGGCGCAATAATAATGAATTCAATCATCTGCTTCAAATTTGTCCTTTATCAACACACGTCCTCGACGTGCGTTGCTGGCTGTGGTGGCCAGTAAGTAGCATTAACCCTTGGGAAACCGGGAGGGGCGCGGGAGACGTCAACAAACAAGGCTACAGGGACTCCACACGCAGCGCGCTGGTTCCTTCAACTACACGACCCCAATCACGTCTCCTAAATTGAAACACAATGGCGACAAGAATCACCGGCGGCACAACTCAGAGCATCCATCGTGGAGGTGCGGGGTCTTCGAGCGGGAGTGTTTTGAAGTCACGGCAGCTCGTAAGTCCAAATTGCCCGTCAATGGAGCTGCTTACCAGTTCAACGCTAACCTCAAGGTTTCGCTACGTTTGTCACCATGGTAGGCTCAACTGCATTCGCAACTATCGCAACTCTCGGCGAACTTGTCAGACACGGAGAATCTGCTGAGAATGACGAGCGTGCAGGCAGAGGCAATGAGGGGTCTGGGAGCCTGGCATGGTGGCTTGTATGTCTCTTCCTTCAACCTTGCTGTGCCGCGCTACCCTATAGCTAATATCACGTTCACCAAACAGGTTCATGGCGGCGAGCAAAGTTCTTGGGGAGGAGAGTGTCAAGGAAGCGGGCAGATGAAATCTATATGTAATTAATATTGCCTTTTGTCTGTAGTTATTAAATGCCGCCCAGTAATATCGAGTTCTGGCTGGCGTGTTTAACTTCAAGATTTTGTGTCGAATCCCAATGTACTAGCCGGAAGGTGATAGGGTCTAGATTGCCATGATGATATTCATCCCATGTTTTAGCTATCTCGACCCACGGCCCCGGCATATCATGTTCCTAGGGAGGAGGCACAAATGATATGGCACTGGAAGAACCTGTAGAGAGCGCCTGGGGCATGAAGCTGTCTTCTTCCTAGGAACAGCACTCATGGGCCTTGGCACCAAAGGTCCGCTTAGTCTACTCAAACTGCTATTTTTCCAGCAGTGATCTGGTTTAGCGGTCGGCACATTCCAAAGAGAGGCTTGCGGCCGACGGCATGTGAGGAAAGGTCTACGCGTTATCGACTGTCAGTGCAGTTATACGACTGCACCGGGCGCTCGCTCACGTAGCACAAGGCAGGCCTTGATCGAATTTCTCAGTGGCGGGCTCTTTCTCAGCGTCCTTTTTTGAAACCCGAAGCGATTTTCTTATTTGCTTGGGGGCAGATACTGGATATCGTCTTGCATGGCCACAACTGACACAGCGAACAACTAGAATATCGGCCCAAGGTTTTCGGCCACCTTTGCTGCGGTTCTCGACAGATGAATGGCATGTTTCACCTTCAATCTGGAGTGTGTCACAGAATTTGCAAACCTCTTGCTTCATATTCCGGCTTTGTCGAATCACCGCCTTCAGAGATACAGACCTCATATTAGACAGGTACTGGCGAGAAAGATTCATCTCTGCATTGGGAGTTTGGTTGGGGGTAGCTGCAGATTTGTCTCGGGCACCCTGTGAATTGCCGGCCGTAGCCGTGTTTTGTGTTGTACTCAGGGCCAAATAATGTGCTGCCTGGTGGAGGTAGGAGACTCGACTGTAGATGTGTCTATTGGAGACGCCGGCTGGGCCTTTTGCTTTTGCCATTTTGAAGATATGGTGTTCCGTGATAGATCTAGTAGTTTCTGTGCTACTAGCCTCGAAGCTTCCCGTGAGGTGGCACGTGCAACGCGTTGGTGAGATCACGTGACTGACGCACGGTCCACCTCTGCTACGCGAACTCCGTCGCCTCAGCCTCAACGATCACCAAGCCTCCCTGCAGAAACCTGTCACCCTTGGTTTTCTCTCCTCCTCCAGGCTCAAACAACATCTGCGGCAACCAAGTCGTGTTTGTTACACTACGCGACACGACATACATCATCTCGTGCCAACCACTTTTCTCAAACCTACTTTTCTCATACTTGCTCCTTAGTCTTTCGACTCGCTCAACCATCTGTCCAACATGTCTCACGAAGAGGATCTCATCGACTACTCCGACGAGGAAATCGGCGGCAACGAGACCGCCGCTGCCTCCAACGGCAAGAAGGGCGACGCCGCTGCCGGCAACAATGTCGACAAGAAGGGCAGTTACGTCGGCATTCACTCGACCGGCTTCCGCGACTTTCTGCTGAAGCCTGAATTGATTCGAGCCATCGGCGATTGCGGTTTCGAGCATCCATCGGAGGGTTAGTCTCTCATTCTAATACCCTAAGTCATCAAACCCCCTCCTGTCAAGCGTCCGTCCATTCCACAGCAATGCTGTGCAGCATCCGAGAGAAATGCCCGCCCTGGCAGCATCAGAATAGCAGGAGCTTTGTTTTTGGGAGGCCCTAGCTTCATACATATCGCGACAGTTGCGTAACTGTCCGCCCAGTGCGCAGTGTGAGATCCAGTCAATGGACTGCTTCAGCCCACCGCCTGTGGTGATACCAAGCGTGAAAAGAAGATATGGACCAGACAAGCCAGCAAGCCGCCATTTGGTGGTGGCTCGCTGGGCTATCGTGGGAAGGAGAACATTACAGGGAAAGACATGGTCTTTTCTTTGTACTTCCCTCCCTGACCCTTACCTACCCACCCCCCAAACTCATCACGTTCTTGTTGTGATTACGATGTGAGTCACTTGGCAGAATCGTGTTGTTATACCTCGATTCTCTCCCACGATAACTTGTCTTGGCGAATTCTCGGTATCAAATTCTCTGCTGCGATGATGGACGGACACATGGCGCACAGTCATATCGTTGCTACTTCTTGGAACACCCATCTAACGTCCTTCGAACGATAGTTCAGCAAACTTGCATTCCCCAAGCACTCCTCGGTGGTGATATCATTTGCCAGGCCAAGTCAGGTCTCGGAAAGACTGCTGTCTTCGTCCTGGCCACTCTGCAGCAAATTGAGCCCGTTAATGGCGAGGCCTCTGTCGTCGTCATGTGTCACACTCGTGAGCTGGCCTATCAGATTCGCGATGAGTACAACCGATTTAGTAAATACATGCCCGACATCAAGACTGGCGTCTTCTACGGCGGTACTCCCATCAACAAGGACATTGAAACCATCAAGAACAAAGATACCTGCCCCCATATCATTGTCGGTACTCCCGGTCGACTTAAGGCTCTGGTTCGGGACAAGGCACTTCGACTTGGAAGCGTTCGTATCTTCGTTCTTGACGAGTGCGATAAGATGCTTGAGCAACCTGGTAGGTCACACCTCGTTCACTAGGAACCTCGAACGGATTCATGTCTGACTATAAAATAACAGATATGCGCACTGACGTGCAGGATGTCTTCCGCGCCACGCCCCAGCAGAAGCAGGTTATGATGTTCTCGGCCACCCTCTCAGACAGCATCAAGCCTATCTGCCGCAAGTTCATGCAGAATCCCACAGAACACTATGTTGACGAGGATACCAAGCTCACGCTCCACGGTCTTCAGCAATACTACATCAAGCTCGAGGAGAATGAGAAGAACAGAAAGCTGAATGATCTTCTTGATGAGCTTCAGTTCAATCAGGTCATCATTTTCGTCAAGAGCACTCGTCGTGCAAACGAGCTCGACAAGCTGCTGCGCGAATGCAACTTCCCATCCATCGCTGTCCACTCGGGTGTCAGCCAAGAGGAACGGTAAGATACACCAATCGTTGAAGGGTAATTAGCTCCTTACTAACCACACCCAACAACAGTATCCGCCGCTACAAGGAATTCAAGGAGTTCAAGAAGAGAATTTGCGTTGCTACTGATGTTTTCGGCCGTGGTATTGATATTGAACGTATCAACCTGGCTATCAACTACGATCTCACTACCGAAGCCGACTCTTACCTCCACAGAGTTGGTCGTGCCGGCCGTTTCGGTACAAAGGGTTTGGCCATCTCCTTCGTCAGCAGTGAGGAGGATGCCAATGTGCTTAAGGAGATCGAGAAGCGTTTTGAGGTTGCCCTTCCGTGAGTCGATTCCCTCGGTGTGATGCATGGATGTTCCGAAGCTAATGGTCCTGTAGTGAATTCCCCAAGGAAGGTGTTGATGCTAGCACCTACATGGCATCTTAAAAGTGCTACCTAAGAGCCTAGAATATATCTCTGGCCAGTGTTCAGATTGCGTCCCATAGGGATAGGAAGAGGATGTGATTTTTTTTTAAGCAGGGAATGGAAAACGGGAATATCGCGAATTGCTAACATGAAATTCTCCTGGTCGTCGAGGTATTGTCAGTTTACGATAAAATTTCAATCTCAATCGCACAGGATTGTCCACGCCTGTGCATGTTAACCAATAATAACACTGTCGTAAATTGCGCTCTTAAACTCACCCAGTGAAGTATGCCGAGTATTCTCGATATATCATATGGCGGGTGAGTTTAGCGTAAACACAAGTTCTCTCAGAGCTCGGTCCTATAAGATGGCCTGTTTTTCTGCTTACTAGTGATGACTACTGTACCGCGACGTGTCCGTCATCCTCTCGCAAATATGATACACTTTTGCGACGAAACGGGACATTTTCGTCACTGAAGTAAATTGTGTCTTTCGCATGTCATCGAGGTAGGGGCTTCTTGTATGAATCATTTGACTCTTCAGATTTTCAGAGGGCCATGAAAAAGGCTTTGACGTTCGCCTCTGAGCAGGTACGCACGAAAAGTACCTGGGGATCAGCCGCCTCGGACATCACGCCCAATCGGCGGTCCCTTAGGACATCAATACATGCACATTCAGTCTAGAGCTTTAAAGAAGGTTCTGACAGCCATCACGCTGCTCAGCTCTTATCACCCGATGGCCAGGTTTTTCCCGGGTATTGTAGGAGATGGCGAATGGCCTGGGCTGTTTGCTTGGAAGAAATCCTGATCCCTGATCATGGGGAACACCAATGTGTACTGTACGCAACCATGTAGTGGTACGTACTTGGGTAGCTCGACCCAGTGCTACATCATGATACAGCGCCACGCCCCTTGATTATCATTCCTGTGTTCACAGCGCCCAGTGTGCCTTCGGTAGGCAGGCGCCTCCTATCTCAGATCCAGCCACGGTGCTTTTCGTCCGTGGTGGCAAAGCAACTCCCCACAATGAGGAACTCGACGTTCAGGTGCGACGCGTCGGCTGTAATGACTGGCTGAGCCACACACCTCGTATGTAATGATCGAGCACAAGCGACTGAGGAGAAAATTTTTGCTACGGGGGATGATGATGTGAGTGTGCCTGCTAATTAGTCGTCGGTCACCCCTTTTGGCAGAATCTTTCGTTCGGCGGTTCGTTGACTCATCGTGTGCCACACACCCCAATGGTCATCTCCACCAGCGCCAGGCGTCAGCCTATGGCTCCCCACGCCACTCATCGGCGAGCCAACCCCGCTCCTCAGCTCGTGGGAAGTCTAGAATTCCCTGGGGTTGTATCCAACAGTGTATTGGTAGATTTGTTTGTGATGCCAGTAGGCGTTATCGACGAATACGGGAGATGTAGATAATCTATTACGGTTGGCTATACGTGTGCCCGTATTCTAGACCGGGTGTCGGGGAAATGCGGTTTCAACCCTCTTATCACGATACCGTTCATGTTCGATAAAGGTGTGGAACGACGAGTTAGTGAAACACCAACCACTCAACAGCTCCAACGAGAGCATCAGCCGGTACGGCATAGGGCCACCAACAGACCCTCATAATGAGCAGCATAGCCGACGTCAACAACAGTCGAGGCTCAAATCACAGGTAGCCTTGCTAATGATGAAGCTGCGGAAGGGGAGACTATAGGGTAGCAGGAAAAGCAGTAGATTCAAGGCTCCGTGCCTGAGGTATCCAGATCGACGCCCCTTGCATGTATGAGCCTCTCGCCACAAAGAGTGGAAGTCTGGCCGTACCGATTGGCCAAATGCATTAGTCTCTACCTGATCTGCACTTCAAATAAGAAAGGAAGAATTGGTAAATCAAGCTTGGAATAGGTCGAGGGCGAATCAGATCCCTCCTACTAACACTCCTGGTCCTGGTGGGAGGCGTCACGTGAGGAGCAGAGAGAATCCGCCAGGTGTTGCTGCTCCACTGGGCATAATCACTTCTCACCTGCCACTGTGTCTAGGCGATCAGTTCCCTTGGCGGCTATGTTTGAGGGGGCCAGAGATGCAGGAACTGCCAGCTTGATCTGTCGGTGGTGGTTGGGATTACGGTGTCAGCAAGGAGAGCGGGGTCAGTAGCGATAAACGCCCGTGGGCTGATTGTCTCGCCTCGACTTTTAGCTGACGAGGGTAGACTGTCAAGACGCGTTAATTGCCAAACACGAAGATGACCTCAGTCTCGTTCTACGCATGGACCATGGGATTCCCAGATGGTGCCTGGACGGCGTGAAGAGATGAATGTGACTCAGAGCGCGCTGGGCCAGCTCATGCGTTGCCCAACTGCCCCAAGATATTCGGCACGGAGTGGATTGGGCTCCTTGCACGCCGTTGCTGTCAAACAACTGGGTGCACCGCCTCCGATTCTAGAATGCCCAGGCCCAAGACGAAACGAACGGATGGGAATGCGCCTCCGTGCTTGATTCGCATGGTGCATTCACGCTTCACGGCCGAGACGTGCCTAAGCGCCAGGCTGAGCGAGTCAAGAAGACGTCATCCGCGACTGGTAGGCAGAAGGGCAGCTCCGAAGTCCGGCATGGGCGAGGCAGGGAAACGATAACGTGACTGGCGAGCCATGATGACGAAGGTTTTGTAGGTCATGTTCACGCCCATTCTGCTAATAATACCACTATTCCAGGACACGCACTAGGCTGGAAAGTATTATTAGACCCGCTCTGGGAACAAGAGGTAGGAGTCATCGCATTACCCACGACTGGGTGGACTGGGCTGGGCTGGGCTTATCTGGCTTGGCAGTGCTGGCTCAGAGTGAAAACCAAAATTGCCCTTTCCCTTTCAGTCGTGATGGGCAGCGTGGCTTGAACCACACCCCGAAGAGGGGGAGGGAGGCGCTTGCGCTACCACTGGCAGTCCAGACTGGCGTCTGGAGAGGCGGGAGAAGCCAGGAAAAATTCAAATGGCGAAGAACAAACCTTCTCCCACCCTCTGGCGACGGAAGGGGCTTGGCTGAAGAATTAATCTGGAGCAGGTAGGGTCGTATTTGCGTGTCGCAGGCTCGACGGATTCCTCAGTACACCGAAGCCTGCGAACAGGGGGATTGCTCTGCTTGCAGCTGCTGGCCATTCAGAGAGGCGCCTTGTGGCAGAGGGGAGGTGGGCCGGACAACTGACGAGGTGCAGCCGGAGCCAATCAGGGGCGGTTTAAATGCAGCCATGCTGGCCACTTGATACTGGCAGGCTGGGATGGATGGTTGGGCTGCGGTGCTGTGCTGTGCAGTGCTGTGCCTGCGTGTACCACGGCTGGTGTGTGTCTGTGCTGCGCTACCAGGTAATTAGAGGTACCGACATGGAGCGCTGCTGGGTCCATCTCCCCCATTACGGGCAGGGAGTGATGACTAGAGGCGGTACGTATCTGCCTGGCCGACTGGACGGTCCAGCTCACACGTAACTGGCTGCTGGGTACCATGGATTCCCCGCCCACCCGGGGCTGCGTCGAGGTACCAACTGCTTCAACCCCCATCCCATTCCCTCAAAACGACCAAGGCCCCTCTAGCACTCTCTGACCTCTCATTCTCCCCCCCATCGACCACATCCGTCGCAATGAAGTTCATCATCTCCCTCGTCTAAGAACGGACAGCAGACTCGATCGCCTGCTGTCTGGTCTGGATTCTCTCCACTCCGGTATTCTGTAATTCTCCTCTCTGGTTCTAGCTCTCTGGTACTCCTCCTCCCGGTTCACTCCCTCGTCCTGTTCTTCTTTGTGACTCGCAGCGGCATTCACTTGTACCTTGCGACACGACAACACAGCGCTAGCTCTCCGTGCCTGGTCATCGTTTACCCGACGACAGTCAAGGCAACAAAGGCAAACGACTGGCAGACGACCTCTTTCCTATCTGTGTTACTCATACCCTATCCATCTGCCGTTATACTTATTTCATTGTTCTCTACGCTTTGCTTTGCCACCCAGCTGGTGTGTGTTAGGCTGCCGCCCTCTGAAGCTAAGCCTCCAGGCTCCTGCCGAGATCGCCTACAGTCAGTCAACAGCCTGTGGACCCAGCCCGGCAGCTCAGTCACTCGCCACCCTGTGCGGGAGTCACACCACCAAACCGTCTCTACGCCAGGCTGTCACCACCCATTTGTCGCCTCGCCCCCTCAGGCTTTAAGCCGAAGAGTCATCCCTCATTTATTTCCTTTTAATATTCCACGCGCGCCTCGATAGCCTCGCGGCATCGACTTCAGCCTCGACCTCAACCCCTTCCTCTCCCCTCTCCGCCTCACACCTCACCACCTCTCTCCTCGAACAACAACAACAACAACCAATCAACCTCTCCTTATACCAACGACTCATCGTCCACCTTCCTTCGCCCTATTAGTCGATCGCCTCCATCGATGGTAGTGTACTAGACTTCCGTCACGTCCTCTCATATCGGTCTTGAAGCATTTCCGCAATGCCTCTTGCACGATACACTTCACCTCCAGTCGCCGTCTCAGCTTCGTCTCCCGGACTCGTTAGTGTAAAGTCGCTTGCCCGCTCGCTCGTATAGTCGAACGACACGTCAATCTTCTTTCACATCCCGGACTCGTCTCTGTGGCGGCAACCCTAAACACGCGCGCCGCCTCTGATCTAGCTATTCGATACCTCGCGCTTCAACCCACTAACGAACGTTTGGCGACATTGCCCCGACGGCGACTGGAAGTAACATTTACTGGCTTGACTTATAACCTACAAGCCACGACTCTAATATTCAGTTAACTTCAATATGAAGTACGACGCGGACATCTCCCCCGGCTGCGTCCCCTCCCTTAGCAATGCGGTTTACAGTTCCTCCTTAGCCTCGTTTGCGTCGTCCTCGACCGTCTCTGTTTGGTCGGATGCCTCGTCGCAGACATCTGAGGATAGCTCTGTATCTGCAAACTCATCTGATTCTGAGTCTTGTGACTCGTACTGTTTCTCGAAGCAAACCACTGATAGCGTTCGCTTCCAGCAAACTCAGCAGACTTCCGCCTGTGCTGTGCCTTTGGAACAGCGACAGAACCCTCGCAGGACATCCGCAAGCTTCGGCTCTCGAAATGGTGCCCCTCCATCCTTGGTCCGACAGTCGGATCGCAAGGTCAACTTTGTTGACAGCCTTGTCGGTATGTGTTGGACACAGTTGCTCAGGGAAGCGGACCTTTACTTAACCTTTATTTCTACAGATTCCTCCACCCAAATTGTTGAAACAATCTGGCCTCTGTCCTCGGTGGTTTGCCGTAGTGAGCTGAGAAGCAAAGCTGTGCTCCCACTTCGCACTTTCATTCAAGAAACCCTGCGTCGCTCTCGCACAAGCTACTCAACTCTCCAGGTCGCTCTGTATTATTTGATTCTCATTAAACCCCATGTTCCAACCCATGACTTCACCATGGAGCAGCCTGAAGACCGTCACGCCGACCGTGCTCTTCAGTGTGGCCGCCGGATGTTCTTGGCAGCGCTGATCTTGGCCTCGAAGTACCTTCAGGACCGAAACTACTCAGCCAGGGCATGGAGCAAAATCTCTGGCCTCAACACGCAGGAAATCAATCAGAACGAAATCGCCTTCCTGCTTGCAGTTAACTGGAAGCTCCATATTGCGGACGAAGTCTTCCAGAGATGGACGGATATTGTTCTCAAGTACACCCCACCACCTTCGCCTCCTTCACCTGGTGGTATCTCTCAGGTTGTCTCACGGCAGACTGCGGACTGGAAATATATCATTCTCGGACTTGTCCCTGATCTGACCAACATCGAGGAGCTTCTGCCTTCTCGCCGGGTCAGCTCTAAATTGAGCGATTTGTCCCCAGTTTCACCCCGGAGCATTCTGAACATGACATCAGAGAGCCACTCTCAGAGCACAATTGATGCCCTCCCTATTCCTAGGTCCATCAGCATCCCTACACCCATGGAGCCAACGCCCATTTCTGTATATACTTCCGGTCGTTCGGCACCTGGCCTGGGCCTCTTCACAACAACCCGCCTGTCCCAGCAAACCAGCGGAATTCGAACTCCTGCCGCGAGCTCGACTTTCCCGCTGTCAGGAAAGTGCAGTGCTATGGGCTTTGCCATTGGCCAAGCCAACACTGTTAGTGCTTCCCAGTATCTTGACCGCCACCCCGCGCCCTTGTCGTCGTCTCCTCTGAGCTACTGCCCCGCTCGCCGATCTTCGCTTGCCAATTCAATCTCAACTGCCTCATCCCCCGACTCAATGGTTTCCGACACGTCTCGAACCTCACGCTCATCTTCTATCTCATCTGCTTCTTCCCTCGCTAGCGCGACCGCCAACTCTAAGTTGAGCAGTGCTTCGCGATTCCGAGGTGCCAAGCTTTGCAAGGAGAAGACTGGCCTGAGGTTGACAGTCCCATCGGTCCCGGAGAGCTACGATGAGGAGTGTTTCGCGTCTTCTCCTGACTTTTACACCGGCCCGGTGGGAAAGCTTGGAGACTGGTCCGCTGAAACCCCTATGGCAGGCCGAGACTCGCAGCTTCGTTCGATGGCACAGGACGCTGCGTCTGATGCAGCTCGAGCCCTTCAGGAACTCCATAGCCATCGCGCTTATAGCACTACACCAACTGGTTCCAAGCGCTCCAGGCTCTCATCGATTGATGACAGTCTTCACGAGAGCGTTCGTGACCTCCTCAATGGTCGCTATGATTCTGACCCAGCATGGTCCGACCGTTTGGTTCGTCCTCGTAGCGATCCATTCCTCAAGGTACCTAGCTACTCAGAGCTTTCGCGTTCAGCTAAGCGCGTCTGCTGCTCAGCTGAGGCTGCCAGTGGGTACGAGGCCTCTTCTATCCACCCAGGACTCGGCCTTCGCCGACCTGGTATGTGGCATGGAATCCTTAACTAGGAAGAGCAGTCAACTGCGATTTCTGGGCAAGCATGTCACCAATAAATGTGTGGTCAGTTCATTTAGTTAATACCCAGTTACGTTATTCCCTGTGCCACTGTTAGGGACTTTCAACACATTTTTTTCCTTTGTCAACATCCATTAATCATAAATATTGCTTTTGGGAATGGAGTTCTCAATCGGGACTTTTGATACCCTGAGCTTGATAAGTTGCATCTTGATGGTTCCGCAACTCAGGGCCTGAAAAGCGTGTGTCATCAGTTGAAGGAAGAGTATCCTTTTTTTTACGGTAAAGCGGTCAAGGGCGGAAACTAAAAAACAAATGACACTGATGAAAGCAGAGTGGATGGATGTGGACGTTGTACGCTGTACGAGTAAATGTGTTGAGAGTATTATCTATGCTTCTAGGTACTTTGTCGAGCTCGCCTCTATGGCCCGACGGGTCTTTGAGAGCCCTAGACGAGACGTTGGGATATAGAGTGGGCATAGATCTTCATCAGCAGAAATTCAAGTTGAAGCATAATAATGACATGTGTCAGCACAGTTAATCATCAACCTCGACGACCGATATCTAAATGATCCCGAGATCAGCCTCGATGTACGTGCTAATGTCGAACTTGCCGAATCTTGTCCTTTGCAAGCCGTGATCGGAACCGTCGGGAGCTCTTACACCGCTCGACACTGATCCCCACGATAGACCCATCTGTTTGACCGACGGTCATGTGGGCCAAGGTTTGATTCTTCTGGGGCATGTATGCTAATGGTATCTTGATGCCCAAGGCAGAGTACCTTGCAGGCCTCTATTCTTGACTTGACGAACTGCTGCCGGATAATGCGAGGCTAGACAAGTCACTAAGTATTTAGCATTCACACCCGCATGTCGGGGAACTTCGGAATATCTCTTGATGTGTCCCATGTGGCAATTCAGGCCAGCACTTTGTGGAACGACGCGCCTTTTCTCTTCATCCCACCTACGCCAAGCCCGTGGGCTTGAGAGTATTTCCTTTTTGTGGTGGGTGGTAGGTGGCAAAAGGTGCGGTCATTTGGTAATACTACCTGTATCTTGGTGCAATGCTGGCACAAGGCCACCATCGTCTTACGAGAGCTGGGGTGGGACAGCTGAGGGAAATCCGTCGACCTCTCGGATCGTGGGTCACGACGAGCGCGCAGGCAACACTAGATGGGCTGCAACCCCACCCACATGGTTTTGTATTGGAGATGTAAATCCTCACGCCTGGACTCTCCAACCCCTCAGACCGGCCTCCCTGTCCAGATGGATGGAAGCGAGGGGCAACAACGCTAGGTAAGGAACTATCGTGTATGTTTCCCATCTGCCCCTGTAAGAACACCCATCCCAAGGATACCTTGGCCCTTCGAGTAACTCCATGGCTCTCCGTAGGTGACAGGATAATTGGAGCTTTTGAAGTGTATTGTCTTCTTGAAGCATTACAAGCAGCTGTAAGTACCTTCCCGGGGTATGAATAGTTTACTCAGCTTAGAGAATCTTCGGACATAAAACACTCAAGCCTTATTGAGCCTTTAGTGGTCAAGTAAGTCTCGTAAATACTCATAGCGACTGAAATAATTCACCACATTCGTTTTTGACATGTATATGTCGATTTATACTTAATGCCGGGCACACTGCGTATATACATGACTTTCAGTAACTGGACTCAGGACCTAACTGCTGCTTGCGGTACTTCAAGGACATCGTTGTTCTTTGTTGTGCTATGATGTTGTTTCGCATCATTCTAGCTATCTATGGATGATCGCAAGGGCATTTCCTTGTGTAGTATTTGTGCTTGTATCATTGCTCATCGACGAGACGGAAATCCGAGGGCGATGAGCAAAGATCTCCGTCGCGGCTTGTATTGGACTTATTGGCAGGAAGTTGCTTCCTACATGCTCAGGTCTGGCATGAGTCTCTGTGGACACCCGTCACGTCGAATATTATATTGTGTGGGTTATGTGGTATGTAGCCGTGATGAAATGTACGTTCCGAGGCGTTGCTTCCTGCTTTTTGATAGGGACTGCGCAACCTGGTTTTCCTCTATATCACTTCACAACTTGATCTGCGCGCCAGTGGTCTAGGAAAATATCCAGTGCCTGTCTCGTGCGCCTCAGGATCATCCTGGCGTGTTCTGTGTCGTCGCCCCATTGGAGTCGCGCGTCGATCTTACCCTTCTCCATCCGTATGACGTCTCCCGGAAGCCCTCTGAAGACCCAGGAGCCCATCAGGCAGTTGACGACGAGGACATTTGGCTCCGTAGCTTCGAGAACGGCGTTCCGGAGGAACTTGATCTTGTCCTCCCAGGGCGGCCCGTCGGTTTCGTCCTCGGATATCCTCATGCCGCCGCGCGATAGCCAGAACAAGCGACGCAGCTTTTCGTCGTCCCACGGGCCGGTCATGAGCTCCGTGGGGATCTTCACCTGGGGATGGATATCGTGACCACCCCAGGTTTCGGGTTCTATTTGGAAGGGTGTCCACTCTAGAGCCCGTTGGTAGTCGACCTCGAAGCAGTCATGGGCTTGATACCGAAAATCGTCTCCCTCATGAGAGTGCTCGGTTCCTTCCTTACTATCGTCCCATGGGACGGAGTGTTGAAATGACCGGTCGCTGGCATATCTATCCACCCAGGCCTGCTGGGCTGTCAGGATCAGGTCAATAGTTGCCCAGCGCTGCGTCAGTACGGCTGTCTGTGTCTTAGATTAGTATGAGACTGAATGAAGGGTATGTACAGCAACATACCTGAAGCTCAGGGTTTCCCTCGAAAGTGCCCTCCTCCTTTTCTGAAACTGGGCTACCGAACCACTGATCCCAGGTCTCATGAAACGCTAGAATGAAAAGACGGACCAGCGTAGCTCGTTCTGATAGCCTGAGCCCAATAAGTGGACTGGTTCTGGGAAGAGCCAAGTTGGTGCTATACAAGAGAATCTTTTCGAGGATCTCAGATGGGAGGCTGTCGAGAGTAGAGCGATGTTGGATGGTGCGTCGGGCCATCACTTCTGCTATTGATCTCTTGAGCTTCTTGGGAGACTGGTCTTGGGGGCCGGGAGTCTGGATCTGGAACTCGTGTTGCGCCCGAAGCCTCTTCTCGAGCTCTTGTGGGATTCTTGTTGTGGGAGCCGACGGCGTCTTGCGCTTTCCGCGGACCTTTACCGGGGTGAGATTTGAGTTCATGACACCTGGGTTTTTATCCGGCTAATGTGTAGGAGACGAATACAGTATATGCTGGAACTCTGCATAGATATATGATACCAGCACAGGAGTGTTGTCCTGGCGCCTCCGTTGTTGGATATCTTGATGGCTATCGATGCCAAAATTGACGACCTCCCAGGTTGTGGTCACAGTGATGGGTGAGGACGGACTGACGAGATGTAGAGGGGCAGCAGAGGATAATGAAGAGATTAAATGGGTTATTCAAGAAATTATTGATTGCTCGAGCATATTTAGAGATTCAGTTAAAGAAGGTACGTGTCATTATAGTTGATCTTGGTGTCGAGAGTACGATTTCATGGGCAGGAAGAAAACTAAACATCAACCGACTGTAAGCAGAATTTAGCGGGGATTGATTGCTGGCTTTGCTAAAGCGAAGACTGCGAACTGGCGAGTACATTCATGAACAAGCTCTCATTTCTTCAAGCCCCATTGAATGCCATGGGATGGTAGTATGAATGTGCACCTGGAAATGGACCCTGACAGGGTCGTTGACTGTTAAAGCCAGCCAAAACGCCCATATCCGTCTTGCTCTTGACGGGATGAAGTTGTCAAGACTGGTGCTTATGTCGTGTTAGTGGCTCTTTAGCCTGTGGTTACAGTTGCGTAGAGGCTTCCCACAGGCAATCGCCCGCCTAACCTCGCTGTAAATTGGTGCGCCTCCTGGCCACCTCACACATATGGATAGCCTAGTGAAATAGACTGGACGCAAAAAAAAAATCTTGAGTCCGATAATCAATTCGAAGCTCTGTCAGTCGCCGAGCATCCCATCTTTTGTTTACCGCGCCGGCAGCTGTGACAGAAGACGGCTCTGTAACATGCTCCTGGAGTGAAAGGGCCTGATCCAAATGGTGCAATCTCTACCTGCGAAAAGGTCAAACTAATCGTGGAAGTTATCGTTTTGGCCACAGAACCCGAAACCTCGCAGCATCTGGAAACAGAATACCCGCTCTGCATCCCTCCGTCTTGATGAGGCTACAGTCGAATCGCCGCGCATGGCCTTGATCTGACGCTGAGAGTTCTTTGCTGTTCTTCCTAGGCCTCCTATAGCCCCCGCGCCCGTGTGCGAATCGACGATCTAAACCGAGCTCTGACTCCCGTTCCATTCACAAGCCTCTCGCCCCCATGTCCGTTTGGGCGGCCGGGGCCGCTCCTCGAACGCGGTTCCCGATCCCTTCTCGCAGACTACTACGCTTCCTCCATCTCCAGACGACGGGTGCGCCCAAGGCCGCGAACTGTACATATCGGACGTCGTCGTTCTCTACGTTAACAAGGGCTGGGACCTCGAGAAGCTGTTCTCATAGCTTATATATCAAGAAGAGATGCTTCTCACCGGCGCAACGAGAAATCTCTTCGAAATCCCTCGGCTCTGAGGGCGAGAAACTGTTTGGTGGGAAAACAAGGAAACGACCCTTCGTATCCCCTAATAACGCTGCGCCCGTTAGCCGACGTCTATCCAACCTGACCGAATCTGAGATCTCCAAGGCGAAATCGGAAACCAAAACATGGCAAGAGAGGCTATGGGGAGCCACAGCTAAGAAGGGAGGGAAGCCACTCCACCCGAACGATCTCCCGGACCATGATAACAGCGACCACGGCCCTTCTATGTTCAACAATAGGCGGACATTAGCTGCGAAAGCTGCCCTCGAACCTCGGCTTCGATGTACAGAGGTTGATGAGCATGGGAATGTGATTCTGGTTGATGGCGAATTCAAGAAGACAGAGCTGATTGCCAAGGTAGCCCGTTTTCCTACTCTTGCTTACTGATTCTACTGCATAGATTGCTAACATGCTCTCCTTTACAGTACGGCCTGTTGCCCCGCGACTTGCGCAAAATTGATTCGTCTAACCTGCCACATATTCTCATTCGCCCATCCGCCATTCTTCTAAACCTCCTTCACTTGAAGGTTTTGATTAAGCATGATCGTGTACTGTTATTCGATGTCTATGGATCCAAGACGTCGTACCCTCAATCCGCCTTCATGTATGATTTACAAGGAAAGCTACAGCAAAAGTCAACACAGTCATCCGGAGGGGGTTTGCCCTACGAGTTCCGGGCTCTTGAAGCTGTCTTGACGTCTGTAACGTCGGAGCTGGAAGCGGATTTTGAAGCCGTACGGGAACCTGTAATGCAAAACCTGAACGAGCTGGAAGATGATATTGACCGACAGAGGCTGCGAAACTTGTTGATTCTCTCCAAGCGTGTGAGCACGTTCGAGCAGAAGGCAAAGCTAGTGAGGGATGCCATCGAGGACCTCCTCGAGGCAGATGATGACCTTGCAGCCATGTATCTCACGGAGAAGGCCAACGAGGTCAAGCGAGCTCTCGACGACCATACGGAGGTGGAGATGCTGTTGGAATCGTACCATAAACTCACCGACGAAATTGTTCAGGAAGCCGGTAACCTCGTCTCGGGTATCCGCAATACGGAAGAGATGTAAGTGCTCTGGAGCGACTACTTCATTGCTGGACAGCACTTCGATGGAAAGGACCTAGCTAACTTGTTTAGTATCCGTGCGATCCTTGACGCCAATCGCAATGCCCTCATGCTGCTGGACCTGAAGTTCAGTGTTGGCACTCTAGGCTTGGCTATGGGAACCTTCCTCGCAGGTCTCTACGGAATGAACTTGGAAAATTTCATCGAAGAGACAAACTGGGGCTTTGCTGGCGTGACCGGCGTTTCGACCATCTTCTCGCTCATAGTATGCTGGTATGGCCTCGGAAAGCTGCGCAAAGTGCAGCGTATAAAGATGACGAGCGGGGATCGCCCTCATCTCCCTCGCAGCCCTCTGTATCACCACGATGATGGAGCACTGGGACTTCTCGACTCAAGGAACCGCGAACGTGTGAGGAGAATGAACCTTCACAAGCCTACTGCCAAGCCGAAGAGGACGTTTTGGCCCTGGCGGTGACTGAAGTGATTCCCTCACTCATGTTTCAAATGATTTTATGTTTTGGCCTCTCTGTTACCTCCCTCCTCTAATTGTATATTCCCCAGGTTTCGGCATAGACATATAGATGGCGTTGTTTGGGATTGTCACAGCGGGATGGCGATTTGGAGCACCTCTGCACAGTGTACAATAATGTTGAGAGTAGAAGTATATTCCAATCTACCATATAGGGGAGTGAAGACCCTGCTCTAAGAATGGTGTCTCACTTGCTGCATAAAGCTCTTAAGAAAGTACATCCTCTAGGTACTGCATGGAAGAAATATCTAACCAATAACAGATCGTAAATAAAACCCATGGTTCTTATCACCGGCCATTATTGAAAAAGTTTGGCCGACGATCTTATTGATAGGAAAAAAAAAGGGCATTTTCCATCCGGCGAATCGCGAGGCTTGGCATGTCGTCAACAGCATTTTACATATGCAATTGTATCTTTCCACGGTTAATATCCATACATTTCCGCATGTAGCCGTCAGAGCTGCAATTCACTGCTACCATATGACTCTGCAGATTTAGGGATTGAGACCCTGGGGTCAGTGTGGAGAATAGGCGAACGATGTTGAACTGACGTCATGGAGCTGTGGGCCGTTACGTGCCTGGTTTCCGTGGCATTTGGAGAAAGGGACGGTGGAACACGTTAAATTAGCCTCCCTATTTGCTAAATTTGAGAATAACGGGCGGGAGGGTACACGGATAAGGTATGATGCTTGCTGCTGCATCATACTCTGATCTTCTGTATGGCCAGATGGTTTCTCAAATGCCATCCATCCAAAGCATCGTCTTTTAAGTTATAGCCATTATCAGGTATATTATTACCCTTCAGGTTTTTGGCAGTATAGTAAGTTTCATCTGCAATTCACTGATGACCAAATACCCTATAGCGGCGGGAAAAGAAGGATATGGAGAAAAAAACGGCTCGTAAAGTGAGCCGCCTACGTCATCGATTTGATGCAACTGAGGCAAGCGAGATGCACGAACAACGAGCGCATTGTCTAGCCCTATCACTAGCCCCCGTTTTTCTCTTGTTTTTTGGCCAGCACCGCTCAGCTGATGTCTGATGATGCACGTCTAGGGGGGCAAGACCTCCGGAGAGCAATCCCCGTCAGGCAATGATTGGTGCCCTTGGATCGAGATCGGGGGTATGTCATAGTATGGGAACGCCTTCTAACGTTCCGTCCATCTCTGCAATGCCCAGCGTGACCCAGCCAAATCAGCCAGCCAGCCTGCAGTGGTCGAGCCCAGCATGCACAGGGCACCGCTGGCAAGGGGGGTTGGGCTTAGGCGCTGCGATGGTTCCCGTCCTGCATGCATGCAGTCCAACGGAAGGAAATAGTTGACGTCAGCACTACCAAATTGCCCTCCTCATCGTGCATGCATACAAGGGAAGTAGGTTTCAGGATAGTATAAAAGTATTCCAACCACCCTCTGTCAACTACCTTCTTCAATCTCTAATCCCTATACACACCTCTTGAAAATATTCGAAGCCAACCAAAAAAACAAACAAACAAACAACCAAACAAACAAACACAACAGACATCATGGGTGGCGTGCTCAGCTGTGTACGTTTGACGAGACCTCGCTCACTGGTATCCGCCTGACTGACAGACCTTTCGTACAGATCCAGTCCATATTCCGGACAATTGGCGATGCCATCATGGCCGTTATTAGGGGCATTGGTGGAATCATCGTTGCTATTGGTAAGCCGCCTTTCTACAGATGCACCCTATTTGTATCGTACTGACCTTTGTAAACAGTGAACGCAATCGTCTCATTCTGCGGAATCATCGTCTCCTTCTTGACCTGCGGATACTGTGGACGACGGAGAGGAGGCGCTGCTCATCATAGGTCGAGAGGAGTGAGGAGAAGTCATGTGTAGCATGCACAACCCATCTTCCCAAACCACCGCCACCTGACGATGAGGCCTATCCGATGGAGGAACTGGTAGATGGGTGAAAGACACATGACTGAACGAATGCATGCTGGATGCTGCAGGGACAGCCTTGAATTTTCTTTTGTGTTTCCAAAGGATGCTTTGAGATACCCTCTTTCGCTCCGACAAGATTTTTTGTACCTTTCCGTTGCTTTTCATTCACAATATAATACCCCTTAGCAAGAAAACCAGTACCTGATCATAAATTAAGTGGCCAAGTTGTGATATTCAAAATTGCTCAGTAAATTTTTGTCAAGGGTGAAGATGCTATGATCAAAATCGCTTGCAGATGGTCTAATCTAATCCTAATCATCCTCTTCCATTACATTGCGGTTGAAGAACCCGTGCACCTGCCGAGCAACTGCGGGACCTACTATCGGCTTCAACTCCTTTTCATCCATATTAGCTATTTCCTTGAGATTCTCTGTCTCCCAAACAAGAGCGTTGATATTCTTTGGCGTGATTCCTGGCACCTTGGAGAGCATGTCTTGCGGCTCCTGGTTGATTATCTGATCTTCAAGCCTTGAATCCTGATCAAGACCGGCCTGCACCGCTGCAATCGGGTCGGGCTCCTTTTCCTGTTGCTTCAGAGACTCGAAGATTTCTGCTGTCTGGTACGGTGACGAGGACCATATGACACGCAGCCTTGGGAATGCGAGCGTCAGCAGTACCAGCTTGGACTGGAGATCGGACGCGATGTTTCCAGGGGCTAGACTGCTTAGGTTTCCCGAAAGGTCTGCAAATGGTTCTAGTGTAAAAGATTTGTTCTGGTCAAACTCAATGAGAAGCATGGGATCCCGGTAATGCTGGAACATGGCCTCGGCTTGAGTGTACAAGCGGCCGTCTTTGAAGGAAGAGATGAGATCGCTGATCGATTTACGTTCCACGCATATGTGCGGTGTCAAAATGTAATCGCCAACCGTCAGCATGCACGGGACGATCACCATTGACCTCCCGTGCAGAAGGGACGGCAGGGAAGACCTGAACTCTCTCACATCAACCACCACGCGAGGAGGCTCAGCAGTCGCTGCTAGCCTGCCGCCTCCCGCGATCCTCGTGTTCACCGTCCGTAGGAATGCCTCTTGGTCATCCTCCCCACTGGGGTCGACAGTCATGACCAAGGACATGCTGGCCCGCTCCTTGATCAGCTTTGTGAATGCATCCTTCTCACGACGCACAGATGACAGGTATCTTTGCTCCTCCACAGAGCCGCCGTAGTACATGAAATAGACTCTCACATTCCGGTCGTTGTGAGACGAACGATACACCTCCACTCTTCTGATAAACGAGGCGTCAGGCTCGTACATGATGATGTACCGTGGCTTAACCTCCTCGAGGACATGCTCATCCAGATCCCCATCATACGCGTGAATGGCAACTAGGTCCTGCATCTCAAACATCTCGTAGAACTCGTCCATGTTGTCCATGGGGTCAGCGATGATCTCGGGTTTTTGCTGGGCCTCTTCCTCCGTCAGCCGCACCTCAGCCATGAGGTCAGCGACCTCGCCGGGCTTCTCAAAAAATTGGATGATGCTGCCATTGTCTGCACGGCCCGCGTTTGCACCTATATTCCCACCACCCCGAACACGCCTTCTCTTGTTGGGCGGCGCCCTGCCCCCTCTGGTGGCCGTTGCAGAGTTTAGGACTTTTTGATTATCGGCAAACAGTGTTGCGTTGACCTGCGCAAACTGTTTCTTCCAGTTCAAATAATTCCGTAGCCGCCTCCGCATCATGAAGGATGCAGAAGCTTTGTCTTCCTCTTCCTCTTTCTCTTCGCCTTCCTCTCCATGGTCTCTGGTCTCCCTCGCCGGTTTGCTGCCTTCTGCTCTGGTTTTCACGTGCATGGTCTGAAGATAGTCCCGGAGTTGCCGGCATGTGTCCTGGCTTGCGCACATAATCAAAATGGTCCCGTTAGAGTCATCTTTGATTTGAGGCTCAAAATACAGATCACGGTCAATTTCCTCAAGCACTTCGGATAAAAGCGCCCATTTGGGAAGCTCCTCAAGTACGGGATGTAAAGAGTCAATGTTTTCCTCCTTGCTGATGTTTTTGGGGTTCGCCGAGTAGACCCTTCTGCGTGCAGTCTCGAACAAGGTCTGAGTGGCATCCAGGAACAGCCAAGGCGACTGTGTTTGCCTTGTAGACCCGGGTGCCGGGGAATGTGCAGCGTGGATGGTATCGAGGTTTTGGAGGAACGAAACTGCGTCAAAGGTCAAGACAGAATTGAGCAGAGTCCGAAGGACGGAAAGGTCATTGACAATCTGACGAGTCTTCCAGCTCACTCGGTGCCAATTGGGATCTAACTGCCGCCTGATGATCAGATCAAAGTTTTTCAGCAGGGCACTGTCAAGGTTCCAGTCGTCCATTTCCAGTCCGGAATTCCCCTTCTTCAACTCATGAATGCTAATTTCCACGCATTCCATGATGGCGTTTTGTATTTCTTTCATCATGTCAGTCATGGGAACCTCGAGCTCTATCACCTCGGCTTTTTTCTTCCCTTCTAGAGCATGGGCAACCGTCACATGAAATCTCGGCCAGAGGGAGGCCTTTTTGAGGAAGAGGTTCCGTAGCATGGTGGAGAGGGGGGAAAAGCCTATGGTGAAGGGGTCGGGATTATCTGAAAAGGCCTTCAGGAACCCAGCCTTGTTCTTCTGGCGATAAACCCGCAAGATGAAGGCTTCCAGGGACGTAGCTACTACCTTGTCGGCGTGGAGAACGACGAGGCCAGTGATGGTTTCCGGGTTGAGCAGGCCCGTGAGCAAATCAACAACCAGGATACGCGAGGTGACGCTGAATACGCCACCGCGAGCGTACATCTTCTCCCTTGCGCCTACACTCTGGGATTCGGTGTTGACAAGCGTCAAGCCCCGAGCTTTGGGCGACATGCTGATGGCAGCATGTTCCGCCAGCGCCTCGCCAATCCAGCCATTCTCACGCTCCTCGGCGCCAACAACAACGATCAGGTTGTTGCCGGCCGCATCATAGGAGTGCAGGAGATTGGTGACGAGGCGCATCAAGCCCAGGCCACGGGCAAGGACCACCAGCTCATCATCGGCACGGACCTCTTGGAATAGCTCTTGCTGGTACTCCTGGGAGTGTACGGATGCAGTCAGCGCCGTGAATCAAGGCGAATCGGATCCCATGACGGGTCTCACTCACCAACGGTAATGATAGTTTCACGGGCTGAGGTGTATCGCTCGTCGACATGCGGGGCGCGTACCAATTGATGTGCGCCGAAAGAAGGGGTGCAGACGTGTGAGTTGATGATTTGCAAGGAGCTGCTGCACGGGTTATTGTGAGAGTGAATTGGACCCGAATGAGAGGCCGTAGTTGGGTGGTATCAATCGTGCATGATGGAGATTGATCTTACTTGCAGTTCCAGGCAGGTTCAGTTGGGTAGCGTCCCCTAGAGGGCACTCGCTACAGGTACATAAGGTATGTAAGGCATGGACATCTACAATACCTACCTACCTATGCACAGATGTCGTTACACAAGTGCTCTGTTTCGCAAGCAAGGCTACTAAGATGTCTCATCGGCATTCAGTAACAAGACTTCAAAATACTTCACTCTAAAGACATCAACATTTTTAGAAATATGTAATATATTTTGCTCGTTAGCTAGGTACTTGTATTTACCCTTGTAGTGTCGGGTGCCATCCTGAAATTTTGACAGCCCTGGACATCAGGGGCTCTAGCGATCTTATGCACTGAAAGGTTCCTAATCCCCTACTACAGAGGGATCCCTCTGTTGCGGACGAGCATGATACCCAACTCTGCAAAAACCATCTTGGCTTCTCCATTTAGTTGATTTCTCTGTACTTGATGACGATATCCGTCCCGTGAACTTTCGTGGATGTCCTCCCTTTGGTATGATTACGCAGATTATGATCACATTGTCCCTTATTATGCAATGTCGCATATTGAGAAGAAGCAGTGGATCCTGGCACACCCATTACACACTCGATCCAAGTTTTCTCAACTCGAGCATTGAGTTGTAGGCAGTGCGCGCAGTCCGATACGCCGGCTTGGGATCTGTGGCGGAGGCCGTAGCCAATGTGAATCGGAGCTACGCGATCATGGCTACCAGTCCCGGCAAGACGTCATCGGCATGTGTCTGCCCAAACAAAGTATAAGTAGCCGCTGGCTAAGTGCCAACTGCCAGGCAACCTTTATTCTTTACATCTCTCCATCATTTCGTGATAAAACCGGTTGAACACCACCCATCTATCTATCTGAGTTCATACTAGACACCATGCCTTCCGATAACAAGCCAAACGAGGTTGGTCTCATTCTACCCATGCTGTGGCCTGGGGCTGTCTTGGCCTCACCTAACCGCATAGATCGCTCTCGGGATCGTTCTCGGCTAACTTCCTATGCAGGGCGAGAAGCAGTTCTCCATCCAGCCCATCAACGAGCAGGGCCACGACCCCAAGTTCGCGCCGTTTAATGCCCACCCCGGTCCCGCCAGGACGCAAGAGATGCCTCCCCAGGAGGGTACCAAGGAGGAGCGCCAGGCCAAGAAGGAGGCTCTGAATAAATGAGTTCTGCCGCTCGGCTTTTGAGTGGACATAGAATTAAATGAATGAATAAATGAATACTTATGGAATACGTCTTTGAAGCTCGCCGATGCTCTCCCATTCCTCGCAAGTGCATGTGCAGCCGAGTTGATGTGGCGGGTGCCCCTCATCTCATGGCAAATGATCATTTTGTCAGCTCACTGCAACCATGGCTACCAACATGACATCTGTAGAGCCTCATGCCTTTCCATCGAGGGCTTCACGGCGACTTATTACTCCACAGGTTCTTATAAGTTAGGCAGATGGCTGATACAAGTGTCCACTGCTGCGAGATGACGACAACGCTCGAGCCTCTCTGACGTTGTTCGGCTGTGGCTTTGCAGTACATGGACTCCGTTTCTTCAGGTATTGAGGTAGCAAGTGTGGCTGAGTCCTAGGTACATGCGCAGCTGTCAAAGTGCTTCCAGTACCCGCACGGACAAGTCTTAGTTAAGCAGGCACTTTCGGATGGGCAAATCCAGAGCAGGCTGTCGTTATTGAGCCACACGCACACAGTTGAATGCCCATGTTCCTCCTGAATCACGTTAGCGCAGGCACGTTAAGCAGCATCCGCTGGAGCATGTACCCGCCCAGAACGAGGCACTCCACATTCGAGAACCAACCAACCCCAATCAACTCATAATCCTCACTCTCACTCCCGTCGTCGGATAGTCGGTGGTCTGGCCTGTTGACAGACCACGCACATCGCCCTCCTCTGTCCTCGGACTTTGATTCAGTCCAGATACCACACTGTTCCGGACCCTCTGGATCCGACAACGCTCGCTTCCAAGTGTGAGGGCTTAGACAACGACAAGGTTCGCTCCGCCCACCGATTGACGAGTCGCCTGCCATCCGATCCGATTTCCACAGCGACCGCAACCGCTCCCGAATATCGCATTTCCAGGCATTGCTTTCTTTGGTCACGTTCTACGCATAGACTGGGGGCTTTCTGAGCTTTCCTGGTCGCCTCAACATGCCTTCCATTCTTAGCGATGACGATAAGGACACTGTGAAGCGATTTGTGCCCAAGCAGTCCAACAAGATCCAGGCTGTCGCTGTCGCCAAGCTATACGTTGCATACCCCAACCGATCAAAATGGACATACACTGGACTCCAAGGGGCTATCGTACTCTCCAACGATTTGGTAGGGAATACATATTGGATCAAGCTGGTGGACATCTCGGTATGTGGCAACAGACCGGCCTATCCTGCTCCCATTCACTCTAACAATAACATCCATGCAGCCTTCGAATCGCGGCGTCATATGGGACCAAGAGATTTTTGATACCTGGACATATCACCAAGACAGGACCTTTTTTCATACATTCGAATTGGAAGAATGTGTCGCTGGGCTGAGCTTCGTGGATGAGAAGGAGGCCAAGCAGTTCAAGAAGAAGATGGACGATCGAGAGAAGAACGCCAGCAAAGCAACTAGGGCGACTCATTTTGGTGGCGCCCCCCAGCCTGAAAAGAAGCATGGCCACGGCTTGTTGGGAGGTTTGTTTGGATCTCGCCATTCTTCTGCTCCTTCTCCCACCGAGGCTCAGCGCCACACCCTTCCTCCGCAGCCCTCGCACCACATGTCCACATACAGCCTCAATGGCAGTACGACTTCATCCGAATTCCCTATTCTCGACGAATTTGACCCAATGTGGAGGGAGAACTTTGGGCAAGATTTGAAGGATAAGGGCTTGACGGACGATTTCATCAAGGAAAACCAGGAGTTCATCATCGAGTTTGTTCGTGAACAACAGCAGGCTACACCGCCAGAAGCCCCTAAAGCAGCATCTCATGCTCCTCCGCCCCCTCCCCCGTCTGCACCTCCTCTCAATGGCCACGATGCTCGAAGCTCCCGACCTCCTCCGCCTCCTCCTCCTGGAGGGCGCTCTGAGCCAATGTCCCCGCCAGCAAACTCCAAGGCTCCTCCCCCTCCAGCCCCCAGACGATCTGGCAAGACAGAGCATGAAAGCAGGGACTCACCCGAACCTTCTCCTGTCCCACCACGGGTGAGGTTTAACGCACCACCACCTCTGGCTGACGCTGGTAAATATGCCAAAGAAGCTCCCAAAACAGCCCCTCTTCCTCCTCCAAGGTCGACCGGCCCTCCACCGCCTCCAAGGCCGGCCAAAACACCAATTGAAGAGAATTCCAGTCACAAGTTTGGAGTTCCACCGCCCTTTGCAGGTCAGAGGAACAACCCTCCCCCCCCAACTCCGAGTCGAGGACCAGTTCCCCCACCTCCGCCCCCTCGGAGCAATGCTGCTCAACCCTCACCAACACACGCCTCTGCACCCGCACCACCTCCTCTCCCACCAAAGGTTCCAGCGGCTGGCCCTCCCCCTTTGCCGCCCATGAGCTCTCGACCAATTCCTCCACCTCCAGTTGCTGCATCTCAACCACCTCCGCCGCCGCCATTACCACCAACTACCAGCGCAGCTCCTCCCCCTCCGGCGCCCCCTCCTCTGCCGCCAACTACCGGCGCAGCTCCTCCTCCCCCGGCCCCCCCTCCTCTGCCGCCAACTACCAGCGGAGTCCCTCCGGCGCCTCCCCCTCCTCCTCCTCCCCCGGCTCCGGTATCTGGCGGTGGGCCGCCAGCTCCACCGCCACCTCCCCCTCCGAATCGAGACTCGGGATATGCTTCAGGTGTCCCAGCTCCCCCAGGCGCAGATACTGGACGGGCGGCTATGCTGGGAGATATTCAGAAGGCTGGCGGTATTGCTTCGCTTAAGAAGGTCGACAGAACTAAGATTCGAGATCGCAGTGGAGCACAAGTCGGGGGTGGCGGCGACTCTGCAACTAGCTCAGCTGTCGGCGCCGCGGCCCCTGCCGCTGGTGGAGGCATGGCCGATGCGCTCGCTGTGGCACTTCAGAAACGGAAGGAAAAAGTTAGCAGGAGCGGTAAGTTTCTATTCAGTGACCTATGTTTGAGTTCTTTCCCACTGACAAAATGGATGACGAAGATGACGAGAGTGATAACGATGACTGGTAAATAAGAGATGGACGAACACGATATTGCCTGGGGATGGGGATTGCGAGTGACAATGGCTAATGCTTACCCGCGAACCGACAACAAGATTACGATCATTACTCCTTGAGGGCCCGAGCTATTGCTACCCAGCACGATAGACGATGACTTCAACCCGGTAACCAGACCCGGGTTTGTCTCCGCCAGCGGGGCTACACCATAGGAAAGACCATGACGCTGGAGGAATTGGGCGTTACGTTTGTAGAAAAGCCAATCATCCAGCAAGAAGCAAGCCGCGAACACCTTTTGTTCGCCTGAAGCATCTTGCCAGGCTACCCATTTGCATCATGTGGATAGCGCAACACTTTACCATGAAATAGACTACCGATTATATGAGAAATACTTCAAGGCGTTTCCATGTGACTACAAACGTAGTGTTACCCGTGAACTCAGCTCATGCGAATCTACTCTGACCTCGGGTCGTGAATATAGGTGGTGGTAGAGACGAAATTGATATCCACGGTGAGATGGCCGAGTTGGTTATGGCGTCAGGTTAAGGCTACCTTAGCATTCATTCCTGGTGGAGCAATCCTCCTGGGTTCGAGTCCCAGTCTCATCAATTTTTTTGCACTTGATATAAAAGCGCGCACATCTCACGTAAAATGATTTTATTTTTGCACCTGAATAAACTTTAGTTATGAACAAAACAAAAATAATCATTCTTGCTCCACAGAATTGATTAACACCGACAAAAATAGCACCACGATCTCGTAACAGCAAAAGATATGATGAGACTGGGACTCGAACCCAGGAGGATTGCTCCACCAGGAATGAATGCTAAGGTAGCCTTAACCTGACGCCATAACCAACTCGGCCATCTCACCAGATGAGTCGATGACGGCACGAGGGTAGCAGGCTCTATACAATCCGCAGCCTCTGGCGACTACTGAGAGGGACCGCTGTTTGTATTGCGACTCAATCAACAACTATTTTGATTCTTGTCACACATGTCAATCGTTCTTCAAAATTGGTGGCCATTATCATTTCATCACCGTTCAACGTCATGCCCGTCAGTTCAGATGGATGATTTAAAGGTAAGGGTTTGTATTGATGTTTTATCAGAAAGGGTTGCTGCTGGGAATCCTTCTTCCGCGCAGAGCGTAAAATGAACAAAGACCAAAAAGCCAAGGAATAAGGCAAGGTGAATCAACATGACAGGCCATGACGTCTCTCCCACCATGGCTGCCTCACCCCAACGTCCTCACTGTCGTGGGACCCGAAGTAGTGCGTGAACAACGGGTTTGAGAGAGAAGACAGTATTACTGGCCTCCCCCCCGCCCATAACCCCAGTGTCTGGAGAAGGGAGGGAGGGGAGGCTAGACGGCGAGGGGCCAACGGAGAAGATCCATATTCTAGCAAAATCCGAGCCGCTGCTGGTTTTTTCTTTCTTTCTTCCAAATCCACCGGGAGGGAGGTCGTTTAGATATCGTCGATGTCGACCTCCTTCTTGCCGCCGGGGACGTCGGCGTCGGACTCCTCCTCGGAGTCGGCGTCGCCGAACTCGAAACCGGCCTCGTCGCCCTCGGCCTGGCCGAAGGTGTCGGTCTCGTTGATCTTGGCGTTCTCGGGGAGCTCTCCGTACGACTTGAGCGTCCGGGCCTCGTCGGCTGTGTATTTGAGGATCACGTCGCCCTTGTTGTCCTGGAAGTCTCGCAGGGACAGGAGGATGATGTCGCCCTGGTTGATCCAGACCTTCTTGCGCATCTTTCCGCGGATCTAGAAGTTTTGATGTTAACGGGTGAAGGGATGAAATGTTTTTGACGGAGATACGCACGTTGGCGAGACGCTTGCTGCCGTCGAAACACATAGCCTCGAGGCGACCGTTGCCGAGCATCTTCACGACCTGGGCGTACTCCTGGCCATCCTCCTTGAAGGTGAGCTCACGACGCTGGTCGTCGTTCTCCTTGGTACCCCTTCTGCGGTTCTTGCCGCCCTGTTTGTCACGAGTTGGTTAGCTATGGGTATTCTCTCTCGCCGTTCTCTGCGTTGGCGCGGCTGGCTGCCCGATTTTCAGTGGAGGTGGGGGCGGGGTCGTCAGAGGTCTTCGCGCGCAACTGGGGAGGGGTGCCGTCAATGTACCTTTCCCTTGTTCTTAGGCATAGCTGTTGGTGGAGTTGACTGGATAAAAATCGAACAGTATGGGGGAGAACAGAAGTTGAAATGGTAAGAAAGGGCGCAAGGAACGTCCAGTGGTGGTCGGGTCCCGTTTGGGGTGTTTGGTTGTGGAGTTGCGTTTAATGTTTGGTGGGCAGCAGGCCTTTTTATTCTCAGGCCTTCTGCTTGTGTGGTTGGGCTTTCACGTCCCGTCTGTATTACTGGGTCTGGCGCACGGTGCAGGGGGCGTGGCTTATGGGCGGCGATGAACAAAGATGACTCAATGCAGATGGCTTTTCTTTTTTTACCCTTCTCCAGTAATAATGAGGCGAATCCAAGTATGTGCCTTGCTTACCTAAGCCAGCCACACCACTTGCCACTCTGCTAGCCGCAGTTGGACCGCCACAAGCTGCAACGAACTCGCAGAGCTCTGCTTCCTGCTCCAATCAAGCCTGGTTCGTTGGCCGACTGTCAAAGACAAGCTCGACAGTGCTCCATGGATGGCTTGATTATCTCACCTGGAGTGATGAAGTTTCAAAGCTAGGTAACCCGACTCACTGGTTGATATGGCAGCAGCCTCAGCTTCTCTCCGGCAGAAGCTCCTCAACTTGCACCCTCCCGCTCTTCGCTCTGCCTTTTCAACCGGTTCCAGATGTCTCAAGGCGAGGCGCGGCTTCGGCGCCAGATATATCCCCGAAGAGTGCAAAACGTTTTACTTCCCGGATGGCCGTCTCTGGACAACACCAGAGAACACCCAGTTCCTCTCCAGGTACGGCATCGAGCATGACGTCGCGCTGGCAACCGTCCCGGCGATGGATCCCGAAACGCGCCAGGTCGCCCAGAAATTCAAGGCCACCTTGTCCTTCAGCCCCCGCCACATAATTGACCCCTTCTACGTCAAATACCTAGATCCTCGAGGCCACCCCTTGGGGGCCTCGCAGAAGGCGAAGTGGGCTCGGTGGTCCGAGGAACGGCCGCTGTGGTTGATATGCTCGGTTAACGGCGGCCCCAAGCGCGTGGTGCGCTTGAGAGCGATGCGACGGGTCCGACACGCCCTATATACTGCCCTTGAAGAAAAGGGTTATGACAAGTACGGCAATGGGAAGGGCAAATACATCAAGGGAACATTGCGGATCCATCTGAACCAACCCTTGGAGGCAGTCTCTATCCCCTCGCTTGAGTTTGGGCCGCCCTTGGTGAAACTTCTGGAAAAGCTCACGTCTCAAACTAAAACTAGAGCTACTGCACCAAATACCACCCGTAGGACTTCCAGACCTCGTGCTTGGTAGTATTCAGAGGTCAGCTCCAACTACATTGCTGTAGGGATTTGGGGTTTCACTCGGCTGTGAGTTGTAAATTAATCGGCCATCTCAGGTCATTGGGTTAACTTGAGTTTGCCCCTAGTATAGAACCATTGTATTTATATCAATTCAATAAAGGGGATTTCTGATAACAGAATAATTGAAAATACTAACTATGTGGGACATAGAGGATATCGTTCCTGGCCCATAGGCTTAGGACTGTTGCCATATTTCTTACCATAATAACCCCTATAGCAACTTCTATATCATAGTAGACTGGCTTGTGGTTAAAGGGTCTTGGGCCACACTGAGGCTTGATGACTGAAGAAAGAACCTATCTATATAAGGCACATATCCCATGACACCTTCATCTACGACCATACCTGCCAGACAGCACTGGATCCCGTTTGCTCTCCGCACGTTAAGCTGGCAAGGGGCCGATTAGTAGTTGGGTCGGTGACGACCAGCGAATACCGGCTGTTGTAGGTATCTAATATCTTTTGCATTTTTGTCTTATAGGGTATATATTTTTTTGTTCATGCTTCGCTTTTGCCAAGTTCACTTCGTGGCGTCCATCGTTGTGTCGGCGGTGATATTGTATAAGAACTTGCGCATTGGCCCAATGAAATATATTTATCCATTGGAATGCCCAAATTCGACTCTGTTGAGCGTTGTTGGTTCCGATCTGCCATCGTCCTGGTCATCCCTAGCCCATGTCAAAAGCGCGGCGATGAGTGAATGAAATCTGACAGGTGATCACAGAACATATGAGATGCTTCGGTGTGTGCTTTCTCTAAATTATTTATTTTATTTTGAGTGGTATCGATTCTATGGTTTATTCCACAGCTGTTCTAATTCTATATCTCTCGACTGTATCTTCTTTTTACAGGTGCTTGTAGACGACATCGAAACCAGAGAAGTCAAGAGACTGAAGCTCCTCCTCCTTGGCGGCGTAGGTGACCTTGCCGTGGTCGACAACGATGGCCCAGCGGTCGCTGCGCTCGCCGTTGTTGACGGTCCAGCCAAGGCTCTTGGCGAACTTGAGGTCGGAGTCGGAGGCGAAGACCTGTTGACATGTATTGTTAGCAAATCCCAGCATTTTCAAATCGAAGGATTCATGAGTGGTAGCTCGTCATGAGATACGTACAATGAACTCGTCGTTGACACCGTTGGCCTTGCCCCAGCCGGACATGACGTAGGCGTCGTTGTGAGCGAGAACGATGACCTGATCAACACCCTTCTCAACGAGCTTGTCCTTGTTCTCCTTGAAGCCGGGGACGTGGCGGGCACTGCATGTGGGGGTGAAGGCACCGCTGTTTAATCGTTAATCATTGATGTCCATGAGACTTGAATTGGAGGAGGAGGGCCCCGCGACGAGGATTGGAGATTGGTGGTACTCACGGAAGAGAGATGATGACGACCTTCTTGTTCTTGAACTCGGCGGAGGCGTCGTACTTGATAGGGATACCGCACTGGCTGAACTCGCTGGTCTCCTTGCTGGGAGGGATCCATGCTATGAATACCAATTAGCCTCCAGTCTAGAAACCGGCATATAACGGTTCGATTTCACGGTCACATACCGAAAGCAACTCCCTCGGGGAAGCTGTCACCGGCCTTGAGAGCAGACATTTTGATATGAATTAGGTGGATGAGGCGAGGAGATGTGTGTGAGAGTAGCGCTGGTTGGAAGCTGGTGAATGGGAGAGAGAAGGACTTCGGACCGCGTTCGACCTGGGAGGAGCCCGAGCTTTAAGAAGACGACAGGCTTCGCCATCGCTCCGCTCAATGAGGTCAAATGCAGGTGAAAGGTGGCGCCCTCCGAAGCCCGGAGTTACGGTCGGGAGCCGGCTCCACTTTAGATTTGGAATTCGAGCCCTGCTTTATCAATCACATCCCTCCCGGCCCTTGTTTGAGGGATTAGTATTAGTCGATGGAGGTCCTGCACGCCGCAGGACAAGGGTCTGCTGTCACATCGAGACGGTGCGGTGCGCGGTCTGTTGGGCGTGGAGTATTCTGCATTGTTGAACACTCCCCCGTGAATCTACAGCCTGGTTGTACGTGGAAAGATAAAAAAAATCGCGAGGGGTTATCAGTGGGGTCAAGGAGGGGTTGGAGGGGTCTATCTTTACTCCCCGTCCGTACATGTCCAGCGGCCAGCTCACGGCATATGGCTCAATGATTCAGTGGTAGAAAGCACGAGTAAGGCATTGAACTCTATCTGAATCGATTTTGGACAGATGGTGCCACGTGAAAGAGCTTTCAGCTCGATTGGGTGGCATTGGACGTGTCGCGGGTCGTTTTTGGCCACGGCGACGATTGCCAGAACGAGCACGACTAAGGAACCGGTGCACGGCCCCCGAAATAGACGGTGGCAGCCCACTTCGTAGTTTCTACATATTTCCATGATCCACCATGAGATCATGCGCAAGGGGACTGACTGCATGAAACCTCAGCTCAGAGGTTGTTGCTCACTAACTGGCTTGAGTCGGCCGGGATGCTAGACAAACCAGCCGTGAATCGTGGCAGAGGAGCACCGCCTCTGCGCTCACGCTCGAGAATGCTACTTTAACTAGCGGTATCCATGCCGGTGCCTGGCCGTCCGATGGGCACCGAATAGGCTATTCACACCTTTTCTAGTCTAACAGCTTGGAAAATCACTAAGGAATTACCCGTGTCCCGCGCTCCAGGGTCTTGCATGTGGAAGTGCATCGGATCTCCGAACTCCCGATGGGGTCATATCAGAGGATCTGCATTATCCGTCAACGACATGACGGTGCGGGTAACTGGGAAGAATAAGATAATGATTTTTCACATAGTATTATCGTTAGAACTTCTCGTCTAGGATGGCGTAGGACCGATGTTAACGGTACACATTCTTTTCTCTGTTGACATCGTTCTCCAGGAAAACCTCCGTCTTGTCGTTCATCTTGGCATCAATGTTCTCACACGGCAGGCAGCAAATCAGACCCAGACCAGCAAACGCCAAGGAAGCGAGCGAGGTGATCTTGAGTCCGTGGGCCACAGCCCACTTGTAGGCCGTACTGGCCGCCGTCACAATTTCGTCGGTCTATAAAAGAATGCACTTAGCACAAGAATCGATCAGAGCTGAAAGGGTTTACAAAGGGTGATTCCTTACAATTCCGGGAATATCCTTGATGGCACTCGAGGCGCCGGTCGAGATGGCTTGGAACAGCCGCTGTGCCTCGGCTTGTCCCAGGCCCAGAGCCTCTGCCGCTGCCGGGACCGTCTGCATTGCTTTGGTATTCTGCGTATTGGTCAAAATTGTCGTGTATATCGCCTGTGCAAGAGATCCTCCTGTTTTGGAGATACCCCAGTCAGAGATCCAACGTGCTTAAACTCCAGAGTTGAATGAATTCGGCATATGCTCACCTGCGTATCTCGCAACTCCGCCCAGGCCTCCCGAGATGCCCAGGTCAACTTGCTTCACTCCCAGTTGGGTGAATGCAATACTTTCATACTGTGCCCAACCGAAGAACATTTGCTCCAGGAATGCAAAAGCAATCATGGTGCCCTTATTGTACGGCGTGACGAGCGCGAGCAATCCGCCAAAAATTGACAGGCCAGTCCAGGAAATACAAAGAGTCCATTTCCAGTGTCCGATTAGGTTTCCGAAGCAGGTAAGCAGAACAGCTCCGAACACAAGACCAAGGTTATTAGGGAGCGTGAGAAGCAGCTCCTCACTCCGCGAGGTGTTTTCATTAATGTAGAATGCATTTACCATTGTAGGCCGGATTATGTTGATGCCATAGTAAAACATGGTAACCTAAACCGGGCTCTATTAGCAACAGCTGGTTGAAAGAAGTCTTCTGGGGCGGAGAGAGACATACGAGGAAAGCCAATATAAACAGAGCTGTAAACTCTCACCCGTTATGGGACCTGAAGATCTCTGGAGGGCATAACGGATAGCGGGCGTTTCCAAATGTTTCCCAGAGACCAAAGAGAATGAGTAGCCCAAAACCTGTGCACAAGGGAGCAAGCACGGTAACATCTCGGCTTGACTTGTACTGCGAGGTTGTTAGAGGTTTTGTATTCTCAGGTAGCAAAACTTCAGGATATTGCATGTAACTTACAGTAGTGTTGATGATGCCAACGAGTGTGAGACAGATCCCTGGCACAATGAGCAGCGATCCTACATAGTCCAGCCCACGGATGGCTTCTTCCCACGGGACGCCTCTTGGGTGCTTCGGGGGCTGGTATAGCCAATAGATACTACCAAGTGTCGCAAACTGAAGGATGAAGCCGGCCCAATATATGAATTGCCAATCTCGGTTGCCCTCGTCGATGGCGTATCTCCCCACAATTGGACCAATCACGACAATCAAATAGACAAAACCATCTGAAATAGTGATCCCAATATGTCGGTACTTGTTTGGCATCAGTTCGGGTATCGAACACATGGCCATCTGACAGAAGCCCGCGCCAAACCCTGTAATTCCGAGGCCGGCAGTGAACTGTGTTGACGAATGGGCAGTGGCAATGATGATGAATCCCACGCTGCATATGGAGTTACCCAAAAGGAGGACTATTCTACGACCGAAAAGATCGCTGTTTGTGCCGGCGAGGATGAAGGCGATCGAGTTTGCTGTTGTATAAGCCGGAACTTTCCAAACAGGAGAAGTCAGCAACAGACCATGGCATGATTTCCATCAGCAAAGCACTTACCATACCAAACGTATGACAACGGATCTCCAAACCGAGTAGCTATCTTGACCTGCATCGCTGCCGTAGTTGGTACTGGCCAAAAGCTGAGCCCGAAGGTCGCTGACAAGAACTAGGGCCGTCATGGTCAGAGAAATTGCATCAACGTTGATGCTGGGCCATGACTTACAAAAATGACAATCCATGTCTTGGCAGTGATTATTTCCGAGCCGTCTTGGGTCACCCCGAGGTCATTATCTGTCGATACTTTTGCGTCCTCAACCTGCTGGTTGGTGACTTTCTCCTTCTCATCTTGAGAAGGGAGCCGCGGGGGCTCAGCCTCGGAGGAGTGTGTCATAATACCCGTCAACTTATCGAGTGTAATTAGGGTAAATTGGGTGCCAAATAAAGTTGATGATTATACAGAGCATCAAAAAAGGGACCGGAGGCACGGCGGATCTTTAAGGATCCGCTGGGAATGATTGACCATGGCCACGTACTCGCATAGAGCAGAGAGGCGTGCTACCTATTACTGTCCAAGTTATCCTGAGCCAATGTACCTAGGCCTAAATCAATTGAAAAAGAAAGTTTCATCTCCGAAATTGCTGGACCGACACGAATCGTTCAAGGATTCTGATAACCATTCGATTTGCTAGCCTGGACAGGGAATAGAAAGGTGTTTGCGGTGAACCCAGCTACATTTGTTTCCAACAATGGTACATGATATAATTGACTTATTAGCATAACGCTTGGCGCAACTGGAATCATTAAAATCATTAATATTTAGCCATCTTTTGCGACTAGCACAGTTTCAGCCTCAATATCATGTATCCTCTTGCCTAGATCAGATGATGGGTGGACTTGACATCGGACGTCTAAACCCCACGATAGCGAGGGAGAACGAGCCAATGATTCAGTAGATCCTTTACTCTGGGTAAGTTTGGTATTGGTGGACTCATTCAAGCCTTACGCAAGGGGAAAGCTCTTCCGCTGTTCGAGAGACAGCTAATAAACACCATAATAGTTCCCAGTTGCTGGCTCGGGGGCGGCCCCACTCCCCCGGATTTCGACACCCGGCCCCGGAGTCCTTTCCTCTACCCCTCGATTGGGGACGACGACTCCAATAATTTAGCCACGGACCGATCATCTGGTACGATATTGCCCTGATGCGATAGGGTGTGGATGATACTCTCCAGAGGCGCCTTGCTTACTTGTGGCTTCGCTTCAAGGCCTCGCGGCTTCCGTTATCCAGAGTCGAGCCTGGGGAGCCAAGACAAGATTCTCACAACGCCCTACAGACAACTCTTATGTCATGAAAAAAAGAATCAAACTCCTGCCTTCAACATTATTTTGAGATTCTCTTTAGTTGAAAATAGTGACGGCCTTGATCCTCTAATTGGTTCCTAAACACCACTGCAAAGCTTGCTCAATTCTTATCCTCTCAGCCTCCAAGATGAAAGCCGGACAATGGGATGGGGTATGATGTCTTTATTCCACTCGAGTGCATATCTCTCATCATACAATTATGAAAAAGCTAACGTGGTTAATGATATAGAAACAGAAGAAGGTGGTGATCAATGACATCCCTGTTCCAGTGCCTGGGGAGAACCAGTTCCTCGTCAAAATCCACTCTGCTTCACTATGCCACTCTGATCTGAATCTTGAACTCCGCCCCGAGGCTACCATCACAATGGGCCACGAGGGAGTTGGATTCATTGAAAAGATACACCCCTCCGCGGAAGGCAAGGGCTTTGAGATAGGCAACGCAATCGGATTCAACTATTTCAACAACTGCTGCTACGAATGCGATGGCTGCATGGTCCACAACAACTGGTGCGAGGTCAGCCAGCCCCAGCTCCAGGGCTTCCTGGCAGATGGTTACTTCCAAGAGTATGTCGTCGTCGACTACCACAATGCCGTTGTACTTCCCAAAGAGCTGGATATGAAGCGCAGTGCCCCGTTGTTTTGCGCGGGAATCACAGGTACGTGACTCAGGGCTCTAACATGATCATTACTACTTCGTGATAGCGACTAACACGCTTGCCCAACTCAGCCTTTCACGCTGTGGATAGCTGCGAGCTGAAAGAGGGAGAGTGGCTCGCGGTGGTAGGCTGCGGAGGACTCGGCCAGTACGCCACACAGTACGCCAAAGCAATGGGATTCAAGGTCGTCGGCGTAGACATCAACGACGAAGTGCTCCAGTCGGTCAAGGACCTTGGGGCAGACGCGGTGTTCAACTCCATCAAAACGCCCAATCTTGCCGAGGAAGTCAAGAAGCTCACCGGAAAGGGTTGCCACGCCGCTGCTGTCTTCTCTGGGGCGCCGGCTGCGTATGCCTCTGCACCTCAGCTGCTGCGGATCGGCGGCCTGCTCATGGTGATCGGTATCTCTTCTCAGCCCATCTCCGTGTCCACCTTTGACTTGACCACTGGTCGGTATCGCATCAAGGCCGACAGCACGAGCATCCCGCAGCGGATGGCCAAGGCTGTGGAGTTTACCGCCAAGCACAATATCCAACCGGCTGTTGAGTTTAGGACTCTTGAGGAACTTCCTCAAATGGTAGCTGATATGCAAGGTGGGAAGGCAAAGTACCGTCAGGTCGTTGTATTCTAGAAAGCGATCCTATTGTAGTAGCTAAGTAGTTGTTCGGTATCTCAAAAGATATGGCCATCAAATTTTCAGAGATATGCTGTGCTTGTTACAATAACTTGACCTGCGAACATAGGGAAACTGAAAGGGAAAATCCTGTTATAGCGATCGTACAGTCATAAAACCTTCCAACATGGATGCGCCAATAAGGGTAGAGAGTCATTAGAGACACTCTGAATCGAAGAGACATCATCATAGAGCCAAGTTCAAGAATGCTGGTGAACGGACTATCCAGTTTAGTCAAATTTCACCTCAATGCTGACTCTCAGGCCCCTCTATCTTCGAGGACCAGGCCGCTCGCTAAAGCTCTCCTCATTTTGTCGACTTTCAGGCAATGGAAAGGTATAGCGACTCCCGGCCAAGCTCCCCAGCGTACCACCACTTCGGCTAAGCTCATCCACGAAATGATTGATCGGAGAAACATCTTGGCACTGAAGCCACCGAGCCCTTGTCCCAATCGACTGCCCGCTGTCATAGGTGAAATTATTTAAATCATAGGATTAATACTGGCCGACCAGGATAGGATGAGATATCAAACCCAGCCGAGGACGCAGGCACTGACAACTTCAACAACAAGCTTCCAGTATATCAAAGTTTGTCGCGATAATCCAAGTGATGGCGGCTGGCTCTGGTGATAGGGCCACTGGCCACCAACGGATCGACCACAAGTTCAATTTTGAGCTTTTCGATTATGAGACCCCTGAAAACTTTCAACGTAGGCAGCGAGCAGCCCACGTTTAAAAAAAAGATCATCTTGCTGAAGAGGGGAACTAACTAGACACCTCTTCTAGCATGTATTAAACTCGAGTTCTTTTTCTACAAGCTGCCTGACGTCTCATCAGAGCACTTTCACAAGCATTATGCGCACATTCACTCCGACATCACAGTGGCCGCTCGCAGTTTCGGGGCCCATAAGGTCCAAAGATACATGCAAGTGAGTGTCTAAATGATGAGAAAGCAAATGAAGGGTTTGTGCTTACTTACGCCATCCAGCTGCACCAAACCCCAGAAATGAAGGCGAGGGCCAAGGCTCTAGGCATGGATGTCTTTGACTACGACGACTGCTCGGCGCTCTGGTTCCAGAAATGGGAGGACGCTGAAGCCTTCTTCGCATCACCGGAGTACTCATCACTGTCGGCAGACTGTGCGCATTTCTTGGATACTAGTCGCGGGACCAAGGTCATGGCCGGGTATGCCAGCTCACGAGCGTTTTCAAGACTTGAGACTTAGCACTAACCCGCACCACAGACGCGAACTTACTGCGTTCGGCAAGGCTATCCCAGATGTCGACTCGACTGATGGAATCACCGAGTATGTTAAGTAGGTTAGTGGATGATTGGGGCATTTCCTTGGGCGGAAGCCTATCGACAAAAAGATCTGGAAAGGCAGGGCCAACCATCTCTGTAGCTGAAGGCAAGCAGTAGTGCATACTTGTGTACATGGTTGATAACCAACATACAAACATACAAGAGCTGTGAATCTCCCTCGCCGTGAAGCCTCCATAGACCATGCCATGAAAGTAGTCTCATGCTTCATTACACTTGCGCAGCATGGACGGGGACATCTAACGCTTTCCAAATGGTGAATAGCGGTTATTGAAAATTACATATCATGACCCCCAAGAACATCGCGCGACTGGACCTTTGGTGCCACACTTCTTCTGAAGTGTCCATACTGGTTCCTCCGATTCCCTCCCTACGTTTCTGAGAAAAGAGGTAGCAGATGAGGCATTTGTTTGCTATAGAAGTAATCGGGAAAGCTGAGAGTGAGGAAATTATCAAGAAGGTACTTTCTTTCATCAACAAGGTTGGCTACAGACTCTTATCATCAGCCCACGACTCTTATCATCAGCCCACCCTCCTATATCTAGTACCTACCAAGAGCTTATTAGATGGAAATATTTCCGTCCCACGATTCAGTGCAGCTACCGCATCCACAGCTTCCAGTCGAGGCTCTTCCCTCTCAACGAGGACCAATCACCACTTGGCAAGGCCAAGATTTGTAGGAGCGACTGCACTAACGGTGAGTTTTCGTACTCGGCGAGGCTATACCGAATACTGACTCGACCGACGGAATCACCGAGCACGATGAATCAATCTAGTGGATGGAGGGGAAGTTTCACCAGCGGATGCGTACCAACGGCCAGCGGAAGATGAACGATGCTATATTACCCCAGAACCCGAACATGAGGCTAGTGAACGACATTTATGTAGCACCTCATTAAACGGCGAACAGTAAGAATTCCACTACGGCTCATACTTTCTATCATACGCACCCCTACAAGATACAAACTTGCTTTCGCCGCTCCAAGGAGGTATAGGAGGGCAAAGGGCACCCATTATGAGATGCGGCAGGTGTATACTTGCTTTTTATCCCACTCATTGTTTGGATCGGTGTCGTACATGTGATACGTAGTTTCTTCGTGACGCAAGCAGGGGAAAAGAAATAATGCGAGCACTCAATCTCATTGTGAGTGGTCTAGAAGGAATAAGCAAATAAATCTGCGTCGGCGCATTGTACTATTGAGGCATACCAAAGACAACGACCTCCAGCAGAACGGTGGCTTAGGAGGTTTAGGAGATCTTAGGGGTCGGTAGGGGCCGGTCTAGTGGATATCCAGTACGGATCTAACCCAGTTAGGATTCGAGCCAGGGTTGCTATTGGCTGGTGCCTCGCAAGCGCTCAACCGCAACTGAGTTTAGTGGTTGATGCGAGGCCTGAGCGCATTGGAGCCACCTGGAAAAGGCGGGGAGCATTCATTCATTCACAATGCTGGACAGTCGAGGTCTTGCATCGCCCTCGCTCGCACCTCCTCGACCCCCCCAACTGTGAATGATGTTTGAGGTGCGGGATATCTCGACGCAACTCTCCCTTCTTGTGGCTGGCTGGCGTACCAATCAAGTCACCGGTGTGTGCCCTCATCACACCGGGCTTGACTTGTCAAATCTCATTGGATCATGCCGTGCATATCCAAACATCATCGTCCCCAAGCCACACAAACGTGCCCAATTTTCTCTTTTCTCTTCATCTCTGGACCAGCGGCCCCATCTTGTCGTGTACCTAGGCGAGCTGAAAGCTAAGTAGCGCCCGTCACGAACGACGCTTGGCGCCACTTCAGGCCAGACCAGGATCTATGACCCTTCCTCGTCTGGCTGTGGAAATCTGCGCTCAGGTGAAAATGGTCCCGACCATTGGCGGGCCTGGCCATGCCATGGCAATTGATGCTTCGCCATGGCGTCCCATCGCGGAACAATGCAACGGGCACCTGAGCCTTGTCTCTCATCGCCCGACGCTGGCTAAGCAGTAGTGTGTTTGTGACTGACTCAACAGAGGCCATGAGTAATTGCTCAAGTATCTCCCTCCATCCGAGCCTGGCGCTGGATGGCTGCGCACCCATTCGTCGTTACCAAGTCCCGGATCCGCGGAACCCACCATCCCACACAAACTCCTATATCGATTGATCGACCGCGATGAGCCAACCAGAAGCACAGCCAGTGACGGACTCCACTTGCGTAGTGAAGAACCAGGGCGATCCCTTGCCTACCCGTGTCCTTGGACGTGTGGCTACGAGGATGATGGGCGATCCTCCTGGAATTAGACTTTTCGATGTCACCAATATTGATTTTTAGGTTGTACGTGGTATGAGGTGAGAATGTCATCAAGAAGGTACCCATTTAGGTGTGCTTCGACGACGCAGACAGTGGTCCCCTTGCGCCGAGGAGGAAGAGAGAGAGGGGGGGTCAGAGACAACACCCATTGCACGGTGCTTGCGGTTCGTTTGATTTGTTCATCTCTTTTGCGCCAGCCCGAAACTCCAGCCAGTTCGAGTCCCGGACCCGGATTTATTCGGGAAATCCCAGCTTGCCCTGCGTGGGGAGCATCTGGGCGTCCATCCCTACATGATGTCTATCTGACGACTAACGCACATGTACGTACGTAGTGCATCTATTCCTGACTTGAATGATCCCACACCTGGTCTCGATAATGGATCTATTTTGCCCTTGTCATGTGGTGTCTCTTGTCCCTCCAACGTTTCTCACTTCCCCGGCATTCCAACGTATTTATCTCCCGCTCCCCGTTTACTTCCTCCCTTGTCCTGGCTGGTATTTAGTTCGTATCGAGAGCTTGAACCACTTGCCTTGAAATCTCATTTACGTCCACGTTCCCTAACAAATAAGTAAACAAGTGAACCGACCTACTCGTCCACACTCATTGGAGTTGTCATTCCCTCCCTCTTCTCTATAAACACTCATTTCTTCCAACTCGCCAGGATTGCCCGTGTCATTCTCTTATATGTTCTGGCCTCTTGACAGTTGCTCTACTGCCCTCATCACAATGGGGCTCCTTCCTCTAACTTACACGCGCCCAAAGCACGTCTCTTCCAGCTCACTTGCCAGTTCATCTCGCCCCTCAACGGCAAGTGATGACACCAGCCCTAGTGATGGCTCAGTCAAGTCTGGCACCTCTGGCCGTTCCAGTAGCATCCCAGAATCACTGAGCTTTGACAAGATCATCAGCGGTGGCACCTGTCCTGTAAGCCGTTCTGCTCCAGATAGCACATATCGAATGATGCCAAAACTAACCCGGCATATCTCGCTTCAAGCCCATGACTGTTCGAGATTTCATGAACTACCTAGTTTATGTCGAACATGCCGCCGAGAACCTGCAGTTCTTCCTCTGGTATCGCGACTACGAGAAGCGATTCGGGTCTGCCACCACAGCCGACATTTCTCTAGCCCCCGAGTGGACTCGGCCTATGCAGAACGAAGCCGTCGCCAAGATTCGCAAGGATAACGTTGACAAGATGCGCCCCGAGGTCGATGCTGCCAAGATCTTCCAGGGCACTGACTTTGAGAAGCAAGCTCAAGAACTACCTCTCCCGAAAGGGGCCAAAGATGCTGACCCGTTCGCCACTCCTCCATCCAAATCCCTGGATCATGACACTGCCTCCGTGCAGCACACTATCTCTACCGCCAATTCTTCACAGCAGCAGCAGGCTGCCGAGGCATTCCACTCCGCTGGAATGAAGCAACCCTGTATGTTCTGCCGCCCAATGCCGTTGAGAATAACTGGTTACGCCTCAAGATGCTGACTTCTGCTGCTTAGTTACCATCCAGCCATACCGTGAGGAGATCAACCGTGTCATCGCCACATACATCATGGATGGTGCCCCTCGGCAACTCAACCTCGCCTCTTGGGAGCAAAAGGCCGCTGTCCAGGCCCTGGCCTACACCACCCACCCATCTGCCCTCCGGGGCCTGATCAAGACCGTCGAGTCCTCCTTGCGCCGCCAAGCTCACCCCAATTTCGTCCGCTGGTCCATCTGCAACGGCAACCCCGCCCGAGTGTTCTTTGCCCGATCCCTCGGGGTGGCCCTGATAGTCATCGGCTTCGTCATCGCCCTTGTCCTGACCCTCAGCAACACGGAGAGAGGCTACCGCGCCCTGGCTGCCATCGCATGGGTCTTGGGCATCAGCACCCTCGTGGCGGCCTACAAGGGCATGTGCGTCGTACTGCACGGCATGCACCACCACCACGTCCGCCCGTGGGAGCTCTTCGAGCAGCAAGGAGAAGACTTCGAGGAGGTCAAGGCGGGCGGCCGCAGCATGGACTCGTTCGGGTCCACCAACAGCTACGAGGAGGAGCCCTGGGTGGTCAAGTATGAGAGGCGCAACATTGTCCGCAAGGTCTTTGACCGGGAGATCTGGATCGAGGAGCCTGCTCTCCGGCAGATTCAGGACACCATTTTCGTCCAGGCCATGCTGGCTGCTCTTCTTCTCGGCGGGGTCTTGACTGCTATCTTTGTCGCTGTGCCCGGTGGCAACCTCTTTTGAATGAGATGATGTTGAGTCGCAATGATACACGTTGGGGGGGAGGGGGGGGCGTATGGGTGTTTTCTATATAGGACTGGGCATACCAAATGTGGTCTATATGCCGTGCCATTCTTTTTATTCTCTCATTCTTTTCAAGTCTTTTCTTGATATCCGTCGAAAATAGCTAGGAGGTGGTATTTGTTATTCCCGAAAAATATTCAAAAAAAAAATACTCATGTACTAGGCTTGGGCAAACTAAAGTAAGAAAGGAGGAAAAGTGAAACTCATTTGTGAAGTTATCCATGACATATCCATGACAGGAGAGAGATATGCAAGGTGGACCCTCTATTGTACATATGTTCATTCACACGAGTATCTCGCTGTGCGCCTCAAACTTTTACAGGGCCACTATTATTAGGTACCGGAGGCTGTACAGGTTCACTCGGGGTCATGAGCATCAGTGTGCGAGAGACCATTGAACTTAATGATGTCACCCGGTTAAGGGTGGGCTGGGCACAGTTGTGAGTTGTGCCATTGAAAGCCAATGTGGCCTATAGGGATGGAGTTGAACACGGTTTCCATCACCAAAGTATACGGTTGATAAAGTTACGTTGTGATAGCCTCCAGTATAGCAAGGTTGTGGTACTTGGAAGATTGCTAAAGCCAACTCAATCTGGAAGCGACAACGGATGCATGTATAAATATGACATGCAGGAACCACGCAGTTTATAAATCCCATTACCGACTACCTGAGAAGGAAGAGCACACGCTCCACTGTCATTTCGGTTGTCTGTCTGGAGCCTCGGTCAAACGGGCAGACACGGCTTATCGATAAGAGCCGACGGCGGCATTGAGCCCATCCCGGTGACTTTTAGCCCGCCAACACGAGACTTGATGAACGCTTCCGGCTCCCCATTAACCCATTGACAGACCACTTCTCTCCTCCTCATCGCATTTATCTCTGTTCCCAAAAGATAGCTTGACGCCGCTTAGATAGCCTCATTATCCTCCAGTCTACCTATCTGCCTCCTCCATCCTACGATTCCAGCAAACCAGCTCCGCATTGACCGACATTGACCCCTCCTCGGCTTCAGCATCGCAGCCTTGCCGCTCCTCTCCTTGCAGCAGCCCCCAGCCCGCGCGCGCCGATACCGCCAACATGGCAACGGCCGCCGCGGATGCCCGGGTCCCCAATGGCGATACTGCCGTGGACCAACAGCCCGGCAAGCCTCGCCTGACGACCTCGACCGACGAGATCAACAACACCATCATCCGGCCCGGCAGCGTCAAGATCAACGTCAAGGGCGCCTTCATCGTCGACCCCGATACAGCCACGCCCGCCCTCAGCAATGGCGGCCGCCACAGCCCAACACATCATGAGACGAGCGACATCCGCTTACCGAACCACACAGCCGTAGTCAGCCACATTGCCATTGATGTATGTTGGTTGACAGATTGTGTCAAAGTTCCAGAGGAATAACGAGCTTACTGACAATGCGCCGGCGCAAAATAGATTGGTGGCTCGCTGATCAAGCTAGTATACTTCTCGCGCGAGGTCGATTCCACCGATGCCGGCGGCCGCCTCAACTTCCAAAACTTCGAGACCGACAGGATCGATGACTGCGTCGAGTTCATGAAGCACCTGCGCGACACCGAGCTCATGGGCAACGGATCGCATCCGGGAGAGCTGTGTGTCATGGCCACGGGGGGCGGGGCGTACAAGTTCTACGACAAGATTCGCGAGGCACTTGGTGTAGATGTGCTGCGCGAGGAGGAGATGGAGTGCTTGATGATTGGTAGGGTCACAAATGTTAATGACTGAAGAGCCGGACACTGACCAGCCCTCCCATCAGGCCTCGATTTCTTCATCACCGAGATACCCCGCGAAGTCTTCACCTACTCCGACACCGACCCAATGCACTTCGTCCCGCCCCGAGAGGACATATACCCTTACCTTCTCGTCAACATCGGCTCCGGCGTCTCCATGCTCAAGGTCACAGGCCCGCGGTCCTTCCAGCGTGTCGGCGGCACCTCGCTCGGCGGCGGCACCCTCTGGGGCCTGCTCTCCCTGCTGACCGGCGCGCGGTCCTTCGACGACATGCTCGCCCAGGCGGAGCACGGAGACAACACAAACGTCGACATGCTCGTCGGCGACATCTACGGCGGCGACTACGGCAAGATCGGCCTCAAGAGCACCACCATCGCCTCGTCCTTCGGCAAGGTCTTCCGCATGAAGCGCGAGGCAGAGGCCGAGGCCGAAGACCTCGGTCCCGCCCGCCGCGACATCCCCCCCGCCAAGGGCGGCCTGCAGCACCACCACTCCTCCCCGGGCTCGCAGTACATCCCCTCCAACGCCCCCTTCACCGGCCCGGACATCTCCCGCTCCCTCCTGTACGCCATCTCCAACAACATCGGCCAGATCGCCTACCTCCAGTCCCAGATCCACAACCTCTCCAACATCTACTTTGGCGGCTCCTTCATCCGCGGCCACCGCCAGACCATGAACACCCTCAGCTACGCCATCAAGTTCTGGAGCAAGGGCGAGAAGCAGGCGTACTTCCTCCGCCACGAGGGCTACCTCGGGAGCGTCGGCGCCTTCCTCAAGAGGCAGCCCAGGAACTGGGGCCGCAGGGGCAGCCTCGAGAACATGCAGGAGATGAGGAGGGCGGCCGTGAGGGCACAAGCACAAGCAACATCGTGAAGAATTACAATCTATACAGCTCAGAGGGGCGAGTGGCGTAGACCCCCCCTTCCTCTCTCTCTGAGATAATGCAAAATCAAGAACAGAAAGATAAAAATATGTCACTGCGGGACACAGGACACATGGGCAGGCAAAATAAGAAGAAATGCTGATAAATCAACGTCTTTATGATTAGTTTGCATTTTTTTTTTTCTTGTTTATTACTTCATGAGCGAGTTGTATTATTACTTCCCAAGGAGTGGTTTGATAATAAACCCCTATAGTCCATCTTACACTAATCGAATGATTATCACAAATGAGCTCTCCGCTCTTTTGTAGCCGCTTCGAATCAAGGCACAGCCCCTTGAGAGCATAAGACCCTTTTACGTGCCATTTTTTATATCACGTACTTGGCCATCTCAACTAGACAAAAGCCGTGATACCAGACGTTCCCATGTTAGTGCTACTATTCCAGGAGGAACTGAAGTAATTCGAATGGGTCCTGTATCGCGGTATATGCCTTCTTGTCATGTACGACACAGTAACCATTATGGCCAGGCCCATTCACGCAATGTTACAAAACGGGGGGATCACTTTTCTCGAATTGTCAGTTAAAATATGACTATTTTTTTTTCTCGAACCAAAAGCTGGGCACACTGCGCTACCAGATTTACCCTGCTAAATTATCCCGATTTGCTCTGCTAAGTTACCCTGAGTGGATGCAACACGAACCCAGCTAATTGACTCCGGCCTGGGCTGAGACTCTTTGGGATTCTTGCGAACAGCCTGCGTATCAGCCTGTGCAGATGACCTAGAAAGGGAAATCGCATCGTTCTCCTCGCCTGGTTGGGTAGGGGCTCGCAGATGCTGGCTGACGACGGCCCAGTTTGTTTGAAAAAGACGGCGGCGTTCCTCCACGGACCCAAGGAGCTGAAGGCCGTGGCGTGAAGAGCTTGCATCTTCGCCCGCGTCGGAATGGCAAGGGAGCCACCGGAAACTGGCCAGTTGCGGCTTCGAGGCCGGCCATTCGACGTAGGCCTGACTGCGCGGTGGCTGCTGTTGGGACTGATGCTCTTGTGGCTCGATGGATTGGCGGTTACGGGCAGGGCCTACTGGAGTTCCGTAATACTGACTCCCTCGAGCATCGAAACGGGTGACCTGGGCCACAAAGCAGATGTGTCGGTGAGGTATTTCAAAGTGTTCCAGAGTATCCAGACTTATGACTGGAATAAGCCCGTTGGGTCCGCATTCGGGGTTGAGAGTGTGTTCGACCCAGATTCGCTCCCCGCGATGATGCGTAACCCGTCTGCGCGATGGGGACAAAGATCTGGCCAGCCCGCTGCAGATAATGACGCCGTGGGCATCTTCTGGGGTCGGAAATGAGTTGAGCTCGTCGCATCTAACGACTAGGGAGGGATCTGTGTTGATCCACACCTTGTTCTCATCTGTCGAATTGACCTGTCGTAGAACAAGCGAGGCACGCTGGTCGCTCCAGTGGCGCTGAGGGGAGTGGAAGAAAACTCGGCCAGATCCAGAGCCCTCCGCGTACGTGTATTTCCATACAGCCCCTTGAGGGTTATACTGAACTTCTGGCATCATCGCTGCGTGTGTGTGTGTGTGTGGCGTGGGTGAACTGGTCGATGGGGAGGCAGCTTGTACACAAGAGAAAGGACCGAACAAATATCGGCAAGTCTCCTCCTTCCCCTCCTTGATACTTATCAATTGAACATACCTCGCTGGCCAACGGCTTGGGCTTAAGATGCAGTGCAATGCACAGACGCCACCAGTCAGCCCGTCATGACACAGGATAAGTCCTTTGTATGGTGGGCCGATGTGACTACTTGCCATGCCCATTGATCAAGTTGCCATCACTCTGAGACATTTCACCCGCCTGGCTGCCTGTCATCTCCCAGAAAGAAGCCTAATGCGCATCGACCGATTTCAGTGATCGCCCCGACCCATAGGCCCCTTAGTCTACTTTGGTCCTCTCGACACGAACTATCAATGCATGCTGCGGCTGGCATCCTTGGGAGTAAGGTTGGTCGGGTCTCCGTGCGTATGGGGTGTTTGCAGGACGCTGCACCTTGCTTTTTCCGCATCCCGGCCTGGGAATGGTGGCTAGGAGGTTACCGCATTCATTACGACCTAGAGACAGCTCTGGGTAACAGAATCTTAGCCGCAATGGGGGAGTTACTGTATCCCAGTGACATGCATCCCAAGCGTGACGACGTCTAGTGTTGATTGGAGCAAGAAGAGAAAATAATTCCAAAAGCAAGAAGCGGCAAAAAAGAAAGGAAGGGTCACGGAAAGGCGGTCCTACTTAGGTAGTACATGCTCGGGCGCAAGAGAGACACATGCCGCACATGTATGTAGTTCAGAGAGGGGAACGGGACTTATGCGTGGCAACCGTACTATCACACCGGTGAGGTGGTAATACTACTGGTGATCCATGTGATTGGCAGGAGAGGAGAAGCCTTACATTGCAATCTACTGGCTGAGAGCGCTGCCCACCGAGGACTGCTTCAGCTGCCTCCCATGTCAGGTAGGGTCAGGCTCAAGCCTGCAGTCTGCACAGCTAGGTGGGTGTTTTGACCAAGATCAGCAGATCAGCCTTGGCCAGGTCTAGATAGACAGAAATACCAAGATGCAAGAGGCGGGGAAGAGCTGCAGGCCGATCCAGTAATAGCTGCATGCATGTAGTGTACAAAGTGTTGATGGTGGTGTCAGATCCCATGTAACGGGGCAGTGTTCTGTCATTGCCGGCCACCATTCTCCGCCCGGGGTTCTCCTGTAGCCTCATTCTCTGGTTTCTTGAGGCCGAATTTGTCCATGAGGTTTTCCATCATCTTCTCCATTTCGCGCTCGGCCTCTTTCTCATCCTCGGCGCTTATATTGCTTGGTCTGCGCATTGCAGTTCGAGTGCGCTGTCTCAAGTCCTCGATAGAGGATAAATCAAAAGCCCAAGAGATGCCGCCAACCAGCATTACCCCGAAGCTCATTACATTGAGTGTGGCAAGTCCCAATGCTTGCACAGCCAACAACTGCCTGTCTGAAGCATCAAAGGTGGGAGGGCTGCGGTTCGACGTGTAAAAAGACGGGAACGTGGCTAATCTTCTCCGCACAACGGAGCGTCTGGCGATGGCAATTGATGTAGCGAGGAAACCTGTTCCCGCAAGCAGGAGCCCAAACTGTTTTGCTTGGCGCAGGTATGGTGAGGCTACTGGCCGTTCGTCCTGGGACGGAGTGATGGATTGTGACATGGCCAGGGGTGACGGTGGTGGTTGGGGGCCAGAGCGCCAATTAGGCATTTCAACAGCAGAATTTCCAAATGCCATCCATCAACTCTTTCCCCAACAGCGAGGGAAGAAGGATTCTCAGCTTTAACAGGATGAAGACATGGATAGTTCGGCAACATGAAAAAGAAGATGTGCAAGCAAGCGAAAATCAGCACCCCGGCAGTATCTCGGGCCATCACGTAAGCACTCTCCCGTGGTACCTACCTCCAGTGGATGGGCCGTTGCGCCTGGGGAAGGTACCTCGAAGCCACCTTCCTTGAACCTCTCTCATCAAGATCAGTACTTTCTCACTGCCACGCTCTGCATCTCTTACATATCTACCTATGGAGGTAGCTACCTACCACTTCATTACTGCTAGAGGCCAACCCTCCTCAACTCCCTTGCGGCAAGGGAAGGCACTACAAGTTCCCCGAGAAAAAGTGCAGTGTGCCTGGTGCGGTTGCACTAAACCTCCATGGGTGCACTATAGTCTGTAAGTGGGTGTACAAATAATGCATAAACTAAGACTATCCACCATCACCTTGCGAGCCTCAAACCTCCTATACTCCTACACCCATTCATTCATAGCCCAGCCAACAGCTTCACCAACTCCCTCATTGTTAATTGTTGTCTCATACTCTGCATCTTTTTGTCCTCTAGCGCGCTCCTTGCCGAGTTTCTAGCTCCCAGCCCACACAATCGCTTCCATTGCTGGGCTCTTGATACGACAGGCCGGCCGCTGATCCTGCGTCAGCATCACAAAAGCAACGTTTCTGCCTTTTTGCACAATCGACTATTCCCGTTCCAACTTTTCGTGCAGATTTAGACGCAGCCATTGTCTCAGTGTGAACAGTACTTCAAGCTCGCTCTTCTGCCCCGGACTGCTCGGTAGATACTTGGGATCGTGGCAACACGCACATCGCCCTCCACCCATCACTTCTTGAGCGGGGCTCATCGCATTTGATATCCATTTCTACGCCGCCAGTATCATTCTGCAAAGCCGGAAACAACCTTTAGACCGGAAGTCTCGTTTACCTAATCTGGTGAGGATCAGTCTCAGCTGAAAGCATATCGGAACCTAAAATCACACCCTGGTTGCCTCTCGCCCATCGTTCCAAGATATGGCTAAACCCAAGAAAGCGTCGAAGTCCTCCAAGGAGGCCGCGGCACCGGCAACCAGCCAGCCAGCCCTCTCCGTGTCTTGGCCTGCCTTCAAGCCCGAATTGCCCGTGGTCGACTTGGACATCCAACTCCACCCAGCCACACCCAAAATCGCACTCATCTCGTCCTTCTTCCCCCGGTCCCTGTGTCGGGAATACGTTGCCTTTCTCAAGACCCTGCCTTTACAGACGACACCTTCACACCCCAAGCGTGGCGAGGCAGTGCGCGTCAACGATCGCTTCCAGATAGACGATCCCACCCTCGCCGCCCGGCTGTGGGAAAGCACGGGGCTGAGAGAGGCCATCTTGGAAAACCAGGACCTTAAACACCTCTGGTGAGTGGTGCTATGTATCCTCTTGAATCTCACCCCTGCACTTTAAACAGACACCTCCCCCCGTCCCTGGGCTTGTTACCTATTCACCACTCGTCAGCCAGCCTGTTCCCTTACTCACTTTTCCGATACTAATGCAAGATTCACCTGCAGGGGCGGCGAACCAGTTGGCCTGAATCCCAACATACGTGTATACCGCTATACGAAAGGTCAATATTTCGATTGTCACTGTACGGATTCCCCATAAATGTCACATGTAGCATGTCCCGCACCATATTCCAATACTTTACTCGCAAGTATTCTAACATGGCCAAAATTGATGGACAGATGACGACTCCAACAGCCTGATTCTTCCCTCCCAGCCGCCCATCCCAGTCAAGACGACCTGGACCTGCCTGCTCTACCTGACCTCTTCCGTCGAAGGTTGTGTAGGTGGGGAGACCGTCTTCTACCCCCATGATAGGAAATCAGCCGCTGAAGAGATTGCGGTACCGCTCGAGACTGGCGCCCTGTTGTTACACAAGCATGGTAGTGATTGTCTATTGGTGAGTTGTCATCAGTTCCATTGGCTGTTCTCTCTTTTCTCGCACTTGGCCACGTAGGTTTGGGATTTTCTATGTTTTTATTTGCTAACTAATGGTACCTTTCTTGCAGCATGAGGGCCGAGAAGTGCTCGATGGAGAGAAATGGATACTCCGCACTGACCTTTGTATCAAACGATGACTTCATCATGCTGCAACAATGCATCAGATACTGGCCTCCCTGGGCAAGTCTCCTCAAGTCCTCAACGTATGCAGTGTGCTATCAACGCCTGCCAATCACATATGGCTGATTGCCACACTGCCGTCCCTTTCAGAAAGGATGGCACCCGCAGTCCAGCTTGATTAGTCTCGAAATATACAGTACTTCAACAAAATCCATACCACTTCGGTCTCTTCCTGCGCCATTATAGCAGCCTCAAGCGCACATCCTGATTAACCGATCTTCCGCGGCCTCTTCGTCACTTTCATCATCTAATTCAATGAGGGCACCCTGGTTCAGCTCGGGCTGTCTCTGTACGACAGCCTTATCCCCTGACTCACTTGCGAAATTGGCAGCGCCCTCAACTACAACGGTCGCACTGACTGGAGGAGGTGAGCTTTGGGTATTCGGCTCCTCCCCCAAAGTGAGAGCCGCTGTTTGCCCCCCTAATGCTGCCATTGACGCACTTGATAGCAAATCTTCATACGAGGCGATGGCATGTGATGAGTTTTGTGTATTCAGCCCATCAGGCTCAGTAATCATTACACCCTCGTTATCTGAGGAAGAGGCAGATGTGGTTGTGGATTCAGGGTGGTGACGGGTTTCATCAGGGCTGTCCGAACCCGAGTTGCTGCTGGAGTCCTCTCCTCCAAGGCCTGGAATAAGTACCTCTGTCTCAGTAATGATATTGCCTAGCTGGTCTTTTTCATCAATGCTCGCTTTATTCGTATCATCGCCCGAGTTTGTCTGTGCCCCGAGGCTGTTCTGGTGCTCTTTCTTCAGCTTTGATGCCGGAAGAGCAGAGTCGTTCGAGCCGTACTTGATCTCCCCTTTGGCAATTCGAATCATGTTCAGATGGAAGATCCATGGAAATGTGATCAATGGCATGATTTGGGTGTGCTCCTCCCCAGAGCTATCCTCCGATGCCTCGGGTAATGATAGAGCAGTCTTGACTTGATCCTCTGTTACCTTATACATGGCGGCAACGAATGGGTCTATTTTTTCCACACTATCTCCCCCGGCTTTCTGGTAACAAATCTCTCTGAATCTTTGCTTGAGAGTTTCGTACTCTTTCCCCAAGACCTCCTGCATCTTGTAGTCGCTGCCGATAGCAGGTTTCGACATGGCAAAGCCAGTCCATAGCTCAAATTCTGTCTTGATATTATGTTGGGTGAGCAGCCGACGCATCGATATATCATATTCCTTTTTGACATCTGCAACTGTTCGAAGGATGTCGTCGCTGAGCTCGAATTTCTTCGTAATTCTCTCATCAAAATTGTTCGCCCAGTTGGGTGTAAATTCAACCGATTGACGGCTAACTTTGTCATAGATGACACCCAACGCCTTCTTCGACTGATAAGAACCTTTTTTCTTTTCCATAAAATGGGGCCATCCCTTGGGCTGCAACCTGGGGTTCCAAATGACCGGCTCACCAGTCTTGGGGAAATCAACGGCCTGCGAATGCAGGGAAGCAAGCTCGAGGCAGATGGGCGATCTCGGGCCCTCTGGGGCGTGGTCCGCAAGCGCAAGATGTGAGGTGGCGACCAATCCCAGTACATCACTCTTCATGTAGGATACGAAGAAGTCTCTCAGATGGTCTACCGTGACTCCGCTTTCTACTTCTTTTGCCTTCACCCCCGAGTAGTTCATGGGTGGGTGGTTCCACTCACTGGGGATCATATTTTGATCCCAAATGACAAAGAAATCGTCACCGTCGAGGTCACCACCTGACAGCATATTGGGGACCGGCCGATCTCCACCGCGAGGAAAGACGACAACGTCCTTGAGGTGATGCAATCTGGGCTCGTCGACTGCCTGTACGACTCGGATATCCCCTGGGTGAAGTGATGGATTGCGACCCACAATGCAAATACCCTCCACGATCTTTGTCTTTTTTTGGTTTGTCGAGTCGGAGAGTTGCAGAAATATTTGAGGGAGCTTGTTCTCATCTTTGTCTTTAGAGCCCTCAGTTGTGGAGTCGTGCCCCCTCAATGACCCTGTCTCATCCATGCAGCCAAGAACAAAAGCACTCTCCTCTACCTCGATCCTAGCCTTCTCTTTCAAAAGTTTCAGTGACCAGGATCTCCAAAGCTCAAGGATCGTTGTAACGAATGGTTCTCTCGTGGTTTCATTCTTGAAATTTGCCCCGAGCAACTCGGCGATGGTCAAGGTGGTTTGGTTCTCGTCCACGTGCTGGCTCAACATGCTGATGGCATCATTCGTATTCACCATCGCGGCTTCGAATCTTGCAAGTTGGCGATCTAGCAAGTTGAGGAAAACGTGCTTCGGGACACCCAGGTTCTCAAGGATTGTGATTGTTTGTCGGTTGAGGGTGGCTGTAGCAGGCTTGGCACTGCGGATAATCTCCAGTTTGTTGTATCTGGATTCGAACTTTCTCTGAGACTCCCGAATATGAACATTGATCCCATTTATTTCCGGGCACACCGTTAAAAGGCCCTTGCAACCACCCATGCGAAATTGAAAAGCAGCCGGCTCTTGGAACACATCAAGCCTAAGCTCCTCAATTACTAGACTGGCAACAACGGGGGACATTTTCCCGACGCCATCAGAGAAGCAATACCCGTTTTTCTCAACGTCTGGGATCTTCGTTATCTGAGGAGCGGTAATTCCTCTAATCTCTCTTGTTGTCGAAAGGCACTGCCCCAGTCTTGCTGCATACTTTGCCACTATTTTGATGTGGTCAAACTGGCCCATCCACGCTCGGATGTTATCGCACGATGTATGCTCTGTGGGACAGAAGAAATAGGCACCACATTCTCTCAGTTGAGAATTTCCAAAAGCGAGAAATTCGTAATGGCGATCTCCTATCTGAATACCGTGGTAAAGGGCTCTCATGATACGGTTGTAAATGGCATCATTTTGTGGCCTGTACATGCCAATCCTAGACTTTTCCGACTCTTCGATGAACTGGACCCGGAGAAAACGGTCGTGTAGGTGATTGTACGCACGAAGAACCCGGTTGGAGGTTTCGGCATTCGGGGTGCTGAAGCGAATGGTGGTTGGGGTGATGGAAGCCTTCCGAACAAGGGCACAATAATGGGGAAGCCTCAAGTTCGGATAGTAAGCATCTGCGTCGGTGTTTTCGAACAAACTCATCGGATCCAGGAGCGGTTCTCCGTGATCCATAATGTATTCGAGTAGTTGCCTTGCTTTTATCGAGGCCATGCCCGCCAACCGAGTGAGAAAGTCCAAAGTGATGGTGTATTCGTTCAGAATGCCTCTTGAGACGCAAACTTCAAGTTGATACCGCACCTCAAATGGGAGATAGACATGATTCTTTGGGAAACTCAGCAACTCCGAGGTCGTAGTTCCAGACAACGAAGAGTTGTAATGATGATCCAGGTACGACCACATGTTCTCGCCGCCCGAACTAACTTGAACCTCGTCAGAGTTGAAGACAACATTGGAATCCATGAGGGCCTGATGAAGCTGGGCAAACAAAGCAACTCCCCGTCGATCTTCTTGTCTGTCAAGAACAATCCGGAATGTGGTCAATCTTCCAATCTCCAGGAATTCTCTATCCGCCACCTTGTTGGACAGGGCAACAGGGTACCGCAAAGGAGTCTGGATGTTCTCGGCCACATCAGTGGCGCGATTCCAAGAATCCAAATGACTCCAAATTTTTGCGCCATACGGGATACGTTCCGGTCCATCATCAGATTTCCAAAAATACTGAGGTGGCAAGGCCATAGAGAAAGTCAAAGCACAATCTCCATTGCTTAAATTGTTAAAAAAGACGTCTTTCATCTGCGCAGTGTCCATGAGAACTTTGTACTCTCTTAGGCCTTGCCATGACTGGTCCTTTCCTGGGATTGAGAAATAGATCTCAAGCCGTTTGGAGTTGGAGTTAAATTCGACCCGGAGATCACGAGAATGAAATCTGCCAGACTTGAAATGTTTGATCGATTGCATGCCTGTTCGGCTCACCATGGTCCCGAAATCGAAGGACTTTGCGAAAAGCTTCAAAAACTGGGGGTACAGTGAGACTTGGTCCTTTGGCTTAGAAGGCCTCTGTTGGTTTTCCGGGGCCACACTCATGCGTATGGTGACCCCGTCCGGATGAGATCCCATGAAGTCATAGTGGTGAATAATTTTGGTGCCTGTTTGCCAGAAGGGAGCGTCTGGGGGCGGAGCAAACACGATCTTGCCTCTTGATTGATCATCATCAATCGTGATCAGAACAATCGTTCCCTCGGGAGAGAACCAGTCATGAATATGTTTGACTTCAGTTCCAGCGGGAAGCCCATCCAAAAAAATCCTGATCTGTGATTGTTTAGTCCACCAGCGATCGGAGGCATGGCTGTTTCGGTTGGTCTGAGATGATGGTTGTGCTCGATAACGGGGGTTTGGGGTTCTTCTTCCGTTCTTAGAAGTTCCGCTCGGGGGGGTTTTCGGGGTATCGGATCTTTCAAACCGGCGCGAAGCCATGGTTCCAAGAATAGCCAGTGATGGCTGTCGGAGAGAGAAGGGGAGAGGGGGAGCGGTGCAGACTCAAAACCATGTAATCAAGGGATACTTGGAGAGAAAGATGCAGTAGTGTATCGAACAGTATTGTGTGAACTTTGACTTATTGCAAAATCCAAAGCTGTAGTGATGAGAGAAAGCCTTGTAAAGCCTCGCAAGGCGTAGTAGCTAACAGGAATTGGGGTTATGAGAGGAGAGAAGGGGTCGAGTTGGATGAATAGAAGAGATGGGAATCTACCTTAATAGAGCTTATGAAGTTGACTCAGGTAAGTGGAGGCAGCAGAGAACAAGGGGTGGGTGTTTTGAAGTGAAATGTTTGAGTATAGAGAAGGCAAAAGAAAAAGGCGGGAAGGAGGAGAACAAAAAGAGAGAGGAAGGAGGGAAGGGCGTGTGCTAGAGAGCGCGTCAATGCGGGCGGCGGCGTAGAGCAACAGTGCGCGTGCCAAGTTTCCAGGCTCGGGGTACTAGCAACTACCTTACCTACCTACCTACCTACCTACTAATGAGTTCTGTACCTACGGTGAAGTGCTCTCCCGGGTGGCATCAAAGGTGTGTTTCTCGGAAGGCCCGTGGACGCAGCACGGCAGCGAACTGTCACAGTCAAGCGCCGGGCCAAATGCATAATCCCTATGTAAGGAACACCCATGAGGAACCTTGATCCTAATCACAGCGCTTGGTTTCATGAGTACACTACCTATACCTCACACATTATATCAGCTAGGTAACGGCATGCACCATCATTGACTAGCACTTGTACACAGCTGCAGCTAGCCGAGCCGCACTCCCTCGATAAGCCGGGCACACTCAAACAAATACTGGTTTGCAATATCAAACGCCCAAGATCAAACACAACGACCCAGAAATTAGCGGCAGCCACCCGGCCGAGCCAGAAACAATTCATACTCCAGTTGGGAGGTCCTCTTTGTGTGCAGACAAAGAAAGGCAGAGATGTCTCGGCGTTTTGGGCATCACCACCACCGTGCTTTATGGTGAGGAACAGCCAGCAATCATGTCGAAGAAATGGCATGTGATTCCTTTACGCTCCTTTCTTTTCTTGTTCCTCGATCTGCCTCCTCTCCCTGATTTCACGGGTGTGTTCAAGTCTTGTGTGCTTCTCTAATGCAATCTTTGAATTTCTAACCAACCCAGCTAATGGGGTAGATCTAGACGTGCACAAGGTTCTTCCGACAAGCCATTCTTCACACATGCTTGTCGAGCTCGGCTCTTGCCTATTGATTCGATATATGATGCAGGCGACCGCAAATCTCTATATCTTTTTTTGCCCTGGCAACACTTCATTCTGTCGACCCCTCCCCTCGTATGTTCCTACGATTGAGATCATCATCCACTCAATCTCGCGCTTTGATGACTTCCCGATAAAAGAATCGGGGTCACTCCCACGTCTTCGGCCCTTGACAAAGGCTTCTCATTGGCATCGTCCGCCTCCATCCATGGCACATCCATAATCTTTCCCGGGTTCATGATCCAGAGCGGATCCAAGGACTTCTTGATAGTCCTCATCACATCCAACGTTTCGGGCCCGACCTCCCACAGTAAACTCTCCTTCTTCCCCCAGCCGATCGAATGCTCGCCGGTGCAGGTGCCCTCCATGTTTAGTGCTCGCTTGACCATGTTCTTGACGCACGCCTCAACCTTGGCTCTCTCTGCCTTATCGCGGCCGTTGTACATGATGCTTTCGTGGAAGTTTCCATCGCCAATGTGACCGAGAATACTGGCAAACAACCCCAGGTCATCCATCTCCTTTTTACTCACCTCGATGATATCAGCAAGTCGGCTGAATGGGACGGCCACATCCGTGCTCCCTGTAGAGTTGTCAAAATATGTTCTTGTTGATTCCCCAAAGGATGGATAGTCACTTACAGACATCCTCGCCATCCTTCCTCAGAGCCATCATCGACCAGAGAGACTCTTTTCTTGCCGACCACAGAAGCTTCTGCTCCTCCGCATCCTTGGCGAACTCAAACTTGCCTCCTTTGTTTGCCTGGGCAATAGCCTGCACCAGCGTGATGTGTTCTTGAACCGCGAGCTTGGTTCCCGAAAACTTCAAGAAGAGTGTCGGGGCCTCTTCCCAGACCCGAGGCGCAGTCGCGCCTCCCAAGTTGACAACCTTCATCTGAACCTCGTCCATGATCTCCAGTGCAGCAACAGGAATGCCCGCTTGCATAACGCCTGCGGCCGCTGCCGCAGCGTCCCGGATGCTTGGGAAGGGGACAACTGCAATTGACTGGTCTTCTGGGATAATTGCCAATTTCAGAGTCGCTGTGGTCAAATGATGAGCCTCCTGTGATCGTATGTGTGCAAAGGGACGAGACTGAGTAACCCACCTTCCGTCACAAGCCCCAAAGTGCCCTCGGATCCTACAAACAGACTGTTGAGGTTGTAACCGGCGGACGATTTCCTTGGTCTCCGCCGAGTCTTGATGATGCGCCCATCGGCCAGAACCACCGTCAAGTTGACCACCCAATCTTTCATGGTTCCATACCGTACGGCATTGGTTCCAGAGCAATTGGTGCCAATCATCCCACCAATCTTTGCACTCGGGCCTAAGCAGGATTTCTGTCAGTTCTCGAAATTTCCTCTGGGATCAATCCAATCTCCAATACAATAAACCCCCTAACGCATGTGCCTGGACTTACCAGGATCCACGGGAAAGAATAGACCGCTCTCCATTGCAAGTAGCTTTTGGTTAAGATCTTGCCAGCCAATGCTGGGCTGGACAACAATATCCATATCATCCTTATTGAGCTGGAGGATTCGATCCATGTAGGCAAAATCCACACTCACGCCTCCATAAGGAGCAGAAAAGTTTCCCTCGAGGCTGGAGCCGCCCGAGTAGGGGATGATTGGAACCTTGTGCTCATAGCAGATGCGGGCAATGGTTGAGACTTGCTCAGTTGTACGGGGGTATGCTACGGCAACCGGAAGATTATCCGGATTCACTGTCGACCAAGCCGAGTAGCCGTGAGCATGGAGGTCCTCTGGGTCCGTTGAGATGATGTCCTTGTTACCGAGTTCCTCAGTGATCTTTTTGATTGCCTAGATTATTCGACATTAACATCGCGATCCTGTATTGCCCGATGCCGTTCCAAGCAGGCTTGCTACTGACCCTCTCCATCTCGGGCAAAGTGGCATATCGCTCTGGCTTCGCGTCCAGTTTGACCTGGAGCGAATTGATCTTGGAGTCGTCCCCAGAATTTGTTATTGTTGCGACACCCCAGCCAAGGACCCCGGCTACCGCAGCGATGCCGAGGGTGCCACCGCTGGTCTTTGAGCTCTGGGTTGCGGTCCCCGTTGTGATTTGCTTCTCGGCAGCAGCATAGCGGGGAGTCCCTGATGAGAACGTCTTTCGTGCCGTGCTGGGACTACCAAGCCCTCGTCTCCTCAAGAGAGACCGTGCGCCGTTTCTCGACAACATGGCTGCTTCTAATGTGGCAAGAGAGAGAGAAAAGAGAACTCGAACCCTTCCCCTCAGTCGATAGTTCGGTAGTGGGGTACAGGTTGACACCTGTTGGTCCTCAGATCGCCAGTACCAATAGTCCACAATCTGGTATTTAGTTTAAACCTTTTCACGGGCAGAGTGGGCTATCGTGAATCACACTCGTGATGTTGTCTTTACTACACTCAAATGCTAGAATGGGAGAACCACATTGGCAAGAAGGGCCAAGGGACCCCCGCCCCTTTATTGGGTTCGTCCCACAGCACAAGGCCGCAACTCCACGACATCGACTCTGAGGATGTGTAAGAAGCGTAAGCGGAGAAACCGCCGAAGATGGAGCCGCCTCCCCAGTCCTACCCGAAAAAGGAAAGATCGTGAGGCCTTAAGGAGAAACTGGTTTCTGGAAGGACTAGGTCAAACGGAAAAATTGGAGAAGAAGGAGCGTGGGGGTTCACTGATCTATTCTCGCAATTCTAATTCCTACTTACATTTCGGAATTATAATTTCCTAGGCAGCTTGAGCTTGACCCCCAAACTGCGAAACTCCACCTAGGCCAAGCACCTCAGACTTACATGGGAACTACCGAAGTCGGCGTCGATGGGATACACACATACATTATTTATGTATGCCTCTGCCAAGGGAGGCAAAAACCCGTAAGACACTGTGGTCTCGTGGTCTTGTGGTTTCTTTCACGTAAGCGGTAGTCGTAGAAGTTGGCAGCCAGTTGCCTCTTTCTTCAGTCTAGGCACGAAGTGTGACCTGTCATGGTGACGGGATCCCCCTCACTTCAACCGGGTTTCACGCTATTTGCTGCAGGCCAAGCTGGAAACAGACAAAAATCTCATCCAGCACGCTCGTCACGCGACCCTCCTCAGCATGAATCATATACAGTCCATAGCCGAGAGTAGCCGGATTACGAGGTGGAACAACATTGGGCAGCATGTCAACACAAACGATCAACACATTTCGTACCATTGTCACTTATGGGACACGAGGGCTCGTGAGAATCTGTCTCTTTTAGGTTCAAATTTGTCCTTTTCATACGCCCTGGGGGCTGGCTATCTCCAGGGTAGTCAAAGCTGTGGAAACAAATACGTTCAAATCCGAGACTCCAGTCCTCATGCCAATTTTTTATCCCAAGGTTGCCGCGATTAGTGGGCGCTGGCGTTGGCCCTGCGGCGGTCACGCTCCTCAGCGATGGTGAGCTTGACACCCTTGCCCTTGGGCAGGGAGATCCAGGGCTTGTCCTGGCCAATGACGAAAACGTTGCTCTCACGGGTAGCAAAGGTGTTGTCAATGGCGTCCTTGATGTGGACGATGTTGAAGCCACCATCGTGACGCTCACGGTGGGTGATGACACCAACACGACCCATGTTGCGACCACCAGTGACCATGGCAATGGCACCGGTGTCGAACTTGATGAAGTCGGTGATCTTGCCAGTGGCAAGCTCGATCTTGACAGTGTCGTTGACCTTGATCAGAGGGTCAGGGTAGCGGATGCTAGAATTTACAGGGTTAGCAGGGGGGTTTTGAGGGGGGGGACATACAGCCGTCAAATAAAGCTCCCAATCGTTGTGGGTTGACACGAATCGACCAAAGCTTGATCCAACGGCTGAAGGATGTCTGACAGAACTCACGTTCTCGCATCGTGCGTGACCAAGAATGGGATTCCACCACGGCCGAGCTGGACACGCTTGACCTTGCCGAGCTTGTACTCGGCCTCCTCGGTCTGGATTCGGTGGACGGTGAAGCGGCCCTTGGTGTCGTAGACGAGACGGAAGTTCTCGCCGGTCTTGTCGATGGTGATGACGTCCATGAAGCCGGCGGGGTAGGTCATGTCGGTGCGGACCTTGCCGTCGACCTTGACCAGGCGCTGCATGAGAATAGACCTGGTCTCACGGAAGTTGAGAGCATACTTGAGGCGGTTGCGGATGAACACGATCAGGGGCATGCAGTCGCGGAGCTTGTGAGGACCGGCAGAGGGCTTGGGGGCGTAGACACCGGACAGCTTGTCCAGCAGCCAGTGCGAGGGGGCGCTAAGGCGCTTCTGGTGCTTCTTGCTGTTGAAGAAAGTATCGTCAGTATCGAGTTCACAAAAGCGATGCCGTGAGCCCAGAGCGGCGGCGGCATTCTGCGAGAATGATTGCAAGAATTGACGAAGACTCAATCCGACAATAGCAATTCATCTGCGAATTGTGCTGATTCTACTTACATTCCTCGGGCCATTTTGTCAGCTGGCTGTGATGTTAGCTGTGTGTTGAGGGAGTTGGACGAGAGGCTTGACTTGACAAAATCAATCCCAAAGGATAATCCACATAATTTTTTGGCGCCGAAAATGAAAGCGGTAGGGGTTTCTTGCCCTAGGTGGCACAAAGTAGTGCGCTCGTTGTGATTTAGTGGGCATTGTCACGTGACTGTCACTTGGGGACTATCCCGTCTTAGCGTCTCTCGATGCTTCGCAACATACCTACCTCGACTAGAGAGAAGTAATGAGTAGCAATTAATTTCATTCGTAATTGAACACGGCTTAAACCGAAATTTCTCGTAAAGGTGTGATCCAACCCTCGCTTCAATGACGAACGAAATGCGCTTAATTAGTGTTGTAATAGAATTAAAATATCTTGTACTCTTGTGTATCAGTCAGTTACCAAGCGCCTTGATGGCGAGGTACCGAAGCGTGAGCTTCTAAACAGCGTGTATCTTGTTCCCAAACATCCCGTCTTTACCCTTAGCCATAACTCAAGTCATCCAAGTATTTTCCATACCTATCCAGTCCTCTGCATTCCGATGCCCAATGAAAGTGGCTCAAAATGTGTTTTGGCATCGAGTTACCAAACCCAAAAACTCCATATGCTTCATTTTCCTTGCCGTTATGAAATAATTAATGAGAGAGGGGGGGGGCCAAGAGACTAAATCTTGCCCTCGTTGATTAGAGATAGACAAAAGAAATAATAATGAGAGATTAGCTTGCTTTTGATGACTACAGCCACTCAAAACGCAGACTGTGCAAATCCACGAGAGCCTCGGCTGCTATTAATCGCAACTGTAGCGCTATAGCATTCTTGGCTCCTCCAAAAGAAGCCTCGAAATATCCATTTCGCCAGTAATTAAATGAGGGGTAACTGAGTCGCCGAATTCGAGCGAAGCAGTTGTGCTTGTGCTGGGATCGATGGCCTCCACAGCCTGTGAGGGCCATCGTGCCAGCTCCTCTCTCGAGGTGCATTGGGTGACTTGAGGCTCGAGAGTTGATGCCTTTGATGGTTGGAGAGAGTTGTTGATGGACATGGTAACAGATGGCTCCATGATATCAGTACCTCGACACGCATCTTTGGCAACTTGGAATGTGCCTTTTTCGATTCTTTGATAAATCGCAGGGTATTTGTTACGTACTCGGTCCCTCAGGTCAGTCGGGTATCGACCTGAGAGATGGAAACGAACGTCGCGCTGTATCTTTGTCCAAGCTGGGCCATATTGATGAAGGCCGTCTAGGATTTCACGATCATCCTGCTCTGTAAAGGGGCGCCGCTCCCTGCGGAGAGATTTCTTGAAAGGGGCATGGATGCCCAAGCTCTCTAGATCCTCCATCCTCTTACGGTGCGCCCTAGACTTTTTAGGCTTCTGTGGAACATCAGATTCAGCCGGGGGTGTTATCATGCCACCAGCGCCCGGTGAGCTCTGGTCTTCGCGCAAAATGTTGTCCAGCTGCAGTCCCTTCTTTCCATTGTTCTGTGCGTTTGCCTGGGTTTGTTGAGCTTCCCGGCCAGGGTTCCGTAGTTCCGCAGGGCAACAGGTGCGAAACCTATCTTTCAGGTCTCCAGCCGTCCGCTCATTGAACTTGAAATCTGGGTCTTCCAGGATGCTTGTCCACTTCCCCACTCCATGACGGCTCACACCTAGCAACAGGTGGTTCGTCTCCTCTTCTGTCCATTTTCTTCTTGGTTTCGTAGCTCGCTTCCTCGCTCTGTTTGCAGCTTTGTCTGCGCCACCCGCGCCGCCAACACCTCCATTAGCAGCGAGTTGTCCCGCTCGTTCCTCCGAGTAGTTGAGCTCTTGTAATAGTTTGAGTTGGGTCGCATCGTTACTAGTAAACTCATCAGAAGCAATAGGCGGAAACAGGGCAGCATCCGGTGGTGGCTCATGCAGCCCATTAATTATGGGTGGCATCACTGGGGCATGCGGGGTTGCCTTCTGCTTCTTCATGGGTTGCGGGAGCTGAAGAAACTCATCCTTGCCCGCAATCCCGCGATTCCTCTTCTTATTCGATGCATCTTCGAGAGATTCGGCGGTGTCATCGAGAATTCTGTTCAGGTGGTATGGTTGTGTGTCGGAGGGGTCCGACTCTCCCAAGAGAACTCGCAATGGATAGACACCCGTAGACCCGGCGTAGTTTCCATCGTGTCGGATTTCGTGTTTCCGCTGCTGCGCTATGCCCTCCTCACCGATGGGCTGCAGACTGAGGCCTGCCGGTCCATCAGGGGCAGCTGTCTGGTCAAGCGCTGTTCTGTCGGGCTGGTGGCCTGCTTCGCGGTCAATCGGAGGCAGCGGTAGGTCGGTAGATGACGAGAAAGGTAGAGAGCTCAGCGGCGGTAGATCGGTGTGCCCAACCTGGGGAGTCTTTGATTCGTTGAGCAGGTGAATTAAACGAGGCTCAATCGTAGCCATCTTGACTGAGCCAGGTTCGATGCAAGATGAAGCCTCTCATCAGGCCGCAATCAATCAGGGAGGCGCGCTTAATAGATCAATAGAACCGGCGTGTCTGGCAAAGCTTGGACTTGTACAAGTCAAACATTTATTGACGAGGGCCAGCATAATATTACAACCATGATGGAAGGTCTCACCATCCATGTCGCATGTGTATGATGGCAGAATGGTAGATGCGAGACAGGAAGGCGGCTCACACGTGAAACTAACTGCATGTGATAATCATTGCTGGGCTTCTGTTCAACCAGCCAGTGCCGAAGCGACGGGCCCGCTAACAGGCCCAGCTAACAGGCCCAGGACGTCCCACATCCCTGCCACCGGGTCGCTTGCGCCCGGCATTGTCCACCCACTGCAGCCTCCTGAAGGATAACGGCCACAGCGAGCGAACAGGAACTCTCAGCACGCGCCGGCCTGCCCGCCCAGCCAGACGTCAGTGTCAGTCACCGACGGGGGTGTGCAAGCTTCGGTCAATGCATCAAAGGTTCTAAACCAATACGATTGGATCTCATTTGCTTTTTTGTGTGCTCCCCCTCCCCTATCCCCCCCAACAAAGTCTTCTCTCCGCTTTTCTTCAAGGCATTGCCTTCATCCTTCCGCAAGTAGTGCCGAGGGGGTGGCTTTTCAATTTCAGCATTGATGAAACTCAGCTTCAAACTGCGGACTCTGCCTCTGTAGCGCTACTACCCTCCAGTTCCGGGCACTATATCAAGCTCGCTGCTATAGTACTACACCCACCGGTGTCCTCACGCTACATCAGATTGGGTGCTTGGATCTGTCGAAGGATCGAACGCCATGGCTGCATTACTTCCGCCAATTCCCCGAGTGATCTTTTCTATTCTCGAGCCCATTTCGCTGTAAGTGGCAGTGCCCCAGCTTCCATTTCGAGTAACATTGCTGCTAACACTCTTAATGCATAGCGTTGCAGGATTTCTTGGGGCAGTGGTTGATCCGTCATGGTTCATGGCCCAGCAAATCCCCCAAACTCAAACAGTGCCGACCACAGAAGGTGCAGTTATAGTGACAATGCAGCTTGGCAATCTGTACCTCCTGATGGCCTTCATGGGTCTTTTCATTCTCAATACTACCTCCGAGGCAAAGGTCGTGCGGGCGTATCTGCTGGCCCTTTGGCTCGGAGATATTGGCCATGTCGGCCTCAGCCTGTACGGCCTAGGATGGGAGAAAGCAATGAGCATCTCAGATTGGAATGGAACAACGATCGGGAACGTGCCTGTCACAGTGAGAGCTTCCGCTTCCACAGCACCAGATAGACGTTCGATTTCCAGGACTAACATTGCTCCTCCCTGTAGATCTTCTTGTTCTTGATGCGCTCATCATACTTTTTAGGTCTCTTTGGCCCGGATAGACCGCTTGTCTCCGGGTCAAAGAAGAAGGTCTAGAAGCCGCTACTGATCCAATAGGAACGTCCGCAACCTCAACGTCTGGCGATGGGTTGGCACTTGTCATGCCGCTGGGGGGGGTCAAAAGGATCTTTTGAGTACCGAGGCCACAGCGATCTGGACTTGATGCAAATAACTGCCCGAATCAAATAAGTATCTACAACTCCATATACAACTACCCCATTAGGAATATAAAAACGCCGAGATGAGAACACCCTTGGGAGTTAATGACAGGATGTTGTACCAGGTAGACCCAAGGGAAGGGTTCGGGGACTGTCATGAAAAGTGGGGTTCCAAGGTTCTGGCCAATGGGTGATGGATAACAACGACGCGTGTAGAAATCCAGGGTTAGGGTTAGTGTAAACAGGCTTTGGACATCCTGGACATCAACATCACCACTATTTTCCATTGCTCTTTCTGCTCGCAAGTCATATTCAGCTCTCTCGATTATGGAGACTCGATCTCGTCTAAGGCCGAGGAAAGAATCGTCGACAGAGAAACTCGTACCTGCAAAAAGGGGGAGGCCTGTCACGGCAGGTCGTGGTCGAGGGCGTAAGCGTGTAAAGCCGCACAGAGAACCAGCTGCACAAGATGAGATCCAGGTGGACAATGAAGATTCACCCCAGGCTCACTTCTCTCCCCACAAATCAGCCTATTCACGCCGTGGTGCCCCTTCCTACCGAGTCGCTCGTCGCGCAAACTATGAGGATGCAGCGGAAGTATCAAGCCTGCTGAGCGTCTACCAGGTGCAAGAAGGGCAGGATAGCGAGGATGGCGTTAGTTCACCAATCCGTCCAAACCCTGATGAATTAAGGAAGTTCCAGAATAGGGCCATTCTCCGTGTAAGGTTGTCCAACCTGCAGGGCCTCAGGGAAGCTAGCGACGAACTTGTGTCAGCCATTAGGAGACATGATACTCAGAACAACAGAAGCTCTTCCTTGGATCTAGACGTGAAAAGAGGTGTTCTCAAGTCTCGCCTTATCGCTTACCAGGAAGACCGCGAAGACCGCGAAGCCTTATTCATTCCGTCATCACTCATTGCAGAATTGGCCGAGCCAAATTCTGCCGAGTTTGAATTGGTTGGTGAGGATCTAGACATAATGCAGGTCCTCGGGAATGCCAATCTTGCGACTGCCCTGAACTTGCTTCAGCGCATTCGGGCTGGTGATGACGAAGATGTCCTCTCATCCCTGGAAAAACTTGACGACTACTTCGATCAACTTTTTACTCCTTTCGGGAATGAGAGCCAAAACGTTCGCCAAGCTATTAATCTTCGCACGAGTGTCTTCATTAACAAGCTTGGTCCTGTTACTATGGAACCAGAGCCATACCCAGTTATTGCAGAAGTGTTTTGTAAAGCTGATAATGCCGAGCACCCGGAAGATTACGAAAGCCTTTTCGAGCAGGGCCCATTCAAGCCGCTTGCAGCGGTGCATGGGGAAGAGGCCGATGCGGTATGCATTGAAAGGATCCAAGACATCATTCAACTACTAGAGGATGAACGTGAGAAACCAGGAAGCCTGGCTCGGGCATATGCCACGGGGGAGATACTACAAGGAGTTGAGGATTGGATCTGGGAAGTATACCAAGCAAACAAAAACGAGCTCAGTGACCGGAAAGCAGAAGCGCAACGGGCCTCAGCCTCTCGTGACATTTTCCATGATGCAGAGGAACGACCCGGGGCAGAGGATACACAATCCACAACGGAGTCTCAACCCATTATACGCCTAGAAGAGAGCCAACCGAGGTGAGTTTGCATGCATCCCATCATCCCGCTCCTTGACACTGATCTTTCCCACCTTTTCCTAGACAAAGTTTGTTTCAAGGGGCTCAATCTCTCCAAGTTCTCCATGACACGTCGCAACCGATTGAGCGGCCAGAGGAAACTCAGCCAAGGTAAGTCACTGCCCTCTTACCCTAATGCGTTGATGCTAATTATCCTCTCAGGAAGAGCCTGTTCGAGGGAGCTCAGTCCTTTCACGCACTACTTAATCCAGCTCACTCTCAAAACACAACGATACCACCATCTAACCAGCAACAGGAGGCTGCATCTCAAACCCCTCCCGCAGACTACGACAACGATAATGAGGCCATTCTCGGACCGCCGCCGCCAAGTAACGATGGTGTCGCGGTCAGCGAACAGCCAGCCTCTGCCAATGCAGAGGCTCAGGGCGAAGAAGAGCCCGAGCACGAGAGTGACGACGATGACGCCTTCGAGGAGGACTCTAGGCCCGCCAAGGACAAGGACCGGGTGGTGGTTCACAACATCGGCCCAAAGCAGGCGAGGACGTCGAGAGCAGCACAACTCATGCCCCCTCCTCCACGGCCCAGTGCTCCACGGCCCGCGCCGACCTCAACTGCCCAGCCAAGATCCTCACCATCTGAACAGCCGCCCTCCAGCCTTCGAAGCGTCTCCACTGCCAGCAGCGATGGGAGTTCCGTCCTCCACCCATCTTCCAGCTTCAAGTCCAGGCAGCCATGGTCCAGCAATGACACCAACCTCCTGATAGACCTGATTCACGCTAAGCAAGCCAAATGGTCAAAGATTGAGGAGGACGAGAATCACCGCTTCGAACATCCCCGCAACCAGCAGGCATACCGCGATAAGGCCCGCAACCTCAAGGTCGAGTACCTCCTCTCCGACCGCGTGCTTCCGCCATCCTTCAATCTTGTCGCTCTTAGCAAGAAGGAGATTGATCGGCTGATCAGCTTCGGCAAGAATCCCTACCGCAAGGAGGATGACTTGGACGACGACGGGAACCCGATAGGCACTGAGTATGCCAGACCTGGCGAGTTTTAGTAATTTCACCAACTCTCTTTTGTCACCTCACAGTTGCCGGACCAGCAACACAAAACTGCTTATTATATATCCTTCTGAGCTTCTGAGATATCAATATTGTATATACAGTCAAAACGTATGTAAAGGCAGCACCCATTGAAGAATTACATATTTAGGTCGCAAGAAGATCATTCTTTGGTTTGAATCACGTAAATAAACGATGTTGAGTGAATGTGCCCTATGAAACTCGGGGTTCTATACGCATTATTATATACGGTGGTGCACAAACAGCTGGGATAGGTAGATGGATACAATGGAACACTACTAAGCTTATTTTAATGTGGCTGGGAGCGAGACAGTAATGATAATTTGAGTGTATTTGACATGATTTACGCCCTTTTAGCAGGCAGGTAAACTCTTCGCTCCTATTGATAAATCCACACGAATATAAACTGGTATTGACAACTGTTTCCCAGCTAAGAAACTCATGTCATATGTGATAACAAGGCCCTTTTGTTTCTTCCTGAAAACATAAATTTGGCGGCCATCCACGAGCAAGGGCCATTGCGCGCATCACGACCGCTGCAGCACATGATCCTACATCGTTGCAAAAAAGAAAAGAAAAAACAGGCAAATCGTGAGAAAGGAAATTATTGTGAGGGGTATGCTGCGAACATTCCAGAAGTAAAACACCAACTTGGATCGCGACTTGAATAAATGAGAGTAAAGAGACAAACAAAAACAATAAGTGACCGTCGAGGTCTGTAGGCGTAACACCGTAAGGGGGTAAAGTTCTACAAGAATGGCAAGGGCTAATATGAATGGAATCTTCCAAAGACATAGCCTCCCAATCGCCAGCTTGAATGGCAATCATCAATTTTGGAAGGGAACATCCCGCTTTTTGAGTCTGCTGGTTCTCCAGCCTTCATACCACTGCTCCCTGCTCGCTTCGCGAAGTTCGGATCGCCATTCACTAAAGACGGCTTCTTTGAGGCGAGTGAAGTCACAGTGTTCCTCGTTGTACGGGTCCGCGAATCCCCATGGGAACTGGCGGCCGATGACATCCGGTTCATACATGTCTGGACTGATAATCGAGAGTGGAAAGAACGCAGATTCATCTTCCTTGCCTCCTTCCTGGGCTTTGACTTGGCGAATCGACTGAGTTGACATGCGCTTGGAGTTTGGTGATGCCGGTGGTGAGGGCGTGATATCTTCGTCATATTGGTCATGATCGCCATTGACATGCTCGCTCTCTCCATATGCATCCGCTTCACCTTCGTCTTCTTCTTCGATGCGGCTAGAAGAGATACTATTGTTGTCCTCATCGAGTCCGAGTGGCTCCAAGGGATCAAGACCGGATTTCTTCAGAGTATCCCAAACTGTCTTCTTCAAAACCTTCATATGTTTGGTTGTGATCGTATCAGCCTTGGAGATGACCGGGATCACGGTGGTTTTTCCTTGAAGCAGTCGCAACACTTGCAGATCAAGATCTTCGTCCAGTCCACCCTGCACTCGGGAGTTTTGCCCATGGTGCCCATTCTGTAGAGAATTGGCCACAGTTCGGGTAGAGCGAATATTGCGCTCCAATCGAGCAGGGTCTAGGACTAAAAAGGCTGCGTGGATATGGGTATCTTGAACACCAGGTGACCGCACAATCTTCATCTCCTCAGCAAAAGTCTCCTCAAATTTACTCTCCAGGAACGAGGAGAGCTCCCGCAGCTGAAGATCGACGACGTTCTTCTCGAAGCCCTCTGAATCCCACAAGGTCAGACCAATCCGCTCACCGTCAACCTCTGTCTCAAGATAATGGGGTATAAAGTTTCCTGAGGCAGGTGCAGGCAGCCGGAAATCATCCTCCTCATGCTTCCTCGATCTCTTTTTCGCAGGAAGCGCAAGCGCTGTCTTGAGAAACTCGAGAAAGGACGTCTTTCCCGAGTTGCGGGTTCCGATAATCAAAATGCTAAAGTACCAATTGTCAGTACCCAGGTAATACACTGCAATATCCCGGTTGCCAATCGCGACCATCGCGCTTAAAAACTCACTTGAAGGGGGTAGGGTCCTTTCTCCTCCGAACACGTCTTGGACTGTTGACAGTGCTAACAGCGCTGCTAGCATAGCTATAGCGACCGCGGTTGGTCATGCTTTCGGTGCGCGCGTATGGGTCGAAGGCATTCTTTGGGATTGGGGGCATTGGGACGTTGGAGGCGAGGGCGTGGGTGGCCGTACTGTTGAGAGGCCACTGGTTCTCATGATTGTGAGAGTCGTCAAGAGCTGAATCGGGGCGGAATTCGGGCGCGAAGGATTTGGAGAGCTTCTCGCTGTTGCCGGAGAACTCTGGTAGCTTGGGAGGAATTCGTGAACGCTGTTTCTCAAGCTCAGCATCCCGGGCAGCTTGAGCTCTCTTACTCTTGCTGCCCAGGTCGCCACTCTTGCTCCGTCGAAGTAACATCCCAAAACTAGGACGACGGACTGGTGGGGAACTCATTGGAGAGAGGAGAGGATCGACCTCTAGGAGAAGGGAACGAGGGGAATTAAAGGCGAAATGTTCGAGACGAAAGATAGGGAGCGACTAGCCGCGAGGGGCGTCAGAACCGTAGGAGGCGCACGAGTCCTGGGGGGTGTGCTGCTGCCACTGAAACTCTATCGCGTAGCCAATCACGAAGGCGGACGGCTGTGCTCTCCTCATTCACAGCTCTAGTGGCTTTTATCCGAAATGGAGGGTGTGGGCGTGTCGCAGATTATGAGGCACTGCGCTATCAAATGCACGAACCCAATGGGTAGGAGCTCTCGAGTCGTCGTCGGGTTGGGATGCGCCCGTTTGCGGATCACAACTCGCTCGTGCTTGCAGGGTCCTCAGAGGAAGCAGGCGCCGCCGTCGCTGTTATGTAAGGCACATTAAATTGGAATGGGGTCTGGGAAAATGGATCTCAGAGGGGGCCAAAAGAGAGTGGATGTTGGGATGGGATGGGATGGGATGATGGCTTGGATGGGTCCCGTCAACTGTCGCTCGTCTTGTCTGTTGATTAGCCCCTATCTTAGGCGTTGCGATGGGATGTTGTCATATTACCTTGGTTGACTGGGTAAGCAGCGAAAAGTGACTCGACTTGACGAGAGCGTGGGACGAAAAACAATCGAGGCACACACGAGGGCCGTGGTCTCTGACCGGGGAGAAAGGGGCAACAAATGATTCCGGGCCGGCCAAGGAAGAGAATTGGATAAAAGCAGCAAGTGCGAGGCAGGTAGGGAATGAATGGATGGACGCTCCCGCTGTTCGCAAACTGGATGGCAAAAGACATGGCACCCATCTGATCATCCATTGGACCCTGGTCGGCTGTCAATTGGCGCCAGCAGAACATTGCCTTAGTAACCCACCCCAATGGCTGGCTGGGTGTACATGCATCGACAGTATTTCTCTGTACGCTCAATAAGGCCGAAAAACGTGTTCCGCAACGGGTCGGTACCTTGCAGAAATGTACGCCCCCACCGAGGGCACTAAAACAGAGACTGGGGTTGGCCTTTGGTGCCTGGGAGGGACCTCGAGCCTCTAGCCTCTAACCTCTAGAGGTGTCACGGCGCGGCCTCTAGCTCTGACCAGCACCAGGCTCATTGGCTTTTTCCCGCATCCGGGCCATGCCCGTGCTTGGACCCAGCTGGGATGAAGCTCTCAAGGAGGATGGATGAGTGCGCACGCATAAGGCGCGTCTGATCCTTCCTCTCTCCGATCGTTGGGACTGGATACTACCTAGGTATGTATGTACATGTGCATCGATTAATTCTTGCTTGTGGACTCGGCTCGGAAGCTTCAAGCGCCAAGCTTCTCGGTGCTGCTCAATGCGCATCTCTCCACATCACTGGACCGCCGCAGATGTCTGAGACAAAACAGCTTGTCTCGTAATTATAGTGGTACGGAGCCTAGCGCTGTGAAGATATCGTTGCCTCCCAAGCCAGCCTAACTTCAACCAGTATTAGAGAGCAGCCCAACCAGCCCAAGAACCTTCTACTCAGCACAGGCCACACCATCCTGTCAATGCCCATTCTGCAGCGCATTTCATGGAAGCTGCAGTCAGCCATACTAAGCGACGGCCAGTCTTGATGCATTGAGCGCGCCTCCGGTCTGGTCTGTGTACTACCTGCGTATGATCATTTACGAGGACCAGGGTCAGATCCAGCGCTTGGATGCCCACAGTGGCCGAAACGATTTCGGTATCCATTGGATATCAATCTGCTACACACATCCACCAACAAGGAATATCCCCATTGCACGGCTCGCCCAGAACAGATCTCCAGTCGCCATGAGACAAAATTGACTGCACATGCGCTACACTGACCAGCTTACCGCCTGTTCGTCAGATGTCACCGTGTTACCAACAGGAATAATGCCCATTCAGTCGATCTACCCAAACATACAACGAGTCAAAAAGTTTTCGCTAGCCCCAGTATTGTTTGCTTCATAGAGCTACTTCCTTCATGCCCAAAACAAACGACTCGTCACATTCAAGCACCCCAAAATCTCCTGACTTCAGGGATCCACCTCCAAATACCTAATTTGGTCCCCTTCTCGTCGCCACGCCAGTCAGTCTTGTCAATTCTACGCGACACTGAGACCTACCCTACCTAAGGCCTGGGCTTGGCTCCATGCTCTTTCACACAAAGATTGCCAATATCATCGGCAGTGGATGAAAAGAAAAAAGGTCTTACCACCCTCATCAGCTCCTGATCTACAGACGGCATTGATCCGCATGGGACAATACCCCATTCATCCGCCCAAGCTAACAAACATGAAACATGCGAAATCTCGCGGCGCTCAAACAACTGCCGTAACCCTGCCGCTGGGACTAAACCGCGGATGTCGTGGTGTCTCTCGCGTCCGACCCTGGTCTCCCCTTAAATTTACAACCATAACCACTCAGATAGCCCTGGTCTATTTTCCCCCGGTAACCAGTAGTCCTGTACAGACTGTACGACCACTACAAGTGTCCGGGCGTATCAGAGGGGAAATTTTCATATTCACTAGAATGTGGCCGGTCCGCATCGCTTGGTAAACACCTCAGCGTGGATCCTCTTTCACGAGGCACTACTAGACTAGACTGGATATCAAACTACTATATATAAAAGTGAGGTCTTTTCATGTAGATGTCTACGGTGGAGATGTTCCGCCCATTCTATAATACAATTCTCATACCCAGTTTATGCAAACACACACCTTTACCAGTGTTAGTCTAACCTTCAAACACCGCTTCCTGCAGCTCAATGCCGTACTCGGACGCCATCTCCTTCATGCGTTTTTCCATCTCGTCTTCCATCCCACCCCCAAGTCCCAGCCATTGCCGCATTTTGAAAAAGTAAAAAGCAACATCCGTAAAAGTCATCACGGTCTTGAATATGATATGCCGGAAGGCATGCGAGAATCGCTGCCGCCATGGTTGATTGGGGTCCTCGTAGAGACTACGACTCGCCCATTCGCCCATGATCTTGACGCGGTTTACCGGCGAGCCCAGGTACTGGTTGTTCCCTTGAACGATTCTCATGTTACGGCCTAAAAAGATAAGCTCCTTTGGCCACTTGTCCTCGTCTGCCAGAATGTCCCTGATGCCATCCTTCATCTTGCGCTGCATCGCATAGTTCCTTTCGGCAGGTGTCATGTTCTCCATCCCGGCATCGAATTTCTCTCCGCCTTCATATGGTCGTAACAGAGTTGCGGAGGCAAACATGTCTGCAGATCTAATTCCCCAGCGAGAGGTGACATCGACGATTGTTTTGTTGTCAAATGTCAGGAGAGCCTTCCAGAGAAGACCGTATTGGTGTCGGAACTCGTCTGACATTTCAACGTAGAGCCCATGATCAATGAGGACAAGTTCCGCTCTACCATTTGGCAGCCGGCGGATGAAGATATTTCCAGGATGAGGATCACAATGCACTATACCCCATTTGAAGATCTGTGCAGCGAAGAGATCAACCATGATTCCCATGACCTCCTTCGATGAAAGACCCAGTCCGCCTCTCCCTCGGCGTCCCTTCCAGTATTGCCGATCAGGCTTGATCTTATCCACGTGCGCACCTGTTCGGACCTCACGCCGAGCTTTGTCCACGTCAAAGGGCGGCAGGGGAACTCTAGCACCTGGAGAGCCATTCCCGTAGCCACCGAACCAAGTTGATGTCAGGGCCTTCTTATCCCATAGTCTCACGCCTTCAATCCACTCGGTCGTTAATACTCTTGTAGTTGTAAGTTCAGGATAGACTAGAGGGATGTGAACTCGGCCTCTAAGGCTCTTCTCAGAGTTCACGAGAGCCCTCATCGTTTCACCATTTTTCGCCTCATTGACAAAATCCATTTCCAACTCCAAGCGCTCAGTGATAAACGGTATCATCGTGTACAGTGGGAGATCAAACCATTTGGAGTAGATCCAAGTGACAGTTCTACGTGTAATGTTAGCGGGGCGCTCCATTTGCACCGTCAGTGGCAGCAAGCCATGTTCTTACTTGAAAGACCAGAGGTCCCAATCCCTTTGCTTTCCGATTTCTCGCTTCTGCACCTTGATCGCGACCTCTCGCCCGTCCGGCAATCTGGCCCAGTGCACCTGCGCAACACTCGCACTCGCCCGGGCTTTCCGCTCCATCAGGCCGTAGCCCGCCTTGCCCGTAAAGCTAACACCGAACACTTCTTCCACGCTCTTGCCGAAATCCTCCTTTATGACGGCCTCGACGTCTTTCCAGTCGTCCTGAGGAGCGTCGTCGAACATGCGCCCAAACATCTTTTGGAACTCGGGCGGCAGCACGGCGCTTTGCATCGCAATCGCCTGTCCGATCTTGAGGTACAGACCGCCATTGTCCTGCAGCAGGTCGAAGAGACGCTGTGCGTTTCGGTTGTGTAGATCTTGGATGGTCCCCGAGACCCATGGGTCGGCGCGGAAGTTGAGCTTGTAATCGATCGCGACCACTAAGCCGGTATAGAAGGTTCGGACGGAGCGCAAGAGACCTGATGCATAGATTTGCCGGTCCGCCAGGTATACCACGCCTCCAGCGATGGACACTATGAGAAGCCGTCGCCCCCATTTTCTGCTCTTCTTGTATTGCTTGGCAGCCTGTGGTGCGCCGAGCTCGCTCGGTGAGGGCGGTCGCAGAGGTTGGAAAGGCCCGCCGCTCCGGTAGTGACGTATCGGGGTGCTGCGACTGACCCTTCCAAAGGGCACGCGACACCTCGATAAGGTGTTCCCTAGGCCGCTGGAAAGCATGGCGTCTGAGGGTGAGATAACGTACGCCAGTCGCGCGCACGGGAAGAATTGATCTGTCAGTGCATGGGTAAGAAGTGTGTGCTGAAGGAGATACTAGCTAGCTAAGTAGTCGTCCATCTCGTAATCACCATTCCGAGATCGAAAAAAAAATCCCGAAGTCCTTATCGCCGTCCCCGGAGTTCAGTATCGGCCTTTCCAATCGACCTACCCTACATCCACTCGGTTTGTTCACATTGTTCCTCAAAACAGCGATTTCATATGCGTATGACCTGCACCTTACGACTTGTGCCGCGTGTGTATTTGCTTTTATTTAGTCAACAGCCCTTTGGTTATGAGAACAATGTGGGCTAGTGTTTGGATTGTTTTGGTGATAAGTGGATTGAGTGATTAACACAATGTGTTGCAGATGGTGGCATTTAACCTGTCATGAATCGTCATTATCCCCAAAGCCACGGGCAAGGTATGATAAAGCGCAAAACATTCATAAATCTCATAGCAATGAATAGACGCTGGACTTTTATTGTGATTGACAAGGGCGCCAAAGTCATGCATCTCAAGCACCAGAGTATCAAATGCTGCCCCTTGATTGGCGACATCACTGAAACAGATGTCAGGAAGGCAAAACATTGTGTCATATCCGCAAAGCGCATGAACAATTACGCACAAACGGTCCGAACAACTCCTCACTTACGCCTTGCATGAATGCAACGATCATGAATTCCGGAGAGCTGTTGACCTCCAGTGTGAATTGGTCCGTTGCAATATCCGATAGTGGGGGAGGTGTTTGTAATCGGTGACGGCAAATACTCGTGAAACGGGCGGCCGGGATGCGGGGATAATCATTTAGCAGGATAATTCCTGGACAGTACCGGAGTAAGATTGTCCATGTCCGCACTGGAATTGGAATTGACACAATCCTACATACCTAGCTAAGTATGAATTGACGAACTGAACCTTGACAATACGAGGAAATTTTCGATATACTACCTAAGTTACTAAGACAAAGACGATCAAGGGTGCACCAACATGGAAAACCTAATTTGGGACACTTGCGGCACAAGCATGGAGGCTGGTGAAAGGAGCAAGCTTTTCTTGTGTGGTTTGTTGGGTAAGGTATGCTGGCTTCGATGGATTCTGGTGCCATGTTGGTTGCATCAGGCCCCCAGGATGAGGGAATAGTTGAATGCCATGGATAAGAGCAATAATACCCACTTTCCAGTTGGGAAACCGGTCTGGAGCGAAATGGGCAGTGCAAGCAAGGCACCTTGCCTTCAAGATAGGGCACGTACTACTGATGAATAATGGCGACATTCTATCGCTGGGGTGGGCACCCTGACAGATAAGTGAACAGGAACGATAAACAAACCAGCAGAGACCAGACAGGGCTGGGGCATTCCAGTGTGCGAACACCTAGGACAGCAATAGAACAACACTGTCACACGCACGCACAAGGAAGCCGGCGCGGAGATCCGAAGAAGAAATCTCGACAACAATACACACTGCATGAACGCTGCAGAACAGTGGATGCAGCGACTTACTCGCTGGTTGATAACAGTTGGTCCCGCCTAGGGACTTAGTACGTACGCACTACACGTACTACCGACTAGGGCTCTCAGTGGGGATTTCCAGGCTTTGGATCCTTGGAACATCCGCAACCTAAAAGTAGCAGTGCCTAATATTAATACCACCCAATTTTCAAATAGTCATCCGTAGAGTGGTATTACTGATGCCAGATCCTCTTCCCCATCCATGCACCTTCCTTGCTGGGGACCCAGGTAATTAGGTGAACTTGCAAGCGAATGCAGTCTAAGCATTCGATAACGTGGTGCGAGGCACATCGCTCGCGAAACACGCCCATTTCCCCATCGCTCCCCCCAGGGACGGACAAGCTTTCTCTGAGCGTGATGGGCGCCAGGCACAACCCACCGCAGCCGCGAAACCTTGTGGCGTTTCAAAGCTTGGTTAATCTGGCGCGCGTGTGCTAATCTCAAGATCGTCTAGCCTCCAGGCACTGGACCTGGATGATTCAGGGCAGCCCCACGCGGAGCACGCGCATTAGCTTAGTGTGTCTTCGACACTTACAGTGGGCTCTAGCTCCTTTCTCGCTGCGCCGTCTCCACTTCATCTCATTCCCCTCCAACTGAGCCCACCTCCCTCTTCTGCTTCCTGCTCTTGTCCCCAGGAAACCATCGTTCGCTACCTACACCGACAGCAACACCACAACGCCGGCCACTCTCTGACGGCGCGACAATCACTGCTGGAGAAAGCGAACCGTGCGATTGCCGCGAGGAGAGGTGCATTTGGGCCAGAAATTTCGTTTTCATATAACGTAAGGGGTTACGACATCAGCCAGTTTTGACGAGGCGCAGCGCTTTGCCGACGACGACTCCACGCGATATGAGGGCGGCGAGAGGACACCAACCGATTCCCACAATCTCCGATGCCACTGGTCTAAAATTGTCGCATAATTGTTCCCTCGTTTAATCGCCCGTCAATAGTCATCAGAGAACAGGAAAGGGTCAATTTTTTGTTATCGTGGACGGCGACCTTCAACATGTTGCGACCGGCAACCCCTTTGTCGGTGATGCTGTTCGCAGCTCTCGCACTCCAGATTTTGGCGGTAATTTCGACACCAGTGATCAAGGCGATACCGCTGGGTAGCTTCGGTGGCTACAGTTTTGGTGTTTTTGGATACTGCGATGCAAAGAGCAAATGCTCCAGTATCAGCATCGGGTATAAGATAGGTTGGTGCTGCTCTGACCTCGATGGGCTTGCCAATTTGCTTAATGTACTGGGCTGACTCGATTCATTATAGGCTCAGTATCTGACGATAAAGACTTTGATATGCCCCGGACAGTTCGCGAAACCCTCACAATGATTTTGATTCTCCACCCGGTGGCAGCTGGTTTAACATTGCTCATGTTCATACTTGCTGTTACCTCCCACTTCCACTCTCCCGCACACTCAGGAAGATTTCTTCTTGCGTTTAGCATTCTGATTATCCTCACATTCTTGGTGTCTCTGGCGGCATTCTTAATGGACGTACTGGTGTTCATTCCCCACATTGCGTGGGGTTCATATCTTGTCCTGGCTTCTACTATTCTGCTATTGATCAGTCTCGTGGTCTCATGCGTCATCCGCAAGACCATGCTGGGCCGCAAATCTAGGAGAAGGCAGGTCGCAGAGAACGCTGAAATGAGCGGAGAGAACTTTTATAACAGGGAAGCGGCCCTAAAACCTATCGAGTCAACGTTTTCAGCCCCGGTTCCTCCCACCACTACAGCGCAGGAAACCCTGCCTACGTTTGCCACTTTCGAGCAAAAGGCAGCCGATACCATCAGTGATGAGCGGATACCTTTGACTCAGAGGTCGCCATCCACATCATCCCCCGCGCCAATGAACCCCTACAACAGATCTATGTCCCCTCGTGACCAGTTCAACAACAGTCCTAGTGGACCGCCAGATGCTTACGGAATCGCAAGGGGTCCGTCGAATGAGAGTATGCGCTCTCGAGGATCTCAGAGGGGAGCCTACCGAGGTCGCGGAGGTTACGGACGAGGTGGTATGGATATGTACGGAGGAGGCGGCTCGATGAGAGGACGTGGAGGGTATGGTCCTCCTGGCAGAGGTGGCTATCCCCCAAGAGGCGGTCCTCGCGGAGGCGGGCTGGCACCTCCACCTAGGGGCGCCTATGCCGGTGGAATGCGAGGCGGAAGAAGTCCACCGCCTGGCCCCTACAATGGAAACGGCCCGTACGACAGACGTCCTTCTCCAGGGTATAACAACAACCAACCTGCCGCAGGAGAGGTTAGCCCCATTTCCGATGGCTTCCCCGACAATTCCTTACCCAGAGCGGAGTCGCCACCCCCATTGCCGGATGATCCTGGAATTATCGGGCGGGCTGTTGACATGCCTCAACCAAGGGCCACGCCACCACAAGGGTATGGTCAATTGAGGGACAATGACTCTGATGTTGCTGGCATGGTCGGTTTACAGCAAGGAATGGCCCCCCCAAATAGGCATGAGACGTACATGAGTGTGGAGAGCAAGTACAGTACTGATGAGTATGTGCTCTACTTTATTCCTTCCCTCCAAGTTGATGATTTGGTAACCTAACATCTGACCCTAGACAATACATGCCTGCACGAGCTGCATGGAACCAAACACCGGGACGAGGCTCACCAATGCATGGGGGACCAGCCCCCGGAGCGGCAAAGAGCGATTACTATGAGGATGTGGACCCTCGTTTCGAAGGTAGACAGTCGTCTAATGTCTTGGCTCCCGCAGGCGAGCCCGCATATGAGGACGCTCGTGCCCACGGGGCTCGAAGTCCTACTGGATCGGAAAGGTCAAACTTCACTTCCATATCGCAACGGGGCGTAAATCCTCGATGGGAAGCTCCTCCTCCGATGCCACACCAACACGCTCGTCGTCAAGTTCAACAACGCCAGGACATGCTTTTAGATAACGCCGACTTTCAAGTACCCGGGTCTCGACCAGGTCCACGGAACGGACCAGGCACAGTGCCCGGTAGCGCTTATCCTGGAGGCGGCTTCTAAGACAAGGGCCACCAGGACCAAAATTTCATGACCGATAGATACTCCCGTTTTCTTGGAGATCACTCTAAATACCGATTTTTCTTCATCTGTCTAGTTTCCTTATCCAACGTCAAGAGGCCAACTCTGTTTCCCGGCCATCTCCTTCTTAATGTATATCTAAGAGAGCTGGCTTTCCACTCGTCGTGGCCCTATGGCGATTACATACATCGAAATTCTCGGAATACGACCCGAAACGGGCTATGTTCAGTTTTCATGACACGGTTGTTATGGCCCTTCTGACTTGATGGGATTGTTTTCATCATCGGTGTATAGAGGTGCTTCTAGGCCTATGCGCCTTCTTCAAAATTAATGGGCCAAACGCCTAGACCTGCTCCAGCTTTGCCCACACCGGATTCTTCATGGTCCGGAAACAAGAAACAATGTCCTTGTGTCCAGGGATGTGTCACTCCCTCACTCTCTTTTTCTTTCTTTTTTCTGCCTTCTTCAACTTTTTCTCCTTTAACCCAGGAGGTTTTGTATCTTTGTTTGGCCATCCCGCTAGGAGGAGGCTAGCCATGGTTGGCTGACATCTTTGTCTATTTTTCCATTCACACACCAGGGGTTAAGGCGCTAAGGTTTTACAAGGCATTTCTATGGGCTGGCACATGTTAGTTACTCACTATGGTTGGGGCTTCTCAAATTAATATAAGAAGAAACAATCTTTTATATATTTCAGTATACTGTTTCAGGCTACTGCATACCGTGTGATGAGGAAACTACTTGCAAGTTGGTTGACTTGCGTATCTTGCGGATGTCGCTGTCTACAATTGCCCCGTCTTTGTTACGCTTTGCCTGTAAGCATTGATTCCCTTTACCAACGCAGGAAAGTACGGGTAATTAGGTAGGTACCTAAGGTAGGTAGATACTGAACACTGAGCTTAGTACCTAGTAGCTGTTGGCGCTATCATCCCTACTTGCTTTTGGCGTATTGATGATTCACTGAGCTCAGTTCTTTCTCACCCAACTCTCACTTCGCCCGTCATATGCCCTCCCCGCCTACCCACCAGCCTACCACTTAACTTCATCATTGAAAAGGTGCATGTCATAAAATCAGTCGGTCTCTATCGATCTCCCTCTTCCATTTTCCCTTGCAATTTATCTTCTTCTTTTGGTCTTCAAAAGAAACAGCTTTCTGTGAGAGATCATGCGGAAGTGATGCATCGCGGAGCACCTATTTTGGATCACCAGAATCTTCTATCATTTTGACCATTTATTCTTGAACCCCCCAAATTTCAGACAACCTTGCCCCAGTTTTGGTCACCTATCTTTCATTTTTTGGACTCTGGTGAGTGCCAGAATTTGAAAAGTAGCGATTTATCCAGGTTTCCCCCATTGCACGTGGCTGCCCTGGGCTACCGAGACGTTCCTTCCCTTTGGCATCTCGTCACGCCTGAGCGCCCAAAAAAAGCCCGAATTTGGAAAGGAAGGTACGCACTTCTCTTTTCGGTCCTAGATCTCTAATCAATTACTGACCCGACCCATGATGGGGCAGTAGCCTTGATAGCCTCGCACCTTCTTCACCACCTTCATCCGTCTCTCCAAACCTCCTGCCACCGAACGAGTTGGTTGAAGAAACCTGACAAGACATCTTGGAAATCTAAGCAAAGGAAATAAGTTTTTGCCACTGCTGGGCAAGTGACTGTCGAGCTGGCACTCATCGTTGCCTTCGTTCAGCCCTGCTCACCTTGCGGCTGCCTTCCTGCAAGAGTTCTACCAGTTCCTTCACCCCACGCTACTTCTACATGAGCCCCAAAGAAGCCCCTCACTCGGCCTTTCTTTTGTTGTTTTTCTTTGGATTATTTGAATTTGAATTATTCGTCAAGGATGATGGACTTTCGACCTTCCCCTACGAGCCTCACCTCGTCAACGGCCATTGCACGAGCAACAGTGCCACCGTCAAAGCAGCCAACTTACACTACTGCTGGGACAATCTACAACCCAAACACTTCACAGCCGCTCCAGCCACCAACTCGTCGAGGCCGCTCTTTCAAGTGGGCCCAGAATAGTGCTACCGACTTGTTTCCAAAGTCGGTTCTCAATTCCTTGCCTCTCAAGACTCCGGGATGCCAGGTTCCCATGTTTCAGCAGTACTCTCCCCTCCAACAAAATTACGATCGAGCCGTTAGCCCCCTCGTCGAAGAAAACAGCCCTCTCGCGAAAATGCCATATCCGCGCCTGCCACCTCAGGTGAGCAATTACAACGGCACAGCTCAAAAGCGTTCCGAGGAGGATGAAAACCTAGGAGATGAGAACAAAAAGGAAGACAGCGACAGTGACAGCGAATTTGGAATGGATCCTCTCATGGGAATGACTGTCAAGTCTCTTCACAATCTTGCGTCCTACCCGAATCCAAACCAGAAGAGGGCTCAGAAGGCCTTGCTTCGTGGAATAAAGCAACCGACAGGTGGCGCGTCTGACCGAGCCAACTCCGTAGCTCCATCAAATGCGGTCCGCCCGATTGGATCTCCAGCCAAGAAAAAGATCTCACAACGGAATCTTCTGGGTGTAGCTCAACTAGATTACAGAGTTCAGCCTACAACCCTGGTCGATACTGAACATGAACCTGTTACGCTTTCTGAGGATGAGGTTAGTTCGGGTTCCTTGGGTACCTCTAGCCTCACATCGCGAGAGGGCTACCGGACAGGTGCCCCGACATTTTCGACAAGAGTCTTAGGTACCGGAGCTCCAAGACCTCTAACAGCGGGACCCCCTGGTCAGCGGCAATACCGTCCATCGACCTTTGAGTCGACTTGGAAAGCCTTGCAAACTAAGTCCCACTTACAGAAACCTGATTTTGGAAATTCCGATATGTTCGGACCAACCATCATGGACTCCAGTTCAGTCGAGAACGAGGGAGGTGCTTCTCTATCCGATGTTTTTACACCTCTGGGGGATACTCGTACGCGTTCTACCAGTCCCTACGCTCAACATGGGACAGACAATAGCAATTCAAATTCCCGTGCTCTAGACAACAAATCTCCAGGCACCTCCTCGGAAGACAGCGTCAAGGATTCAATGGAGCGAGAATGTCAGCAGTCCGAAGGCTCTACTGAGCCGAGCATCTTTGCCGTCTCTACCTGGAGAGACAATAGCCCAGAAATACGCATGAAATTCATACCGGGGACTGATAGATTGACGGATGAGGCAATCAAATCAAGAAACGACGATAATGACCGATATTGGTATGCGGGGTCCGACTTCTTGGGTAAAACAGCCTCGGAGGCTGTTATCGATCTCAAAGTGAAAAAGTTGGAGTGCAACCTCGGAGCTATTGGTGATGGACGGCCACTCAGGGCTCAAAATCATTACTCTCCCATTGGAATTCAGGAGGCAATTCAGATCCCGCCAGAGGAGCACTCAAAGCCGATCATGAATATGACATTCGCAACAATTCTTCGTTGTCTTGAGGAGAAATGGTGCCGCCAAATTCTTCAGAAAAATGAAATCCGGGGACAGTAGTTATTATATCGAATGGAAGATGCTTTGGAAAACTTTTATTTGAGTGGGTTTGAGGAAGCGATGCGCACATGGTCTGTGTGGAAGTTTGACTCTTTTCGCAAGACTTGGTCGGGAAGATTGGATGACTTCAAGACTGACTGACGGGAAGCAAAGAGTGTGAAGACGAGGTTGGAGAAACAAACTATTGGCGGTGTATGTCGATTACTGAACAATTTTATCTTAAGGGGAAACTAGAGAGTGGAAAGGGTTAAACTAGGTAGCAATGGTGGCTGGTTTGCGAGCTTAGGAAAGTAGCATTCAATATAGTCATTTCTTGATCAGAGATGATCTACTCACTCCCTGGAGAGTAAATTCTGACGACCATCTCCCCACAGCCCGGGCCTATAGAGATTTGGAATAATTGAATAGCATGGAAGCCATGGTTTATCTGATAGCCGCTGGGTTTACTTCCCTACCAAGCTAGCCAGCGCTCTCACAGTCTTTCCTTGCGTTGGGGCTATGGTCTTGGGGTAGTCGAGATTAGTCGTTCTTTATAGCTCGCCGTGCCCGATCTCACGGTCATGTGCTTCTGATCCGTTGGCATTGCTCACACCCTAGCCTTGGCGAGTGATGGATCGATATGTTGGGAACTTGTGCGAAAGATGTCCCAAACATGACTTAATGGTCGAATGGGACGCAATCAAAGTTTGAGGAGAAGCTTACTAGCGGGGCCATTGGAATTGGCTGCATAGGCTTACGACATAGAGCACGTACACTGCTTGATATATGATCAAAATTACCTTCCCATTGAGCACCACCGTGTTCGTGATCTCATTGCGTGACTGTATTTTCGGATATTTTCCTCTTAGTGAGGTATCTTTGAATAGGGAATGCATGAACTAATTTTGGCTTCGATTTTGTGTGGACGACTATTGTGAGATTTCTTGAGAAAGGTAGTCTCTTGGATCTCGTCTCGCCCGCCGGATATGACAGATGAACTTTTCCTCTTCCGCTTGGAATTTCCTTGACAGTGTTGAAACACTGATGTTTCCCCCTCACATCAACCGACCTCTTTTCTGGAAATGATCTCAAGACTCGGGATCTCAGTTGCGGGCAGTTGAATGCAATCGCAGGCTCTAGAGATCCAGGTCGCCGTTTGGTTACTTCGTTCTCGAAGACGAACTATTTCTTGTCATCCACCAATATATTACACTCGAGTCCTCTTAGGATGTTGCGAAATCGTTGATGAACTTGACAAGTTTCTCCGCCCCCTCGAGAGAGATGGAGTTGTACGAGGAGGCTCTTACTCCCCCGACGCTCCTGTGTCCCTTGAGGCCGGTGAGTCCAAGAGCGGTGCTCTGGTCCAGGAAAGCCTTCTCGGCGGCATCGGTGTCGCCGCCCTTGGTGACTCTGAAGCAGATGTTCATGCGTGATCGCACCGTCTTCTCGGGGAAGACCTTGTAGACATCAGGATATGCATCCAGGGCTCCGTAGATGAGGTCGGCCTTCTTCTGGGACACGGCTTGCTGTCCCTCAACTTTGTTAGGGTATGTTTGCAGTAATTTCTTCAGCACCTGGCCGGCGATGTATACACTATGTACACAATTAGTATCACCGGTAATGAGGAAAGTCGTCGCAGGTTGAAGGTAGCTTACTCAAATATGCTAAGTGTGTTGTAAAGGCTGTTGTTCTTCGCAATGGTGTCATACTCAAGGATAATGGGCGGGATGGGCAAACCCAGCTGTCGCATCAGAGCTGCGGAGGGCTGAGGCAGGGCGGGTGACAGCAGGCTCTTCCTGATGACCACGACGGTGATTCCGGCCGTTCCAAGGTTCTTCTGGGCACCAAAGAAGATGGCCGAGAAGTTCTTGACAGGGATCTTCTTGGAGAGGATGTCAGAGCTCATGTCGGCTACGACAATCGGGCCCTTTCCGTCCGGGCCTGGCGCGAGAGACTTGGGGAACTCATGGAACTCGACGCCACTGTGTCCTGGGTTAACGCTTGCTTCGGTTTGATCATCAAGGAGTGGGTAGACATACTGGACCGTCTCGTTTGAACAGAAATAAACCAGAGCTGCTTCGTTTGATAACTTCCAGGTGCTCTCGTCTGGGATAGTCCCATATCTGCCGTCGTTGGATCTGCGGCTGTCGGCCACGATGTTGACGTGGTCCTCGCCAAAGAGGCGCTGGGCCTCGGCCGATGCCTTTTGCGACCACCCACCGGTAATAATGTAATCGAGCTTGAGATCCTTGTCAACAGTCTCCTTTAGTTGCTGGATCAGTTTGGGGTCGTTGCTGTCGCCGACGATCTCCTTGTGCTTGCGGGCAACCCAGGAGCCGACAAAGTTAAAACTGTCCGGATCCTCCACCCTGCATGAAAAAAATATCATAGTCATCTGGGATGTCGAGAAACGAGGCCAGATCCGCCTTGGCCTCGTTGATGATGCTGGTGGCGAGTGCGGAGCGATGGCTGATCTCAGCCAGTCCCAGGCCCTGGGATCCAAAGTTGACCAGAGCCTCCGCGGCCTTCTCAAGCACAGATGTGGGAAGTCCAGCGGGGCCAGCCCCGAAATACGTGATATCTGATCTGGAAGGCATGGTGTGCCTCTTATGCCCTATTTTATAGGCAACTGGCTTGAAGGTCTGGACAATTTGTACTTGGAGTTCCAGACGACCGCAACTTGACGGCCTGACGATTCAATTTTTGAAGCCTCAGCGATTGGGGCCCGGGGATTCGTCGATTTTAAACCTGGAATCTCGACAATTGAAACTTGAGGACTTTTTTCCTTTCGACTCATAGTATATCCGCTTAGTGGGTGACAGCCGGGAACGGCGCATTATTGGGTATGATGGAGATCACGTGACTCAAAACTCTCTTGAAATGACTCTGCTCACAGACCAAGATTGGTCATTCAAATGAGAACATTGCGGGATGGAATCTCTTCTTCGAACTATATACTCAACTGCAAGTCTTAGACATGCCTAGACTTATTTTTCCGCTCCTCAACTAGTCGCTAATATTTTTTTCATGCATCATTTCATGGCAATTGCATCGCTGGGCAGAGACTGCGACATCTAATACTGGCACAATACAACGCACCCACAGACGACATCGGACGCGATGCTCAGGTCAGGCCCCACATTGGCCAGTCAACCTCGAATCCGGTATCGCTAGAGCGCGGTGATGTGTGATCATAATCGGCATCGGTCTTGAGAGACCTGCTGGCCGCTCTACAGAACAAGGTAGGAGTGTACTGACCTTCCCTGGGGGAATTTGGCAACGGATGATTGGTATCAGGAGGCTGGTTGCCAACGCACAACTCTCAATTTGTGATTTGGCTTGTTCGGACCGTGCTGCTGAATAGGCAACTCTTTAATGCGACCCGGGGAAGTGGCCCGAAGGCCAATCGGACCACCGTCTGCCAAACTTGGTTTCATAATTCGTCTGTTACTAATAGCAGTGTTGGGGGGATATAACGGTTTCATAATGAGGTGGAAAAGTCTGTTTCTTTCTCACCTGAGGGCCCAGAAGCTCGCCGATCGCTGACCCCGGCACCATGAACTTGCTCCTGTTGGTGGAGGGTTGAACTTGACACCAACTTTTGGGCCGCACTGCCTTCCGTTCGTTTTCTGTAGTCTCGTGAAGGGGTTGGACTATATATATGTGAGTAGAGGTCAAAATTTACCTATTGAAGGCGGAGAAGAGGAGAGTGGGCTTTGTTGAAGGGCACTTCCGCTCTTCATCGTTGCCCCTACGCTAAGTTTGTTGAAATGCCAAGTATCCTGGCCAAGTGCAATACGATGGGAGCTCCGCCAATTGTGTGAGAACGTTGCATACTTCTGAAAGACAGTCAGGAATTTTTCATTTTTTTCTTGGGAAGGATAAGAGAGAACATAAGAATGACTTTACCTGGACAATCATGGCGATCTGCGAAAGTTGTAGACAGTAGGTAACATAGACGTGAACAGATAAAGGATGAGTAACTTTATGTATGAAATGGAAATTAAGATTTGGTTGTAGGTCTTGTCAGTTAACCGCTGGGAGGAGCGCATGGCTTGTGGAATATGGCCGTCTACAAGGACATTTGGGCGCCCTGTAGTCAGGTTTGAAATAGACGATGAAGCCCGCGAGAGGGAAGTGTTCCATAAGAGACTGTAGGATGAAATTTCCAAATGCCTTTCCAACTATGTGATTTCCCCCCCCTTTTTTTCCCTTTGGGTGTGCATTGAGTTCCGGCTCGGGTGCGTGGTATCGGGATTCCGGTATCAGAGATCAAGTACCCTGACAACGAAGGCTGGCCTCAAGCTGCTATCGATCCTCTCGGGCAACCTGCGTTCACCATCGCAACAGGAATTCGCCTCGACTGTTGAGTTTGCCGAGATGAGAGAAGTGATAGATGGCAATATGCCGCCCGTGAGGGGTCGCTTCCTCCAGCGCATAAGGATTGCAGATTTAGTACCCAAAACGGGACAAATCTTCCGAGAAGAGACCCTGTAGGGTCCCCCCGCACGAGCGTTAGTTGGATTAATAGCCTTCCTTTGGAGATGCGGTCATCTTCTGGAGGATCTGCAGGACGCACGTAAAAACTGGTGCGGACTCTATTCCGAATTTCCACCAGTAGCGGGTTGAGCGGTTAGCAGAACGTTGAGGCTATTCGAGGACATGCTTTACTAGCGTGGAGCCAACCACACGCCAACTTGGACGGACAGTGTAGAGTGTCAAACTGGCGAGCATGGGGGTGGAACCTTCGAATTAGAGGGTCCAAGTTGGATAGGTAGTAGGCGAGTAACTAGGATAGTAAACAGCCCTACGGGTGGGTTGACCTTCTTTTCCCACTCAGACACGCCTCTGCTGAAAAGAGACACTAAAGCGTGGCTCAAGGGAGCATCATGGGAAGATCAGCGGGTATCGGTTCTGCAACCCAGGGTTGAAGCGCAGCAATGATCCGAAACTCGCACTATACTGCAGCCTGGGGAGATCTTGTCTCACGGCTTGGCAGAGCTGGTATTCCCGGTTTGGTCCAGCAGTTCATTTTTCTAGCTGCTATTGCAATGTCGTCTCTTGGCTGGCTGATCATACCCTAAAGCAGTATGAACGGCCAAACTATTTGGAATTGTAGACACGAGGAGGAATCGGCAGGCAGTGCGATCCCCGAAAAAGCAAAGAACAGACCCGGGTTGAAGATGCCGCCCGCTGCTAGAGCCAGCCTGGGGAGTGGGGGAACACCATTCTTTACCAGTTCCAGGCAAAACGAACACATCACTGCACCTTGGAGGCTGCACTGTCATCCATCTCTCATGTGAGCTATCGACTTTGAACTCCACAAGCCTTGGGGGCGGTGACCCCGTAAACGCTCCTTTGCTCAAGGTCGGCGACCCGGTGTCGAATGAGCTTTGTGAACACGCAGTCTATCCTACAAGGAAAAGCACGCACAGGCAGCATGGGCTGCATGGAGAATTTTGAGGTCGCACAGAAAGGCTCCACCGATTCCTCAGCTTGCAGTAGCAACGGGACGACCTCGGTGTGACTTGATGCCAGAATGAAGGTTCAGGTTGATATGAAGTGGTTGCCATCTGCCGAGTCCCAGTAAACTTTCGGATGTAGCCGCAGCACGATGATTTGGAATTGGGGCTCTTGCAGGTCTGCATGCCAAGAAGCGACACGTTCGTATCGATTGCCCAAATGTACGTATGTAAGATTGACAAGGATTCCGACTACACTAGTGATTCATTGGAGCACGTCATGTAACCTACCTTATGGTTATCAGAGTTTATTCTTTGCTTCTGGGTGCTTGCTGCCTACCAAGGGACGAGATAAAGCAGCATCCTGCCTGCCCATTGAAGTCTCGAGACGAGGAGACGGAGCCAGCTCAAGCGTCGAGGCTGTGTTGCGACACCCCTGAAACGGCATGTCACTGGCAATGGTTCCGGGCGAAGGCTGGTGGAATCGGTTATCGTCCCGAGAGCGGAGGCAGTTGAGAAGGCTGGTTGGTTGTGTATGCACGTGTCTGCTGCTGCCGGTACTTGGTGAATCATTCTCACCTCATCTTGGGTTGGAGCTGTCGGTGTGTCCAGATGCAACGTCGGCAGGCACAATACCAAGCCGCGGGACGGGGAAGTTGGGGGAACGGTGGCAAGCCTGGACAATGACGGCGATGGGCAGCTTCATCAGGCTCGGGAGGAAAAGGCGGAGCTTGGCAACGCCCAATGATATCCACTCCACCAAAAGGACGGCGACAAGCGGGCGAGATCCATCGAGACAGGTAACGGCAGAGAGGACGCCGTGTTTGAGGTGTGGCTGGGTGAGTGAGCGATCACACACAGCAATGGGCGGGCGGCCGCTGCTCTCCACCGCGACTCCACGGGCCTACGCCTCTTAGGGCAAGCATGAGATGCTGGGCAGGAGGGTCAACATGGGAATTGCAAAGTCTCCCATCTGGATGTATAGACGTACTCCTGTACCTTTGGACCGCTGGAGTGGCTCGACTTGCTTGGGGTGGTTAGAGTAATAGAGGAACAGCAACGGTGCCGGCGCCGCGTCATCTCGCTTGAACTTAGCATGCCAGCGACGGCAGGCAAGGTTGAATAACTGCAAGACCGGCGGGCGGCGACCGTTAAAAGTTGGTTCTTGCCCGTGCAGGCTACAGTCTACTACAGGATGTGGATTGTTACCAAGGTGCAGATAGGCCGGGTCGTAGGTTCAGGTAGTCGACAGGACGGTGCAGGTTGTAGGTTCAGGTCGGACGTAGTAATCTGCACATGTCTGGTGTATTTGCCTAGGTATTTGCCCATCTGTTATTATACACCCAGGCGTCTATATCTCTCTGGTTGGTTGGTGACAGGAGCCAAAGCATGGATGCTCACGCAGCATCCGGCACTCTGCCTCGTCAATCTTGTCCTAAAGGGCAATTGCCGTTGCTTCGGCTTGGCCTCAGGCCCTTGTCTCCTGAGCGGTAGCGACACCATGGCTACATGCCCTTTTCACTTTACCTGCCGTGGTTGCATATGGATGTGGATATTGGTGGTGCCAAACCTAAGGTATTAGCTCTGCCATAGTAGAAGACTATCACGAGCTACAGAACATCCAGCGCAGCGGCAGATCCTCTACGCGCGGATGAGCTTGGGCGTATGGACCAGGTGTACATCTATTTTGGTGGCTGTTTCAACCTGGCCTTACGGAGCAAGGTTGCCATCCTTGTGAGCGGGCGCTGAGGATCCGATGAAATTGCAGCAGGCTCGGAGCCAATCGCCACTGTTTTGCTCTTGGGGGAGCGGCCTCCGGACTCAATGCCATGGCCGTGGTCCTGGTCCTGGACTTGGACGGGAAAGACAATAAGTCAAGAGATTTGCTACCAGGGGCCGTCTGGCAGACCGCTCCTGCGTGGGAGATTCCTATTCAAGCATGCGCTGCAGACTGCTGATTTCCGACTTTGACTTTGCTATGGCAGTTGGAGGTGCAAGAAAGGTCGCAGACCCCTGTGCCTCTTTGTACAACGAGGATCACGACAACCCTCATACCCCAGCCGATGGGGCAACCATAGCCCAAGTGGGACAGGGACCTTGGGAGTTCTCGAGATGGAAGTACCGTCGCTGGGTTGGGCAACTGGCGATACGCCCCCTCCCCCATTCCAAAACTACATGTTGGAGTAGCATTATAGGCTAAAGCCCGCCCCAGGGCCAAGGGGAGGGGGCAGCAGGGGTCGATGCAGGAGTGGACAGGTAAACTCTGCGCCAAGGCTCATGGATTCTGGAATGGAATTGTCACTGCGGTCATGTGTAGGCTGGCGGTTTGGATGGAAGTGGTAAAACAAGGAGCATGGCTCGTACGAGAGCAATAATAATAGCTGCCAGATGCCCGTCCAACGATGGCCTTGATATTGCCCCCCTGCATCGGATCTCGATTTTGACAAGAGGCAACACACGTACATGCATTGAGTGATTTGGCTTGGGTCCCAGATGCGCGGTGAATCCTGGACTGCTAATCAATTGCCTACCTACTAACTAACCTGACCGGCCGACCTACTTATACCCATCCCATCACGTACGGCACGCACTAGACGAGACACTTGATGTGTTGGATCATCATCAGCTGCCCGGGATAGCAAGTCGTCCCGTGAAGAGAGAAGCAGCGAAGGCAGAGCAAAAGCAAACCAGAAAGGCGCAGCAGCTGGACTGTATTGACTGATATCCGCGCTGCACTACGTCCAAGAGCGAGCGAAAACCACAGCCGCCACCAACCAAACCCAAAACGTGCGGCAGCCCATCAGAGACGAGCTTCGCATTTGGTAGCTCCTGCTCCCCAGGACAAGAAAAAAAAAACACCATCCGCACAACCCCATCAACCGCCATGGATTTCTCCAACCAGTATCAGTTTGCTGGCACTCAGCCGGCGGCGGGTTACAACCCTTTTATGTCTGTTGCTCCCTTGACGCCCTCACGCTCACAGTCAGACGATTATAACGGTTCCTCACCTGTCAGTAGCCTGTCTCCTCCCCGTCTGTCCCGAACCCCCGCCCTAGCGCACCCATTACTTGAGCATTAGACAGCAATTATTGCTCGCGAAGGTGCTGGGCATCCCGATCGAGCTCTCAAGACTGATGTTTGACCCCCGTGCAATAGGAAGTCTTCGATTCCATTCCTGCCAATGATGGCTTCCAGACCTTCGACTATCCCCAGAGCTTCTCCCAGCCGCCTCAGCAGAGCTCCATCTTCACCTCCAACGGCGGTCCGCCGACACCCCCCAACCAGTCTGCATTCGGCCAGCAGCATTCGAATTCCTTCGCCAACGGCAACCCCAGCTTCGGCCATGCCGGCGTCGCCATGACCGGGGCCGATCTGGGGTCCCAGAACAAGTCCGAGTCCGACGAGGCGGGCAACGGCCGGGCTGGAAGCGAGGAGGAAAACATGACTCCCGCCCAGTCCAAGCGAAAAGCCCAGAATCGAGCTGCGTACGTCTTGCTGATCTCGGGGACCCGATCCTCCCCTCCCCCCCCTGCTTAGCTCATGCTCCAGAAACCTGTGCTGATCAATCTCTTTTTAACCCCAATCAGTCAACGAGCCTTCCGCGAGCGAAAGGAGAAGCACGTCAAGGACCTCGAGGCCAAGCTCGCCGACCTCGAGGCGGCCCAGCAGCAGGCCTCGGTCGAGAACGAGCGCCTCAAGAGGGACCTCCAGAAGGTGTCGACCGAGAACGAGATCCTCAAGGCGACCACCACCACGGGCGGGCGGAACCACCTCCAGTCCTCCAGCTCCCCCGAGCCGCTCGTCACCGGCCCCATGCGCTACAACCCGACCGAGTTCGCTTCGAGCGTCCTGCAGGGCCACCAGAACAAGCAGTTCTCCCACCGGATCGTCCAGTCGTCCGACGGCCAGAGCCTGTACGCCGCGGGAGCCGCGTGGGACTTCATCATATCCCACGAGTTCTTTAAGCGCGGCCTGGTGGATATAATCAACGTCAGCGAGCACCTGAGGACGCGCGCGGTGTGCGACGGCCAGGGCCCCGTCTTCTCCGAGAAGGATATCGTCGAGGCTATCCAGCTGAGCGTTGCCAACGGCACTGACAACCTTATCTGAACCCATTGACGGGAAAAAGCTTAAAACCATACTTTATACACGCGTATATCCATCTTCGAATGGCTTTCTTGGCTCAAATTGGATAAGAGTAAGGCGTTATATATCTTGGAGCAGGAAAGGAAAGGAGTAGGAGGGATCGAGTTTTTGAGAATCCGGGATCCAAGAGAGATAGCTCTCTACCAGAAGAGTCTTATTCCCGGGACCCTGTGAATGCCCCCTTTTCTGGTTGCTTTGTTTTTGTTTGCTTGCATGCTGGTTTTACGGAATTATGAGAGAAATGAGAACCATATATTTATAAAAAAGAAAATGTGTGGCATTTGTTGCTGCTAGCTTGAGTTTCCTTAAATGAGTGCGAGAGATTGATCTTGCCTGCTGAGCAGAGACGCACCTGGATGAATATTACACGTCAGTTCGTGGAGTGCGTACGCAACGTGATATGACCAGACGATCCATCCATGCTACCCCACAACATCCTGGGGCTCCCCCATATCTTGATCTCTCTTGTCTAGTTAGTGACATACCTAGTAACACGAGAGGTAGCTTACCAGCTCGAGCCCTGTGGCCCGTAACCGCGAGGTGAAGTGTACGAGAAGAGGCACGGGCGAATTGACCTCATGCTATCTGTCAATGATAGCAAATCCATCACAGACATGTCGTACAGGCCCATGTCTATATGTGATGGGGTTATAGATACTACAGGCTGAACGCCAAGAACGGGTGAGTTGCTTCAGATTATTGTTATTGCATATAGGTAAACAGGAGATTGTACAGGTGATTAAGTAAGTAGTTGCTAATAGGTACACACATCTATGACCAAGGAGCAAGAAAGTGTAAAACAGAATCGCCCCCCCCCAAAAAAAGCCACGCCTCGCTACACCGTTCTACTCTTCTAGTTAAATGCCCTTACTGTTGGCTCCAAAACGAGAGAGCCTCCCTCACCATTTTATGATTCTTGAAAAGGGAAACCCAGAGATAATGAAACCGTCATTATGAGTAAAAAAGAAGACCCCGAAATTTGCTTGTTTATTTGCTTGCTGCCAGGTCGTGGATTTTCCGATCTTGGCAGCCTGTATATGTGATCCTTGAGGGAGATCCTCATAGGAGGAGAAAGTAAACTCGTGCTTGCCGTCAAGCGTCAGTTATCGTCATCTGACACATCGAGTTATGATTTGTCGTCAAAGTCGTCCACCGGTTCCGGTAAAAGTGGTCGAGAGAGATATTCGGGCACTTAGTGAACCTTGTTCACCTTGCCGTTTGCCTCCTCGTGGTAAGGATGCTTGATGGTCAAGCACCAGATGTCGAGATAGTCGCAAATAGTGACAATGACGTCGACAACAAAGCTTCCGTAGACGCCAAGGGCCAAACCTAGCATGAGGAAAACAAAAGCGACCTGGTACACATCGCTTCCAAGAGCGCTGGGCCATCCGAGGCCGAAGTGCTTCAGCATCAACGGGCCGGTGGAGTCAAGAACACCGAGAGCGATAGGAACGCCAAGAACATTCCAGTATGGGAACGGGAGCTTGACGAGATGGGCTGTGATCATTTGACCGACGCTGTAGGCATTGACAAAACCGGCAAAGAGCACAAAAGGAACAAGATGGTTGTGGAGAATGGTAGGCTGAAGGTAGAGATACGCAATGATCAATGACCAGATAGCGAAGAAAGGCAGAAGCCCAAGAAGGGCGCCCCGAGATCGGTCGCCTCGCTCGCGACGGGCACGGATGACGTTGAGAGAGGACTCCACAGTGTTGAAGAAGCAGACCACGGTACCCTGAACAAGATACCACTCGCACCAGGTCATGTTGTAGATCTGGTGTGGGATACTCTTGGAGAGGGGAACCCCCAGAGTTTGGAACATGCTTTGTTGCCAGAAATGAGCACCTCCCATGTACCCAGTGAGAGCGTAGACGCCGACGAGGATGAGCACGCCTTCGACAGGACCGTTGACGATACCAAGAGTCAAGGTCTTGGTGTGGTATTCATCCCAAGTCTGGACGTAGAAGGTGAGAGAAGCTGTGTCGCAAAATAGTTAGCAGACAAGAAGATATTCAGATCACCGCAGATAGGCCTGCGGAGGCCGGATGGACCCGGATTTCTCACAAGCAAAAAGTGTTGCAACCGTCTTCCATCCTTGACCCATGTTTTGCGATGCGGCGAAAATGAGGACCTCGAGGGAAGTGTTGAGCGCGTCGACACCATGGTCGAAAAGTTCACCGAGGGGTCCGGACTGTCTTGTTCGCCGACTGTTTTCAGATTTCTAGTTAGCCAACGCCATCATACGGTGCCAAGGAGATGCTACTCACGCCTGAGTACCGTCGACAGCGTCGAATGTCTGGTACATGAAGAGTCCGAGAGCCCAGCTGTAGTAGACCCATGGGGGGCAATCCTGATCCAGAGTGGGGTTATACCATAGGAGGGCGATGAAGTTGGCGACGACAAACAGAAACCCGGTCAATGTGATCAGGTTGGGCGCCATGCTCATGGGAAAGCATTTAATAACGAAGTTGGTGTAGAACGGCTTGAGGATGTATTTGGACGTCAAAGAACGGTCCACGGCCGAGTACTTGTACTCCCGGAGAGCCGGGAGCTGGCTCTGCCGAACGTATACCATTGTCGCTGTCGGCAAAAGAAGATGTTGGTGGGAGGTTGCGGCTGCAATTTCAATCGAAAGTCGTGTCGCGTGCGCGAATAGTCGCTTCTTGGAGTCGTCGGAGGGGTATGCGCGGGGTTTCAAACTGTGTCCAGAAGCGGATCTAGGACATATCCATCACAGCAAGGCAAGAATAGCGGTCGGCAAGACGGTGAGTTGAGACAGGGCCTGATGCAGTGGGTTCGCTGGTAATGACAAGGTGATAACGATACGTGTTTCCTGCGCTCGCTCTGGGAAATTTTGTACAGGGGTTCAGGGCAGAATCTCAACGTCATCACAGAAGTGTGCGCTAATTGGCCCTGATTGAGTGCTGGCTGCTGTCAGGGCTGGTTCCTTTGGGCTAATTGCAGCACATACGGAACGGGCCAGCCAACCAGCGCTGCTACTAGTCACGGGATCGGCAACAACCGGTTCCAGCGCGATAGTTACATCATCGCCAACGCCTTCACTCTTTGACTCTCTAGCAACAGCACAGCACACAGCATGTGACATTCTAAGGCGTTGTATTCATGGCCCCTTCGGCACCCTATCTCCCCTCTGGAAAACATACAAGGCCTCGTCCTTCCCAGCAAAACTCGGCAGCGGAATCTGCACGACCTTTGTCCACTCCGGCTGTTCTCTCTCCATGAACTGGTCCATGGTCACGTTCTTGAAGCCTGTGTAGCCGTTTCCATTCTGAGTGCCAACCACTGCAATCGTATCTCCACGGAACGTATTGACAAGATTCCTCGTGAAGCCACCTTCTGTCCCTCCTCCGACACCTCCCCCGACGATCGGGTACACCAGGAGCAGCACCATGTTTTGTCCGTTGGCGTTCCTTCGTAGCCACTGAACACCATCAGAGATGATGGTGTCGCCAATCCAATTGACACGCCACTCGCTCTGCATGTTGTCCACAGCATGCACAGTCAGTCCATACCGCCTGAGCATAAAGGACCAGTACCCGTTCCCTGACCCTATGTCGACAAGCTCCCGTCCCTCTGCGAGAATCCGCAGTATCTCTAGGCTTTCATGAGACGGTGTCGCGCATCCAAAGTGATGCATGAAAATAGGTAGGACATGATGACTCGTGTTCACCCGGCCGGACGACTCGCATGGGCCGCACCATTCCAAATTTCGACATGACCATGCCCAGAAATCAAAATAGGGGTTGCTCCTAGGAGGCTTCTTGGACTTTGTCTTGGGTATGGTCAATCTGTTCTCCAAGGCGGGGTGGAGGAATCGCTTGCCAGCGAGGTGGTCAGCGACCTCGGCACGTATGGACGTCTTTTTGGCATTGGTGGCAAAGTTCTTCAAGGCTGACACTGTAACCGTGGATGGACTGAATATTGATACGTAGGCATCAACATCTGGGAGTGGAGGACAATCTCTCTATTAACAAGCCGAAACATGAGGCGTCATCAGCGCCTGGACTATATTTGAAGGGCAGATATGGGCTTGGCCCAAGACAAAAGACGAGAGAGTTCATTGTTTCTTACCGGCGACCCGTCGTCTTGACGATACCAGCTGTGCAATCCATTAACACCTCCCAGCTGCACAACCCGCTGCACCTCGGCGAGCTTCACACTCGTCATTGCGTGGTAAGTGTAGTCATCCTCGGCGGGCAGGTCAAACAAGACCCTGCTCGCATTGTAGAGATCATCCTTTCCTAGGAAGTCAAGGGCCTGTCTCTGGCGCTCCAAGCTATCAATACTCTCCTCAGATATCACAGCAGGCTTGCCCTTGGAGCGGACGATACTTATAGAGCGCGACATGTGCGTTTCGGCAGTCACCTTTTTTTTTTTTTTTTTGAAACAGTATTGGGGGACACCAAAGTTCACTGAGCGTTCACCAAACACAAGACAAGGCGACGAGTTGTTTGGCGAGGATGACTCGGCGATTAATCAAAACCCGGAGGTAGAAATTTGGACCGGGCGGTATTATTTAGTGGAGAGGAGCGGGGTCTCATGGGCGTGATGTTGTCAGATCGGGACTTGTGCCCTGTAATTTTACTTCAAGGTGCCGGCTCAAGACTAGGCAAATAGCAGCAGGTAGCGCCTTTACCCCGTATCCTCTCGATGGGTACCGAGATAAGATAGATTAATCTTATACGCACCTCATCCAACGTGCACTGACACCCGGGCCAAGCCATGATGTGCTTCCGTCGGCCCTCGTGGGCTGCAGGTGGCCAGGGAGACTGCCGCCAGTAGGGCCATCCGTGTTTGAGACAACAAGAGATTGTGTGTGTGCAAGCTCGCGCGGGAGGGCGAGAGAAGCGGCATGAGAGAAGAGAGAAAACGACATGCACTACGGCCTTATGCACGGGCGGGTGCAGCTGCATGCGCACAGGCCTCTCGACTTGAGTCTTGAGCTGAAGGGTCGAGCGGAGTGGCAAATGGGTTCGTCTCGAGAGGAATGTACAGAGCATCAACTACGTGTCAATCAAGAGCTGAGGTCCGGGAAAGCTGCGCTTCTCGTGCTGGACAGCGAGAAAGTGCCCGGAAAGCCACGATCAGCAGCGTCAAACCTACTGGCCTCCTTGGGAGTCGTGCTACCACGGGCTCAAATCACGGACAGGGTCAAACCCGTTGATTTGCAGGGGGAAAGATGCAGTAAAACATGGATCGCGGCCAACTGCAGCCAATAAAACGGGAGCGCTCCAACGTGCCCTGGATCTTGCTTTTGCGGGAGGGTCGTAGCAACGAATTTGCGCCGGCCCTTTTACTGGTGCCCATAATAACCTTTGGATCATTCACCTCCAACCTTCCCTTCGCTCTTTCCCTCTCCCTCTGACCCTTCATCGTCATCTTTTCTCACTTACCAATCCCACGTCTACGGCGCCTTAATCACGTTGGTTAATCCTTTTGCTTGCCATCCTGTGCCACTGACCTCCCCTGCTCGCTTTGTTGGTAGCAAACCCATGCGCTTCGCGAAAGGAGCAATGATAGAGCTTGCTTAGAGGGGTCATACGATCGGGCAACGGAACGAACCCCAGCCTCTAGAACAAACACATATCTGATTTCGCCTCCATCTTTCAAAATGAACCAACAAAACCTCAATAACGACTCGGCAATCTCCGTGGCATCTTTACAAGCCACTCGCAAAACGGAAGCTGGCGAACCAGGTGCCCGTCCAGAACCGGTCTCGGGCCTCTATCAGCCCGGGTCTTCGTCAACAGCCCCGGGCCATGCCTCAAATGAATATCTGACATCTCAGCAGCCAGCAGTGCCGGCCCCCCCTCAAAACAACAATCAGTCACAGCCTAGTTCTCACGATGGTGCAGAAGAGGAACTGGGCTCTCACCTCACCTCACCATTAACACACCCGAACGGTGTAGCCATATTTCCGTCTCTATCAACTGCAGAACAGGATCAGCTGTCCCGGGATGCCCTCCAGCAAGCACAACATGTCATCATAGCCGACATAGAGCCGCCCAACGATGACACGGAAAGCCAGTCGGATGGCGACCATACAGATGGCGGCTATGAAAGTCTGAGCGAAGAAAGCAGCAGCACGTCGTTGGCATCATCTGTTCGAGATTTCATGTTCGAAAACGGGCGTCGGTATCATAGTTTCCGCGAGGGGGCATATAACTTCCCTAATGACGAGGTGGAGCAGGAGAGAGAGGATATGAAGCATGCAATGATGAAATTGCTATGTAGCCAAAAGCTTCATTTTGCACCCATTGGAGAGAATCCGCAACGAATTCTAGATATCGGAACGGGAACGGGCATCTGGGCGATCGAAGGTAGGAAAATTCCTTCTCAGCTACATGGATGGACTCACATTTGGACATTGCTAATTTGAGAATCTGTTTGTTTTTCTCTTCACTAGTCGGCGACCAGTTCCCAAGTGCCGAGGTCTTGGGCGTGGACTTATCTCCAATTCAGCCTAACTGGATCCCCCCAAATGTCCGTTTCGTTGTTGACGATGCTGAGTCGCCCTGGCTCTACCCACGAGATCATTTTGACTACATCCACTCTCGCCATACGGTCATGGCCATCAAGAACTGGCCTAGACTTCTCAGGCGGTCTCTCGAGTACGATCTGACTACTGCATGTCCGATGGAAGCACATAACTAATTAATTACAGGCATTTGAAGCCAGGAGGGTGGATGGAGATGCAAGAGATTCACCACAGTCCCTTGAGCGGCCATTCTACCGGCGTCGTCCCACCCGATAATCCTGTAGCACAATACTGGTCTCTCATCAACGCCGGCCTCTCGGCGCTTGGTGTCGATTTTCACGCCGCGGCAGGCTCCAAATTGAGCAACATGATGCGGGAGGCGGGCTTTATTAATGTCACGGAGCGAGTCTTGCATGTTCCGCTTGGAACTTGGCCAAAGAACAAGGTTCTCAAGGCAGTTGGACTCTACTGGAGGACAATCCTGGTGGATGGTCTACAGGCGATTGCCCTGGGCCCTCTCACCAGGGGGTTGAGATGGGACCGTGATAGGATTGAAATGCTTTTGATGAATGTGCGCAGGGCGTACATGGACGACTCAGCCCTCATCTATATGCGGCTTCATCTTGTATATGGCCAAAAGGCCTGAGCGGAAATATACGGGGCCTGCCATGTTTGCTTTTTTCTCTTTCAACGACACCGCAGTGCGCTTGTGAATACAGAGGGTACCGGAATTGTTCCGAAATTTTCTGATGAGCAGTCATATTGTTGGGTACATGCATATGTTTTATAACCAGTCTCGAATGGCCTGGCGCACCTGGCTTCGCTTAGAGAGATGAGGCGGTATAGAAGGATCCAGAGACAAGACACACGTGTGGCTACTCCTAGCCCATGGATACGGCATCAATGGCGAGACAAGCTCCAATACTATGCCGATGCAGGTAGCGGTGGAGCCGCAGGAGAGCACACGGGATCTTCCCATGTTTGGTATGAACCGAGCCGTTGGGAATCCCAAACCGCACAGTGAGGTCAAGGTTCGATAATAGGTACCTCAAGATATAACCTATTTGGTGCTCTCTCATGGGGGGCGCCCGCCAAGCCAAGAGTCGCTCAATACCTAGTCAAGCCAGCACAGCAATCACCCCCCTAGTCTTCACCATTCCACATATAGCCGTCACCACATCCGACTCTTGTGAACTAAATCTCAAGTTCAGCTTGATGATACGTCGGATAGACGTGTGTCCGTGCCCCGCCCCGTCAATATGCAAGGGTGTCAGGAGCAGGCGGGAGATCCCTGTCTAATACATACCACCCAGGATGTTTAGAACACCCCATCCCAGCCATCCTGGCCATCTTGGCCGGGTGTGGATGCAAACTCGTGGGTTCCTTCAGGCCACTTTAGGGTACGTACAGAGGTAGTTTAGATCAGTAATAGGCCAAACAAGTCCCCAATCTCGCCGTTTCCTTTGGTTGTTCAGCTAATGGGCCCATCTGCTCCTTTTCGTGAGCCATCTCCCAATTCCACGTCCCCAACAATATCTTCAGCTATTCCTGCGTATTCCGCCCATTCAGGCCTATCCCAGTCATCCAGACTTCCCGCGTTCTGATCATCACCAAGGATGACCAAGCTTAGAATGCCATGGGGCCGCAAACCATCAACGGACCCCTCGACCAATGACCCTGATGCTGAAGTCAAGAAGCAAAACCGCCAATCATTCTCAGGGTTGAGGAGTCTCATCAATTGGGACACGGAAACTCCAATGGAGCAAAAGGATTCTACCACGTCGGCTCCCAATGGGACCAACAACAAGGTGCAGGAGGTGTCCCAGCTGATTTCTCTGGCAAAAAAGATCGGCGCCGAGGCTGAGAAGCTGGAGGCCTATCTAAAGGAGAATGGTCTGCCTGATCCCAGCTTCGGAGTCGATGCGCCAGGAGACTTCCCAAAGTTATCCAAAGAGGCGCAGAGGAGCCGGTTGGAAATTGCGCATGCGACCAAGGAGCTCGGAGACCTCGTCAGAGGCCCGAGAGAGAATGTTCGATGGGGAGTTTGGAGCGTATGTAGACCGTCAATGGCTCATGAAATTCTGCGTACGGTAAGCTGACGGCCATTATAATAGTTCCTTGATACTCTGAGTCTTCAGATTGTCAACAACTATGGTATCGGTAAGCATCATTCGTCACACCCCTACTTAGACAAGTATCCCTCTTACGCTCGCCGCAGCCAAGCTTGTGCCTCTCGATAAGCCTATTGCTCTTGCAGAGCTTCAGACCAAGACCACTTTGGATCCCGTCAACCTCGCGCGAATACTAAGGCACAACATGACGAATCATGTTTTCTGCGAGCCTACCCCTGGCTTCATCGCCCATACAGCCTCCTCGCGTCTACTCGCTCAAGATGGTCCCCTCCAAGACTGGGTAGGCTTCAATTCTGAGGATATCTTCCCTGCAGCCGCCAGCGTGCTGTCGGCGATCAAGACGTATCCAGAGGCGACATCGCTAACGCGGACTGGTTTCAACGTGGCCTTCGACACTGTGGACAAGGAACCCATGTTCGCGACTTTTGGCAAAGACCCAGCCCGAGCAAAGCGTATGGGCGGCGCAATGACCAGCTTGACAGGAGGTGAAGGGTATGAAGTGCAACACTTTGTCGACTCGTACGACCTGAGCGAGATTGACGAGAAGGCCGGAGTGTTGGTTGACATCGGCGGCAGCCACGGGTTTGTCTGCACCGACTTGGCCAAAAAGTGGAAGAAGATGAAGTTTGTCGTCCAAGACCTGCCCAAGACCGTCGACAGCGCCCCGAAGCCGATATCAGACGATGGTAGCGTGGCTGAGAGGGTTGAGCTGCAGGCGCACGATTTCTTCCAAGAACAACCCGTCAAGGGTGCTGATGGTAAGGCCTCTCTTGTTGTATTCCTTTAGAGACTTTGGTGAATATGGATGCTGACTTATTTTCCGGGTAGTATACTACTTCAGATGGATCCTTCATAACTATTCGACCCCTTACGCCATCAAACTCCTCAAGAACCTTGTACCTGCCTTGAAGCCAGGAGCCCGCGTCGTTATCAACGATCACTGCCTTCAGGAACCAGGAACCGAGAATCCCTGGGATGAGAAGCTGATGCGCAGCATGGACATGGTTATGTTGTGCCTACTCAATGCGCAGGAGAGAACTGAGGACGAGTTCCGCGAACTGTTCCGCGCTGCTGATGAACGCTTCGTCTTCAAGGTAAGCAAATTTGTTTCCAGACACCTCTCGACTACAGCAAGCTGACAATAATTTTCAGGGGGCAAGTCGTTCTCCGGGATGTAGGATGAGCGTTATTGAGGCCGTATGGAACCCCGAGCCCGTGGAGGTGGTGGAGGTGGAGGAGAAGTAGGACTCGTATCTCACTGATAAGCAGGCTAATGGACCGTGGTTGACGATGTCAAGGTTGGATATAACTAACTCATGATGATGCGCTATTGATCAAGTTTCTTTTAACTTTTGGAATTGAGTGTCAGAACCAACATAAAGTACTTTCACGTGATGTGGTTTCCAACGAGCAACAAGATGAGGGATGGTGGTAAGCCCAGAGTTCCTCACGGTAGGATCAATTGGCAGGGTTCACAATGCCAACTTCCGTGGCCTCATATATCCGCCGCGTAATTGGTTTAGTGGTAAAATTCTCCGTTGCCATCCGAGCAGCGTCGGGGAGCCCTGGGTTCGATTCCCAGATTACGCATTTTTGCCCTTTTGCAGCATTCAAATGCCTTCTTCTCTCTTATGCGAACCCATGAATAGTCGGGTTCATGCATGCGACGAGATGATGCTGCGATAGACGAAGGTGAGTGGGGGGGCCCGTGATTGCATATTGAGTAGGCAGGTGGTCGGCCTTTGCTCCTTCCCCCCAGCTGAGAAAAAGAAAAACCACACATGGGATAATAGCACATCAATCGCATTAATAACAACCGAACAGTGCACCATCTCCTGCACACGCCTTATCCCGCTCAAGGCCCCAGTAATAAGCGGTGGTTTTAACTGCTTTTCCTACAATCGCCCGTTCGCTAGCAGCCGAAAGATTCGGCTACTGCACGCTAAAGATTTAATTACCAGCTACCCATTAAACGCGGTGAGACGCGTCTGTGACCCCTCCACCGTCGTCTCCCTCAACATCTTTACGGTTCGTCAGTTTCCTCAACGCTCGACAAGACTTGCATCCACACACCGCCCCATGCAGCGGCATACCGCTGCCGCAACAGCCGACTGAGAAACGATGTCGTCAGTATCCGGCAGTCGACGCCGGACCCGCGACGAGCTGGAGGAGGACGACAGCGACAGCAGCATCGCCTCAAGAGACGTCGAGCCCCCGAAACGCCCACGCACGAACGGACTGTCGGCCGGAGCATGGAGCAATGGATTCACCAACGGCACCCAGGAAGACGAGTTCCAGCCCGGCTCCATCATCAGGGTGGCGGTCGAGAACTTCGTCACCTACGAAAAGGCCGAATTCTTCCCCGGCCCGAACCTGAACATGGTCATTGGGCCCAACGGCACCGGCAAGAGCACCCTGGTGTGCGCCATCTGCCTGGGTCTCGGATACAGCCCCAAGAACCTGGGGAGGGCCGGCACCGTCAAGGAGTTCGTCAAGATCGGCAAGGACGTTGCGACTATCGAGATTGAGCTGAAGAAGCGGCCCGAGGACCGCCGGAACTGGACCATCCGCGTCCAGATCAAACGAGAGCAGAACTCGCAGAAGTGGTGGCTGAATGGGAAGGAGACGAGCCACAAACACATACAGAAGCTCATGCGGACGCTCAAGATCCAGGTGGACAACCTGTGCCAGTTTCTGCCGCAGGATCGCGTCGTCGAGTTCGCTGGTTCTTCGCCCGTGGAACTGCTCCAGGAGACGCTGCGTGCCGCCGCGCCAGAGCAGATGCTGGAGTGGCAGGAGGAGCTACGTGAGCTCCACAAAGAGAAGAAGGAGTTGGGCGAGGTGGCAGAGAGGGACGGAGAGAACCTCAAGAATCTCGAAAGTCGGCAGCAGGGCCTACAGGCTGATGTGGATAGAATCCGGGAGCGAGCGGAAATCGAGGAAAAGGTCAAGAACCTCAAGTCGGCCCAACTATTATCTCGATATAACGATGCGAGAAAGAAATTGGTATTAGCCAAGAATCGAAAGACGGATGCTGAGAAGGCCCTGGATCGCCTAAAGAGGGAGACGGGTCCTTCGCTCGAAGCCATCAAAAAGAAGCAAGCATATGCGCAGAAAGCCAAGGCATTGGTTCCTATAAAGGAGAGATTACAACGGAATTCGGAGGCGGAGTCGGAAAGGCTCTTAAAGGAAGCCGGCCGTGCGGCAGAGCAAATGAACGAATGGAATAATAAAATAAACGCTGAGCGAACTGGGTTCGAAGAGAAGAAGCAAGAACTCGCCCAGTGTAGACAAAAAATCACAGCCTTGCAAGCTGATCATAGAAATCGACCTCCCGAATTCAATGGTCCAGAGTGGAATCAGAAAGTGGTATGTATCTCCTGGTGTCGTAGATGGGCTTCTACAAACTAACCAAGTGGTGCTTTTAGCGTGACGAGGAGAAGAACCTACGGGATCTCGAGAGCGAAAAGCGAGAGCTTGATGGCCGGTTCAGCGAGCTCAAGACCCAAGGATTGGCTAAGAGAGATGAACTGAAGAAGCTGCAGGAGGAGATCGAGGCCTTCGACACCCAGGAGGGTCAACAACTGAGCTTATTGAAGAAACACTTTCCAGAGGTTGCTACCGCTTGGGATTGGATTCAACAACACAAGGATGAATTTGAGAAGGAAGTGTTCGGGCCGCCCATGATCAGTTGTTCGATAAAAGACGAACGGTACTCCAGCCTGGTTCAGTGTCTTTTGCAAAAAGACGATTTTACCTGCATAGTGGCTCAGACGAAGAACGATTACAAGAAGCTAACACATCAGCTCTACAAAGTCATGAGTTTGTCCGTCAATATTAGGACGTGCTCGCAGCCACTGCAATCCTTCAGACCACCTGTCAATCACGAAGAAGCGAAGTCCCTGGGGCTCGATGGTTTCTCCCTCGACTTTATAGAAGGACCTTCTCCCGTTCTCGCGATGCTGTGTGCAGAAAAGGGCATTCATCGGGCAGGCGTTGCTCTGGAGGAACACAACAACGACCAATACGAACGTCTTGTCCAGAGCGGCTCCATCTCCCAGTGGGCCGCTGGAACACAGTCCAACATCGTGCGCAGACGAAAGGAGTATGGCCCCCAGGCCGTGACCTCGGTTACGAAACAAATTCAGCCTGGCCAGTTCTGGACGTCACAGCCTCTTGACTCCCAGGAGAAGGTGGAACTAAACAATCGACTGTCTGAAGTGACGGAAGTATTCAATGCTCTCAAGAGCCGAAGCAAAGAGTTTGCCAGGCAAAAATCCGAGATAGATTCCAAGATGGCTGATATTGCGAAGACAATTGTAAGCCAGGGTCCTCCCTTTTGCAGGAAATTTTCTGACACAATCTTCTAGGACAAAATCAAGGAGGAGAAGAACGCCCTGCAGCGAGAACACCAGAAATGGCTGGCACTTCCGGATAAGATTGGTGAGCCTACTTTTGACTGCAAACTCACGTGAGGCGACGATCAACTAACAATCGAGTAGCAACCGAGGAGAAAAAGAAGGAAGCAACCGAGCAAGCCATGCGAGATATCCGGAAAGGTCTAACGGACTTACAATACGACTGGGATGAGGGCACCATTGCTCGTGCAGAGGCCGTCCTGGAGCATGCCAGGTCTCTTGAGAAGATTAGAGAAGCCCACCGACAGTTGATAGAGGCCAAGATCCAAGTGATCGAAGCCGAGTCAGACCTGGAGGGCCTCAGGCTTCGAAATGGTAGAATCATGCAGCAGCTAGAGGAACAGACACTAGAACTGGCCGAGGCCGAGGCCGAAGTCGCCAGAGTGCGTACCAGGGGTGCGGAAATCCTGGATCTGGTCCGGGAACTCTCGCTCGAGACCGAGGAGCAAAGGGATTTGATATCCAGTCTTCAAGAGGGCAAGACACCCGATGAGCTTGGCATGGAAATTGATGCAGAAGAGGCCAAGCTGGAGCTGATTCACGCTGCGAACCCCAACGTGATACGCGAGTTTGAGAAGCGTACCGCGGAGATTCTGCGAATCCAGAAAAGGATGGAGACGTCCACAGACACGCTGCGAGACTTGACCCAGAAGATTGAGGGTATCATGGGCCAATGGGAGCCGCAGCTCGACCAGCTGGTGTCCACGATCAACGATGCCTTTGCGTACAACTTTGAGCAGATCAGCTGCGCAGGCGAGGTCCGCGTACACAAGGACCCGGACTTTGACCAGTGGGCTCTGGACATCATGGTCAAGTTCCGCGAGAACGAGGAGCTTCAGAAACTCAACGCCCATCGCCAGTCTGGAGGCGAGCGGGCAGTCTCCACCATCTTCTACCTCATGGCTCTCCAGTCTCTGGCCCAGTCTCCCTTCCGAGTCGTCGATGAGATCAACCAGGGTATGGATCCTCGCAACGAGCGCATGGTCCACGAGCGCATGGTTGAGATTGCCTGCCGCGAGCACACCTCGCAGTATTTCCTCGTCACCCCCAAGTTGCTCGCCAATTTGCGCTATGACAGAAAGATGCGAGTGTTGTGCATTGCCAGCGGTGAGTATATGCCAGTCGAGGGCAGAAAACTGGATTTCAAACGGTGCCTGAAGATTCAGAAAGGTCTTCTGGCCGTAACCTAGTTATTGAATGATATATAACATAGTCATTTGTTCCTCGTGTTGAAGCATTTTGGCAGAGTCAGGCAAATAAGCAGGTACCTGACTATGATTATGGCTCATTTTGTCACCAAGACAGTGCGGGAAAGAAATCAAATGTCCAATCAGTCATGATAGTGGATAATAAATGTGATATTTTACATCATCTTCCAAGACAAATGAAGAGTCAACGTTTAGCTATTGAAAAAAAGTTCGCTCAGCACCAGTGACTGGCGAGGATTTCGAAAGACAGAGTTTCCCAGCCCCAAGAATAACAAGATAAAGAGTGAAGGAAATGTACAAGACTTGTCAGAAGGGGAAGAATGAAGTCAAAATTTGAAAAAGAATTGAAACGAGGGAAATAGATATATAGATATAGCCCATGCTCAGCAAAGGAGAGTGCACCAGCGGCGAGGCTGAGGCAACGATCATGAGAAAGGAAATAAGAAAGAAGTCCATCATAGCTGGCTTCGTACCAGAAAAGGTATCAATCAGGCGTGCCTAATCCCCCCTTCCTCCCACATTCAAGCTCGTCCAAAAACTCCAGTTCGCCAGGATGAGACAACTAGAAATTACAGAAACCAACGCCAAGATCGAGAGCCTTAGGCGAGGCGATAATGTAAGGTGATGTAGTAAAAATATGTTTGTAGACGCTTCATGATACCCAAAAAAATCAATCAAGTAATCGTAGTTTATAAATGGCGCCGGGAGGAAATTAGTTTAGACAGGTCGAGGCTTTTCTCCTGCACTGGCACGCTCCTCGTTGTCCAATTTCTTTCTCCAATCGGCCAGACTCTCGCTCAAGCCGAGGCCACCGTCATCGTCCTTTTTCCCGGTGTGGGCCTCGAAGTCAAAGTTGTTGCTCAGCCGATAGTTCTTGTTGGTAGCTTCCCAGTGACTTCGAAGCGTTTCCAACTCGCTCGCGAGGTTGTCCAGGGCGGTGCTGTTCCTGGCTTCGCTATTACCTCCGTACTCGCTCTCCAACTCGGAGCTCTCTGTTCGTGCGTGGCCCAGTCCAGCTCCATTTACACCAGCGCCCACATCTTGCCTGCTCTGGCGTCGGTACGTGTCGACCGAGTGTTCAAATTGGTCGAGGAGTCTAGACACCTTCTGTTCGGCATCATTGGCACGTTGCTCGAGAAGAGTATTTTCTGCACGCATCTGCTCGATGGTCTTGAGTTGCGCAGCAAGCTTCTTTGTAGTATCCTCGCTGCTTCGAACAGCTTCGTCTCGCTGGCGCTTGTTCTCGCTGAGCTCCGTCTTAACAGTCTCCAGCTGCTTTTGCAAGCTTTCGCCTGAAGTGCGCAGGTCTGTCTCAAGAGTCTCAATCTTCTTGTGAAGCAAGGAGCGCTCCGTCTCCCAGTCACTCGAGGCAGTCGATTTCTGGCGGCTGGTTTGCATCTCATCTTCCAGGGCTTCCATTTCAGTCTTGAGCTGACCATTTTCTGCCTTGTATCGGTTCAGCTGGTCCTTGAGCTGCTTCAGCATCTTCTCAGTGCCTTTGACATAGTGGACAGCCGACTGATAGTCGCCTTCGAGTTGCGCCAGTTTTTCACGGTACGCTGTCTCGGATTCTTGTGCTTGCTTCGCGAAGTTCAGCTTCGTCTCGTCATGGGATGCATTTGCACTGGCCAGTTGCGTCTCCAGTTCGCGAATGCGTCCCTGTTCTGGAGACGCGCTCAGGCCTCGGGGCCGACCCGCGCTGGTCGGGCTCACTCCTCGCTCGGCCAAGATGTCTTTGAGGGCATTATGCTGCACGTTCATTGCATTTGTTTCCAGCTGTTGAGCATCAAGCTGGCTCTTGAGCTCAGCATTCGTAGCCTGCAGTGATTGAGCGTCACGAAGTGCAGATTGAAGCTGCCTTCGAATGCTCAAGCCCTCACGGCTAGACTGTTCCTGGTATTGCTCCAGCCCAGCAATTCGCTCCTCAGCACTGCGGAGTTTGTCTGCTGTCGCATCCACCTCCTCTTGGTACTTCTTTGCCAGAGCGCTTGACGCATTGAGTTGATTCTGGAGTGCAGTGACATGCTCTGCATCTGCCTTGCCAGCCTTTGATTCGTCTCGGAGAGTAATCTTGTCAAGGCCAGTCAAAATGACTTGCCTGTGGGTTTCAGCTTCATTAGCATGCTTTTCAGCAAGTTCTTCAGCGTCTTTAAGTCGTTGGGTTGTTGCCACAAGCTCGGCCACACGAGCTTCATGTTCAGCCTTCAGATTGTTAAGCTTCTCCTCAATCATTTCTCTTTGAGAGCGTTCCTCGTCAAGCTTCGCTTGCAGATGAGACTTGTGATCATCCGAAGCAGCAATCGCAGCCCGAAGAGTTTCGAAAGTGCTGTTGTGATCCTTAGTCGCGTCCTGGAGTTCATCATACTTCTGCAACAAATCCTCTTTTTCCACCTTTAGAAGCTCCAGTGCAGAAAGAGACTGGGTCGAAGCGACCGAGAGCTCGCGGGCTTCTCGCTGGGCAGCGTGTAGCTCGGCCTTCAAGCGCTCAACTTCAGTGGAATTTTGTTGCTTGTAAGTCTCCAGTCCTGCCAGTCTTTTTTGGGCTGCATTGACCGTGTCATCCGCAAGCTGACGCGATTTCTTCTCAGCCTCGAGTTCTGTTAGAGCGGCGTCAAGACGGGATTGGAGATCCTTCTGTATATGCAAGGAGGATGCAAATTTCTTGCTGAAATCCTCAGACCGGAATTCCAAGTCATCCCGGTCGATGTCAGCCAAGGCAAAAGTCGATTCACCGTTCTTTGATTGGGCAGCCAGTTTTGCTTTGGCATAGACAGCTTCCTGGATAGCCGAGTCCCTCTGCTTCTCAGCTTCAGCTACTTGCTTGGCAGCTAATGATGCTTGCTTATCAACAGCATTTTGCACTGATGCAAGTTCAGCTCGCATAGCCAGCAGGGCCTCAATCAAGGGTCGGTCGTCGTCATCAAAGGTCTCTGCCATTCTGCTATCCAAGACAGGGCTAGTCGAATTCAAAGAGACATAGCCTGCCTTTCTTGCCAATTCCAACTCAGATGCATACCAGGCATTCCTATTCCGGGCAGAATCAAGCTCTTTCAACAATACAACGGTCTGGGAGTTCCGGCCAGAAGAGCGCCTCGATAGAGAGTTGCTGAGCTGACGAGTGGGCGGCGGTGGGGTCGTTGTAGGAGGAGGGGCAATATTCTTGGGTATCTCTGACGAGCTATCAATAGAACCCTTTGTACGTCCTTGCCTGCTTGAGGTATTACCCCTAGTTCCATCCCAGTCTGGAGTTCCTTGCTTGGAATTTGACCGCGGAGGGTGCACCGGTTGGGTCTGGTTTTGATTTTGGTTCTGAACTGGTGTTCGCCGGCCATTGACTGTCACCGTTTCCATCTCTACACCATCACGAGTGGCAGATGCTTGTGGCGATGTGTTTGCCGATGGCCCCGGGCCTCGTGCGTTGTCGACTGATGGTCGAGCAGGTGTAGGCCCTGATGGCGGCGGTCCAGCTAAAGCCGGGGCACCACGAGGTGGCTTGGATCCAGGAGCATTTACAGGTGTGCCGTTGGGACTATCAGCATCATCGGGAGGGGATCGATGACCATTTGGGACGTTACCAGCTGCAGCCGGCGGGGCACCCAACGCTCGTCTCTGGTCCGTCGGTCCAACTGAACCGTCGCGAACTGGGCTCGAACGAGCACCGTTTGGGCCCTCCATCAAGCTCGGGCGTCTCTGGCCTTGAGGAACCCTCTGAGGCCCTTGCTGACCTTGCTGACCCTGCTGCGAGTCGGGAGGGTATCTGATTTTGGTAGTATCCAGCATGTAGATAATGCCAAGGTCATTAACGGCGGTAGCAGCCGAGCTTGGCTCCCCTCCAATCGTCACGATAGACTTTCCAACTGTTGTCATGCTATGGCCCGAGCGAGGCGAAGGGGATGGACCCATGTTTTGGAACGTATACCATCGGCGAGATGAGATGCGGAAAGCAGCCAGGTCGCCTAGGTCTGTCCCTTCTTCGGTTCGACCACCAAATATATACATTACATCATCGACAAGAGCGGCCGCATGCCCTTCACGAGGCGCTGGGATATAACCAATGCAGTCGAGCTGCATCCATTTATTGGTTGCTGCATCGTAACACCACACGTCGTTGAACCACTGGAAGCCATTGGTTCCACCAAATCTAAAAGTTGTCAGTTACTGATCTCCAACTGAATATCTCGAGACTGCATACAAGTAGAGCTTATCATTGTAGGTGATCATAGAGTGGTTTGTTCTCGGAGCGGGCATTTTCGGGGAGGTATCCCCTTGGACGAGGATCTCCCAACGGTTAGTGGGCATCTGCAGCTGATTAAGATCGAAGGCCGAAAGATCGTTCATAAAGCAGTCCTCGACTTGACCACCAAAGATAAAAATCTTAGAACCCAAGATATTGAGAGAGTGGCCATATCTACCAGCAGGACGGGGACCAGCTGGTAGGGCGCGAGACCATTGTCTCGTTGCTAGTTAAGTTTAGTACATGGTCGAAATCAGCGGAAGGACACCCACGAAGGAGGGACGTACATGTGTTCAGCAAATACAAGGTCTCGTCTAAGACATCAGACTCGTCGATTTTCGTGTCACCACCATAAACAATAAAAGCGTTCCCGACAAGCAAGCTCGCGTGACCAACTCTGGGGCCAGGTCCTTCTGCGGTGGTGGCCAGTGGGTAGCAAGACATGCTACCACCAGCCTCGATGAGCCACAGATCACCCTTGACGGTTGAGCTATTGATCAAACCACCCATCATATATACGTCGCCCTCTTTGGAGGAAATCGAGTTGACGGCAGCGCCATATCGAGGGAAAGGGCTCGTGTGTCCGGCTGTGTATGTAAGTCTGCGCTGAGACCACGGGTATAATGAGGCATTCACATTATTAGCCGGCGAGTTGCCATTTCTAGGCTGGGAAAGCTATTTTAGAAAGTCAGAATGTGTGTTATCCTGTCAGTGCCGAATTGCTCTCGACTCACGGGGTTTTCACTTGGGAGAATCTGGTCAACGCTGGCTCCTCGGCGAGGATGACCCCGATCAGGGCTATTGTTTGCGCCATCGTTGTCCAGCGAGGTCAAGCTCCCAGTCGGTGTACCGCGGTGCTGTAAGCCAGATTTCTCATTCTGGTTGCGAGAGACAGGAGGGTGTGTTGGTGTGTGGTGGCCTTCGCGACTGGCTACAGAGCGCTCGTGGGATTTCTTCTTTCCGAAAAGGAACGCCATCGTTGACGAAAGCCGCACTGCGGCTGGTGGAAACTCGAGCCAATCTTCGGATGGCGATCAAATCGTGCGCTTGCCTTCTCCCGGGCGGATGAGATACCGGGCACCCAATGTGTCGAGATAGCAGGGCTGAAGAAGCTTGGTGATACTCTCGAGGTGTTGTCGCGTCCCTGGATCGCTGGCGGCTGCACAGGAGGTAGGCGATGTGGAGATGGCGATGGTGGCCAGTGTCGAGTTGCAATGGCGAACGATGGAGTGGGTGCAAGGAATGATGATGGCTGGGCAGAGTAAGCCAAGAACACTGCGAAAGGGATGGGGCCAGTGCGATTGGGACTCCGAGTCTAAGGATGGCTGGTAGTTCAGGGCATCGGCTGGGATGAGGGTCTTCGAAATTTATCGTTAATCAAGGGGGTGGCCTTTTGGGGGGGAGGGGGCTGGTGGTGGATGTGATGCCCAGTGTCAGAACCAAGAAATCGTGAGGTGAGATCGATGCGGCAGGACAGGCAAGCTGCGCCCTCCAGAGGATCGCAAAGTTGGGTTCGGTGCGCGACAAGCAGCGCTGCTGCGATTCAATCAATAAGACTGCGAAAAGGGCGAAGGTGGCTCTGCGGCCATGAGAGAAAGCCAGCCCCGGGTTTGGTGGTGTACGGGGGAAATGGGTACAACGAGCCCAAGCGAGTGGAATAAATTTAGACAGCAGGATGGCCGTTGTCCATGTCTCCTGGTCTGCCACGACGGCTGCTGCTACCTCGCTGTAAGAAGGCCACTGCATACCACCTACTCCCTAAAGGTACCAGCACGCTTGCGCGACTCAGAGAGCACTGGTTTGTACCTGAACTGACCGAACGCCTTTCCGCTTTTAGGCCCGCACAGGGCCAAGCCAGGGGGTTGGGTCAGCCCAGCGAATAGGAGCCTAAGCTCCCACATGCCATGCTCCCCATTCTCTTTCGTTTTTTTAGGGGTAGGCGTAAGAGTCTGTGCTGTGGAACAGCTAGAGCCGGGCGGAACTTGCAGGGCACTCAGGAGTTACTTTGCGCCAGTCACACTCCGCAGCATTTAGGAAGTTGCCCCAATGTATTCATCCCTACAACCTGGTCTGGTTGGCCCTAGCTTCAGGTACGGGGGCTAACTCGGTGGATGGTGAGCACTGCAAGCCAGCCGGACATTAGAAGTAGACATGGGCAGGATGTGCCTGCCACGTTCTTAGTAATAGCATGGATACATGTACATATTTGCCTTCCATTCTTCCGTCTGTGCTCTGGTGTTGATGCATCACAAGCATGCCCAGGTATGTATCAACCACTGTTTATGATGCCCGTTCGGACTATCATGGAGGAGACCTGGTGGCGGATGATCGGGGGCTGGAAGCAGAAAGAGCACCCGGTGCAGGCAAATGGGATATTATGCAAGGAGGGCCGCAATAAGATGAACCTCTGGGAAAACCACTTCTGGCGAATTTGGTGATTGCCACCCCGGGCTCCCATTACCACACCCCTGGGGGATAATGGAAGTTTCTCGGTGCCAGGCTCTTCATGCATTATCTATAATGTCGCGGAATGGCTCGCGTGCCTGCAGCACGTTGCTAATCCAACGTAGAAAGGAGAATCCTCCGAGTCCTACGGTATCCAAAGGCAAGACCTGCAAGGCCAAAGTTGACATCCCACCACGAACCCCAGCTCGCTGGCCCCATTTCCCGCTATTAGCCTGTTTCAGAGTGGCTGGCAATTTCCTATGTGGTGAATATTCGACTCGCGGACCGTACCGATTTTTCGAAATCCGCAGGAATCATCCCAGTTAAGGAACAAGTGAGCATAACCCAGCACAACACCCATTTAGTACTCAATTGCATTCCGTTGTGCCGTTCCATACGGTGCCAGTTGGTAACACTCACGCTTAGTACTCGGCGGCACCTCTGGAGCGACCAGAATGACGAAACCAAAGTCTGACTTGTGCAAACTACTACAAAGCCTGATATCACAAGTGCGCACAGTTGGGCATACAGTCGCGCACATGGTTGGGAAATGAGATGTGTGCGGGTCTTGCCAAAATAAGTTGCCTGGCGCATGCATATTGATCTTTTCCCCGGGCGCGACACGTGAAGTTTTTCGGATGCAATTACCCTATACTAAGGTAAGTTTGGACTGTTCCATCTAATGTAGTCGCCCGAGAGGCATTCGGACAAGTGGTTGTTGGCTTTTATTTGCCGTACGTCATAGGTTGACTCGAATACTGGTATGGTTGTTTCGTAGACCGTTATGGATGCAATATTCTGTACAACCCTGCACAACGTCTTGCTACATATCCAGTACTTAACTAGCCAGGCCGGCGTATAAGAAGTCAGCCCGACGGACCATAGAAACGAACAGGGCAGAGGCATTTGGACGGGAGCAAGGACTATAATGACAAGATGCAATGCACAGAAACCAGGATCACGACCCTGCGGATGGTGTTTACCTCACACCAACCCTCGATGAAGCCTTATTGATTGTCCAATATAGCCTAGTTAGGCAATGAACAGGTGGACGAGTGGGAATACACAGACATGAACAACGGATGGACCATTCTCTTTCGCTCCCACAGCAGTCACTCGGCAATTGAAACGACATCACTGTTGCAATGTGTGCGCGCCAAAGAATTGACAAGGTAGATGTGCATATGATGGGTGCCTGTGCCGATGCCCTGCCCCGCCGGATAAAGAGCACTAAAAGGCGAGAGGGTGACATAAAGCTTACCTCGCCTGCTAGGACACAAGAGTTGCAGGCTCAGCCTCTGTTAGTACCTACATAGGCCACAGTCATTGAATGACACACTGGCCACGATATTCAGATGCTACAAGTGAACCTGATTTTTGTTTTCTGAGTTGGGAAACTCACCACCTCCCTTTATACGTGTCCAAGAACAATGTGGATGGTTAAGGTGTGTTGTGGTTAAAGTCACCCATCCGGCAGGCAACTTCGGAACTAAGGCAGGTAGTAGTTTGGCGCCTCTCCCTCCGGGCGAATCACAAGGCTGCTAAACTTTCGGCTTGGGAACTTCAACTCCAACATCGTCCCCACACGAGACCTCCAGCCGCCCCAAGCTCATCCATCGATCCATCAACCTGCGTGCCCCCATTTCTCGCAAGACAGGATAGCTCGCCCACTCATCCGTTTCACCAGCATTACCATCACCCAGTATCCACGTCGTCACATTCCGCATCTAGGCATGTGGTGAGTTCCACCCGTTCTCGAGTTTCGCCGCACCGCTCATCTCGGGATGATCGACCGCTTTATGCCTGGGATGAGATCATGACTGTCGCGTCGACGCATACGCCCCCCCCACCAGCGCACGCTCAAGCGAGGGCCGACTCCTCCAGCTTGCCATCGTTTCAGTCCGGCGCACAGCAGACATCGCAGGCGTTACGTCACGAGCAACAGGGCGGACAGCGAGCAGCGATATATGGGAGTGGCCGTAAGATGGCGCCGAATATGCTGGAGCTGAACGGGCATCGCACCACGCCCACTGCGAATGGCGAGACGTCGCGGTTTCGATCCGTGCCGAATGGCGGAATAGACTACGAGGCTAGTTCCAACGAGGATGAAGACCGCCGACCTAGCAGTGCGCCCGATCAAGGAGACCAATCTGCCTCTGCCCAGGCACGCGACCGAAACAGGATAGACACTTCAGGTCGACCGAACAAACCATTATTACACAGATCGAAAAGCGAGTTTGGTCCTCGCCCAACCGACGATACCGAGCACATCGAAGATGTCATCTCCGAATGGGGAACGCGGCATGGGTTTGAAGACCATTACCAATCGGAGCATATAATATCACAGCTTGCCAATGTATGTGTGCTCTTCTCGCAGCCCTTTCTCGTTCTGTCCCTTCTCGAGATGCTGTTATTGGGATCATCGTCTAATCTTGTGCAATAGAATTGGTACATGTACTTCACGGATAAACGCCACGAAACAACGGGCAAGCCCAAACCGCCACAATATGAGTTGCAGGACTGGCGGCAGAGAGATCGGCTAAAAACCGTATCTGCCGCCCTGGCTGTGTGCCTCAACATTGGAGTTGAGCCTCCTGATCAACTCAAAACAAACCCTGGCGCTAAGCTAGAGGCTTGGACAGACCCGACCGTACCGCCAGTTCAGAAAGCACTTGAGAATATCGGCAAAGCTCTCCAAGCCCAATATGAAACCCTGGCAATACGTGCCCGCTACAAGCAATACCTTGATCCATCGGTGGAGGAAACGAAGAAGTTTTGCATTTCTCTGCGACGAAATGCCAAGGACGAGCGAGTGCTGCTTCACTACAACGGACACGGCGTGCCAAAGCCCACTTCCTCGGGTGAAATTTGGGTGTTTAATAAGAACTACACCCAATATATTCCTGTATCGCTTTATGACTTGCAACACTGGCTGCAAGCGCCCACCATCTGCGTGTGGGATTGCTCCGAAGCAGGCAATATTCTCAACAACTACCATCGATTTGTTGAGAAGCACGAGGAGGAGGAGGACAAGGCAGCAGAGGAGAACTCGGGTTACGAGAAGACCAGTTTCAGGCCGTATATACACCTGGCAGCTTGCGCTGTGAAGGAAAACCTCCCCACCAATCCCTTGTTACCGGCCGATCTGTTCACCTCCTGCTTGACCACCCCCATCGAGATGGCGTTGTGGTTCTTCGTTCTACAGAACCCCCTTAAAACCAACCTGACGCCTGAGAGAGCCAAGAAACTTCCCGGCAGACTGCAGGAGAGGCGAACTCCACTGGGCGAGTTGAATTGGATATTCACTGCCATTACAGACAGCATCGCGTGGACATCTCTGCCGCGGGACGTTTTTCGAAAATTCTTCCGACAAGATCTGATGGTGGCCGCACTCTTCCGAAACTTTCTTCTAGCCCAAAGAGTCATGATGGTATATGGATGCCATCCGCAGTCTTACCCAGCGCTACCGGATACGCATCAACACCCACTTTGGGAGACCTGGGACCTCGCTGTAGATATGGCACTGGCCCAGTTGCCCATGCTTGAGCGCAAGGAGAATGAGAGCATCGAGTATGAGTACCAGAACTCGACCTTCTTCACCGAACAACTTACCGCCTTTGAAGTGTATCTTACAAGAGGTGACGCTCTGGCTCAGAGGCCGCCAGACCAATTGCCTGTTGTTCTCCAGGTCCTCTTAAGCCAGCAGCATAGGGTACGGGCTCTGATTCTCCTGGGAAGATTCCTAGATTTAGGACCCTGGTCTGTGCAGCTTGCCCTTAGCATTGGGATCTTCCCATACGTCCTGAAGCTGCTGCAATCAGCAGCAGTTGAACTGAAACCAGTTATGGTCTTCATCTGGGCGAGATTGATAGCTGTTGATATCTCCTGCCAAACTGACCTCATCAAAGATAGTGGGTACAGCTATTTTGCCCAAATTCTCAAGCCATCAGAAGTACTGCCGGTAGTGGATGGTGACGAGCACAAGGCCATGTGCGCATTCATCTTATCTATGCTCTGCAAGGACTACAAGAATGGTCAAATGGTCTGCAACCAAACTGACATCATGACCTACTGCCTTGAGCATCTTCAGAATGAAGGCAATCCGCTGTTGAGGCAATGGGCGTGTCTTTGCCTCAGTCAACTCTGGCAAGGCCTACCCGAAGCCAAATGGAGGGGAATCCGAGAAAACGCGTACATGAAATTGGCATTACTGAGAAAAGATCCTTGCAGTGAAGTGCGAGCAGCCATGATCCATGCCATGACAACATTCCTCGGCATTCCAGACTTGACCGAAGAAGTTGCCCGCATAGAGGAATCTGTCGCGTGGACGATTTTGGAGATGGGTAATGATGGAAGCCCTGTGGTTCGTAAGGAATTTCTTGTCTTCCTATCTCACTTTGTTGTGAGATTTGAGAACAAGTTCCTTGTGGCAGCATATGATCATCTGGTCGAGGAGAAGGATTATCTCATGTTCCCTCCTCAGGATGATGGGCACGATCACAAAATGGGACTTCACTATGTCAGGCCAGACAGTCGTAACCAAGATGGCACCATCAAGTCCACTGCCTACGGTCTCTCTCACAACACCGTGTTCATGGCTTGTTGGAAACACGTGTTGATCCTCAGCGTAGACCCGCACCCGGAGGTTCAAGATTTTGCGGCTACCATTGTGGATTACATGCACAACGCCTTGATTAATTCCAGCGTTGGAGCGCCAGCGCAAGGCCTGATGGCAGAAATTCAGAAGTACGCCCAAAAGGCAGCAAGCCACCAGGCCACCAGCTCAAGCCAGCGGATCGGTCTCATGGGTGCGACCAGCACAGCCCCCCCTCCATCGCCAGGTCTCTTGCGGAGAACCGCAAGCTTGCTCTTCCCATCATTGATTAGTGGAGAGGATAAGCCAAGGCCGACGACACCCTCCTCGATTAGCGGGGGAGGTCCTCCCAGATCACCCTCGTCTATTCAATTCTCAGCCCCGCCAGAGCAGAATGATTTTGTCAATGGTCACGCAACCTACAACGCTGCCCCCGAGCCCCTCTCCGGGGCATTCGAGACACGAGACCTGTCCGAGGAGCCTTCCTTACCTCTGTCCAGCGGTTTCTTGGATTGGGCGATCGAGTATTTCCGGGAACCCCAGATGAAACCTAGTGAGGCAGATGAGCCAGGAAGTACGGAATACAATGAACGCTTGTGGAGGCGTTCGAGAAACGAGACTATTCTGAGAGAAACCCAGCCGATGAAACAGTTTGCAGGCAGCCATAGGTGGAATAACCAGCTTGGTATCGTCAACAACGGGGCCCAGCCGGCTAAAATGACGTTCCACCAATTCGAGGACCATTTGGCAGTATCCGACGATGGCAATACTGTGAACATTTGGGATTGGAAGAAACAAGGCCGCCTGAGCCGGTTCAGCAATGGGAACCCCTCGGGGTCCAAAATTAGTGACATGAAGTTTATCAACGAAGATGACCAAGCAATATTGCTCACCGGATCCTCTGACGGCGTTATCCGAGTATACCGGAACTATGACAGCGATCAAAACATTCAGCTCGCATCAGCATGGCGCGCTTTGACACATATGATCCCTAGTAATGTCAACTCGGGTATGGTGTTTGATTGGCAACAGGTGACCGGACGAGTCCTGGTCGCAGGGGACGTCCGAGTGATTCGTGTATGGTACGCCGCTCATGAGACGTGTGTGATGGATATTCCAGCAAGATCCGGATCCTGTGTAACATCGCTGACGTCGGATCAAATGACGGGAAATCTCTTCGTGGCCGGTTTTGGTGACGGCGCTGTCCGGGTATTCGATACACGCTGCAGACCACAAGAATCCATGATCAGGAAATGGAAAGATGAAAATGATCGACAATGGATCAAGAGTGTCCACATGCAACGAGGAGGCCAGCGAGAGCTGTTGAGTGCAAGCCGCAACGGCAAGGTCAAAGTGTGGGATATCCGCATGGACAAGCCGTTGCACTCTTTCCAGGTTACACGGGACACCCTCCGAACCGCTAGCACGCATGAACACCTACCAGTGTTTGCAGTGTAAGTCCTCATTCACATTGAACTGGCGGGTTCTTTTTCCTACGACAAGGGCTAACATTTGAGAATAGGGGAACATCTGCTCATGAAGTGAAGGTTTTCAACCTTGATGGACGGCCACTATCCCGGCTTGAGCCATACTCGAGCTTCTTGCACCAGAACCGTGGATCTCCCATCTCTGCTACTGCATTCCATCCTCACCGGCCACTTCTGGGATGTGCGTCTCAAGGTGATCACCATATCAATCTGTTTACATGCGAGCAAGCGGAACCGCTGCATTTGGGCTAGATACCTATTGCTTGGAGGTCAACTTCGCGTCGGACAAGCTCGATTTAGAGTCTGGGGAATTTTCACGAGGGTTGCGGCCTTTGTCTTGACATCATTCAGACATGCATCCTCTCTCATGAGAGCCATTGCATGGCCCTCTCCAGCTTTTCTTTTCAAGATTCAGTTACACGGATCGGCGTTTGGGGGAAGATGAGGTGGTGGAGACGGAGATAATATGTGTACGGAGTTCTGGCTGCAATGCCAACAGCGTTTGCATTATTTTGGGCTTGTGATGGTGGTGACACCAGGGTATAGTATAGTTATTAATGATGGCTGAAAGCGCCCAACGAAACGCGGCCTATTAAGTTAATTCTCACATGAAATCTGCCAGTCATACCAACTGGCCAGGTTCTCAGCCTAATCGCCAACTTATATGCAATTTTAACGCTGAGGATACGTTATGTTCCGTTTACCATGATAGCATGTGTAGTGCATGAGAGGCTACGGATAGGGGAAGATCGAAGGCCTGCCTTGAATACATTCTTGTGTCATCAGAGTCCCGCGGAAGGCGAGCAGTGTGTGAAGTAGAATAAGCATAAGGTGTGTTGGTAGGTAGGTAGTTGGTGATGTGTGAGAAGGGGCCTAAAGTGGGGCAATGTCGGCGTTAATGGGGCCTGTTGTAAGGGCTGTATGCAGGGAAAACTGGATTGTGTAATGCAGCCATGAAACCGGCCAACTCCAGAGACCAGGACGCTTTCTGGATAGAAGGACAAGAGGAGTTTTAGTCAGGTTGATGCTGTCCCAGCGGTGCGGGGTGGGTAACGCCCCCATTTGCATTCCAGCACCCGCTCTGCTCTCTGTGTGTGCCATAGAGTCGGGACCCGGACTCCTGCGCGGTGGAATCATGGTACTACGGTGCCCGTTCGGGTATCATGGGCGATTCGCGCCCCTCCACGATGCATGGACCGGCACCATTTTGCTGCAAGGCAAAAGCGGACCAGTTCAGCTGCCTCGTCGGGGCTAGGCAGCGGCTTATCACACCGGTAGGCAAAGCCCACATTTCCATGCAGTCATCCTGCTGGGCATCATGGGCTTGGGGGTCGAATCAGACGGCAGAACAGCTATATCTAGTACCTGGCGAATATTGATGTACTGCCACCTCTTTCGCCTTAGCGCCCTCGCCGCTCAGTTCTAATAGAACGGCTCACTCAGATGGCTATAATAATGATTTATTGTATTTTGGTAAACTACATTGCAATATAGTCAACGAAGTTACCACTGCGCTTTTTAGACTCTGTACCCTTCAGCTGCTGGGAATTCCCTTTAAGAACCTTCTGCTTAACAGATCTTACGGCTAACTTGGTCCCTGCAAACAAGGAAAAGAATCATGGCCCAAGTCCAAGAACCCTCGCCACCTGTAGTTGACGCCTCTGATCGCATGTAAGTAGCCCATATACCAATTTCATTTTTTTAGCCCATTTTAATTCATTCAACACGTTCAGACCAGAAGCGCCTATTCTTAGTGTGACTCTGAGTTGTCCGCCCACGCTGGAATGGACTCGCACTCCGTTCCGCATCCAGTTCAAGGTGACATACCTAGGGGCTTCGGATAGTAGTACGCATCCAGCTGAGCCGATTATCTTCAATGATTATGGATTCTTCCAAGATGAGGGACTATGCCGGGGCACCCAACTCTTCCACCTCCACGATGACCGCTGGGAGGCGGTTGAGGACGATGAGGTCTGTGGTGGGGTCGCCTTTGTGGACGATCCCGATGTTGCCGTATGCCCTGCGAATCATGAAAACTTCATTAGCCTGGCGCCTGGGGAATCATGGACCTTTAACAGTTTGATCCAGAAAGAGGGGTGGAACACTCTACCTCTGAAGACCAAGCTGGGCGACAAGTTTCGATTTATATTCAAGGGAGGAGAGGTGGACTGGTGGGCTTGGGGCGGTGCTGAGCAACATCAGAATACCAGTGTCATGTTATCTTGCTACCAAGGAGGGCCCGTTAGAGACCCAGTAGGTAATGAGGGACGACCGAAGTTACTGGTTCCAGGGTCTAATTGGGTTCAGTTTACGGTTGTTGAGTAGCTTATGTCTGATAGCAAACGACGTGTAAGTGACGGAGGCCATACGATTGATGGTACTTCTTGAATGAGTAAATTAGCACAGCTATACTGCAATATCTCGGAGGCCTAGGTTAATGTTTATCATACTACCGGTATTGGATTGAACCATTCAGTAGAATGAGAGAATCATGTGTTGCCTAAAAGCGGCGCTGCTCAGGGAAGCTGCCGGCACCAGGATGGCATTGCCAGCTAGCCAGGCACTGCGAGGCCTGAGGCAGGTACTAGGGAGCGCCCAGGGAGCAGCTGTTGGAGTGACGCCACCCTGTTGGTCAGTGGAGAGACAGACTGCCCAACCCCCCGGCCGCCACCCACCAACCCGCAGGTCTAGGCGCCGAGGAACCCACGGAGCCCTGTAGCTTAGTACCTTAGGTGCTAGGCCTTGCCTTAGCGTCTCTTACATGCTGCCTCCGCTCGTCTGTCTGCGCATTGGTCAACGCCAGATGGCCGATGAGACAGACGGCCTGGTGACCATCTTCTCTTCCTGCTGTGCTACCTCTCTCTCTCCCTCCTGACTCGACCTTCGTTCCAGCTGCATCCCCGCTACCTCTCTCTACGTTTTGCCGAGCGGAACGCCGCCAATTGAGAGCTGTTCCTTGTCGGGAGCTGAGCCCACCCTCCCCAACAAGCAAAAGCGACCCCGCCCCCCAGCTAACACAGAAAAAAAAAAATCACCGTACTTTCACCACGGAGCAAGAGGGCAGTAAAGCAGCACAATTGCCATGTCGCTCAATGTCGACAGCGAGTACCGTCGGGGTCACTCGAGGTCCCGATCTCGAGATGATCGCAAAAGAGACGACAGAGGCCCAGCAGACTCGACAAGCTACGTCTATCCCGGAGACGACTCGAGCTACCAGAGGTCCAGGAGCCGAAGTGACGTAGGCTCCTCCGCCCCCAACGGCAGTGGCCTGCCATACCCAACCGAAGGAGGGCTGTCAGAAATGGTGCCGGGAACTCACTACGGCTACGACCCGTCCATGCCTTCCTACACCTCGGCTCCGACTTCGGGTCCCATCTACAGCGGGAGCTCGCGTGACCAGGCCACGAGCCAGCCACCTGGCGCATTCCCGAGCGACGGGCACCAGCTCGATCCTCACATCCAGACCGTCGAGCCGCCCGCGTCGAAGAGCGACAAGTCCAAGAGCGACCGCCGTTCCCAGTACGGCTCCGCCGCCGACGCCGATAGATTCAGCAGCTTCCTGCCGCAGAAGTACGGCAAGCCCAAGGACAAGGAGTCCAAGCCTGAAGCGAGCGAATCCAAAAAGGCCAAGGACGACAAGTTCAGCTTCCTGCCCCAGAAGTACAGCTCCAACGCCGACGAGGACGAGAAGCGTCGTTTGCAGGGCCACGCGCCGAGCCCCAGCAGCAGCTCGCACAAGTTCGACCCCTCCAAGTATCTGGAACACCCGGGGCAGTCCGTGAAGTCGTACATTTCCGATCAAAAGGATCGTCACAAGATGAAGAAGGAGCAGCTGGAGGAGGACCTGGCCTATGGAAAGTTGCCTCCGCAGGAAGCTGCTGCAGCCGGCCTCGGATCGTCTTATTTGCCTCGTCCCTCGTCGCAGGTGGGAGACAGGCCACAGTCGTCACTTCATCCCGGACACGACGACCCGCGTTGGTACCGGCCTACAAGCCCGGCCGCCAGTCAGGCTGATCCGAGGAGACCCCATCGAGACTCCTTCCACGGGGAAGATCCTCGAAGCTCTCAGCCTAATGTGTATACTGTGGAGCCGCCGCGAAGCAGCAGAGACCGAGACCGGTCTCATGAACGCAAGCGAGACAAGTCTCGAGATCGCGGGTTCCTTACGGTGGACGGTCACCGCAGGGACAAGTCCAGGGACAGGTCAAGCGACAGGTCGAGAGACAAATCGAGAGACAGGTCGAGAGACAGGTCAAGGCACAGGTCGAGACACAGATCTAGATCGAGGAGCAGGTCGAAGGAGAGAACTAGCGACAAGAAGAGCAGTCGCCATGACAAGTCTCCAGCGCCATCCTCTCGGATGTCCAAGTTGTCACTTGGCACAGGAGCCGCCACTTTAGGTGTGGCTGGCATGGCCATGTCGGGCGGAGCATCGCCGCTGCTTGAAGCATACCGTGGTACCTATCAGCAATCCTCGCCTATGCCATCACCTCTTCTTTTGCCGACCGGCCACCCATCTGACGTTGAACCGCTCTCGCCTATCGCATCAGATGATGACGCAGAAAGGAGACGCAACCGACGGGCTCGATTCCATTGCGCTGAAGATAGCGCTGAGCGTCTGGCAAAGGCCCTCAGGGGCGACGGAACCCCAGACAAGGAACCACTCATCGAGATCCTTCCTAGCATGACCCACGAGCAGGTGATGGAGCTTCGTGTTCAGTACAAGCAATTGGTCAAGACGGGATCGCATCGGAAGGGCGTTAATATCGCAAAGCACATCCGAGCCCGTCTTAAAGATGAGAACCCCAACCTCATGAAGGCCTGTTACGCAGTGGCGCTGGGCATGTGGGAGAGCGAAGCCTACTGGGCCAACTTCTGGTACCATGGTGACAAGACCCGCCGAGAATTGCTCATCGAGTCACTCATGGGCCGAACCAACGATGAGATTCGCTACATCAAGGATGCCTTCACTGATAAAAAGTACGACGATAGTCTTACCAAATGTATGAGGGAAGAGCTCAGGGAGGACAAATTCAAGAAGGCGGTCATGATGGTGCTTGATGAACGCAGGATGGATGAATATGACTCTCACGGACGTAGAGTACCTGTCGACATGCAGCTGGTTGACGACGATGTGGAAGCCCTACGCAAAGCCATCAAAGCAGAGAAGGGAGGCGAAAGCTTGATGATTTCGGTTGTCGTGACAAGAAGCGATTCTCACCTCCGCGAGATCTTGAACGAGTACGACCATCGCTACCGCGCCAATTTTGCCCGCGATGCCCTCAAGAAGAGTGGCAACCTCGTGGTATGCTGAACCTTTCTTGTTTCTTAGGATTCTTTGCNCCCCCCGGTGATTCATTCTTGCTGACATATTTCTTCATGTAGGGCGAGCTCCTAGCTCACATCCTAAATGGTGTGATCAACCGTCCTGTGCGTGATGCACTTCTTCTTCACCATGCGCTCACTGCGTCCCGAAAGGACGAGCTTAGACACGAGCTGCTCACCTCACGCTTGGTACGTCTGCACTGGGATGCGACGCACATGGCTGCCGTGCGCCACGCGTATAGATCGCGGTACAACAAGTCACTCCAAGATGCTGTAAAAGAAGCGACTTCTGGCCATTGGGGTCAGTTCTGCCAGGAGCTCTGCATTGCCAGAGTTCCGAACGACGTCCGGAAGTTTGAAAAGGTTGCATTCAGTTCTAGGTAACGGTCGACATATAACGAGTTTATGAATCTACGAGCTAGTTATCCATTCAATATATGTTAATGATTTCTGCTGCACGTACTTGACGAGGTGTCTTTCTTTGACCGAGGAGCTCATTTTTTTTTTTAATTCTTATTCTATAGTCTCCAAAGACTGGAATCTATAATCTTCTCACTCATTTCTGAGTAGTGTTTATTTCTTTGAACCCTTCCCACCTCTTCCCTTCCCACCGCCTCCCCTTCCACCGCCCTTCCCTCCTCCAGAACCTTTCCCGCCTCCACCACTAGAGCCTCCGCCCCCTCCCGACATCATCACACGGACCTTTCCCACCGGTATGCTGTTGACGACCTCCTCGGGCTTGAGGGCCTTGATCAACTCCACCTCTCGCGGCCACATCCTCTCGCTATCCCTGGCGTGCTCGTCCACAACATTCTTCTTGCCACTATCCAGCTTTAGCCTCTCGAGGATTTCCTTGACCGCCTTGCCCTTCTTCATGGCTCCGGGCTGCAGCTTGACCTTGTACTTGAACTTGCCGAGGGCGTTCCAGGGTGCGCAGACCGGTATGAGCTCCGCAATCTCATCCCCCGGCAACGGCGTGCCAACCAGAGCATCGATGGACGCCAGCTTCTCCTCCTCGCCGTCATCTGGCAGGTCGACCCCCTCGTCCATCATTTGCCGGCGGACCTCTTCATGCTTGGCCGCCTCCTTCTGCTGCTTCTGGTGCTGGGCGCGGCGGCGTTCCCTCATCGCCTCCAGCTCCGCCTCGCGGTCCTCTTTAGCCTTGGCCTCGGCCTCGGCCCTCTTCTTCCCTAGCGCGGCACCGAGGACGGCCTCTGCGGCAGCACGGTCTTCCTCGTCCTGGTACTTGTACTTGGCGGCAATCTTCTTAGCCTTGCCCTTTTGGCCTCGCTTTGCTGGTGCTTTCTTCACGGAGCCGGGGCCATTATCCTTGGTTGAGGAGCGGGATTGCGCCTCGCTGGTGGGGTTTAAATCCTCTTCGTCATCGGGCTTCTGGTCCGGGCTTTCTTCTTCGCTTTCTGCTTCGTCCGCGGCCTGTTCAGTCAATTTCAGGTCCGAAACCTCCTGCTCGACCTGAGCCACGGCACTCTCTGCCTCATCAGCCTCAGAGTGCTGCTGCAGTGGATTGTCACGCTTATCCTGATCTTCATCCTCGCCCTCGTCTTGTTCCTGTTCGGACTCGTCGTCTTTGTCTTCTAGTGCATCAAGTGATTCCGCGGCAGTGGCATCGTCGCCTTCGTTGTCATTTTCGGCCGAGCTACCAACAGCCGCGGCTGGATCATGGAGCCTGTGTTTCACATGTCGAGCCTTGCTAGCATCACTGATCTTGAACATGAACCCAAGACCCATTAGAAGTTGGGCAGGAGGCAGGAAATTCTTGTTACCCTTGATCGTGAAACTACCCGGAGGTAAGATCTCCCCGGTAGATGCAGACTTGGACACCTGCTCTGCGTTTACCCACCATGCACCCATTCCAGCTTTGGAGTCCCATGCGTCAGAGGAGCAGACGGACAGTGTTCCTGCTTGGGATAATGTTGCAGGGGGGATTGGGGCATCTGGTGTGTTGAGATTGTTCTTGATGACGACACTTGATGCGCCTCGTAGATCAGCGTGGCAGTAAACATCTCCCTTCCGTAAATGCCTCTTATACAGCATTTCATTTTGCAATGCGTCTTTGCCAGCAATCACCAGATATCCGTCTGATGAGATGAACCAAATGAATTTTTCGAACCACATCAGCTGTCGAATAGGCTGTAGCAATGCTTTCTCCTGCTTAAGACCCTTTTTCAGGTCTTCGTGAATCCGCTGCTCTGTGTTCTTGAGGGCACGTGTCGATTGTTGCTGAGTTTTCTCCTCCTTGACAGCAGCAGTTTTCCGCTGGTCATAGTACTCCCTTGCGTTGCTCCACGGGCTCAAGCCCAAGTTGATGTCAATAGAGAGTGACTTTCCCGGCGTCTGGCCTCCCGCTTTTGAGCTGGTAGCGTCGTTATCTTCAGACTCACTGTCAGTCTCGAAAGGGTCATCGTCTTCGTCCTGTTCATCGTCTTCCTCTGCAAGCACAAGAGTGATTACATTTTCGTCAAGTTTCAACGGGAGCTTTATCACTTGCGCAACGGGGTTGCTACGCTTCTTTTCACGTTCGATGAGCTTTCCGATATTCACCCAGTCCATTCCCTGAGCCAAAAGGCCGTTGACTGCATCCATCGCTTCCTGGACCCATTCCACGTTGGCTTCGATGGCAGCAGCCTTGCGGAGGTTTACGTTCTGGACTTCTTGTAGACCCTCGATGCGCTTGGCTTGTTCCTGCCTAGCACTTTCAAGTCTTCGCTTGGCCTGCGCCTCTCTCTCGCTGAGCCTGGACTCCAACTTTTGTCCTTCCAATGATGAAAAAAACTCATCAACTGTTTGGTTGTACCCATCAAACTCCAAAACTTTGATAGACGGGTCTTCTTGGAATTTTTTAGGGCAAAATGGATGGAAATCTTCGTACAAGAGATTCTCTCGTCTGTCGTCGACCTCCTCCTCTCCACTGGAAGCGACCCGATACTTGGCAAAAATATATCCTTTGCATTGCGAAGTAGATATAATACTCTCAACCAGATCTCGAGCTTCGGACAAAGACTTCATCAGCTCATCCAAGAGCGTCTCACTAGCGAGGATATCCGCCAACGGCTTCGAGAGATCAAAGCTATTGGCTTGCAGGGTGTGGTCGACCAGCACGGGGGGGACTTCAGTGATGGCACCAGCGAGACTCTTTCTTAACTCGGCCCCAACCTTCGCTTTGCCCTTCTTCAACGCCGACGGGTTCTGGGCCGCTGCTTTGCTGACAGCTGTGGCTAATGCATTTTTTACCCTCTCCTTAGTTAATGGGGGTATGGTGGGGTAGTTTTGTCGGTTCTCAAGAGAGTATTGGAGGCCTATCCGTTGCGGTTCTTGGCCATCTGCTTCTGATACGTTACGCGCGATAGCCAGTATCTTCAATCCGGCGTCGGTCAAGATCAGGTTGCCGCTCTATGACTCAACGTTAGTTGGGTCACATTCGATAAGCAGCTCGAAGAGGGGAAACCCACAGCAAAGAACTCCAGAAACAAGCGGTATTGTCCATCGCTGAACTGAAATTCCAGTACGCGGTCTGTCCCGATTTGTGCAACTTTTGTCAACCTTCGAGTTTTAAGAACCTTTCGGAGCCGTGCTACAAATACGGAAGGAGCGGTGGCTGTGGTGCGCGCAAAGTCGGTCAGATGGCAGCGGAACCCGGTGTCGATAAGGAGTTGTTTCTTGTTGTCGGGTTTCGAGAACTTGAAGAGAAGGATCTTGGAGGAGAGGTCGTAGATGTTGGCAAGCCGCAGAGAGACCAAGCTTTCTTGGAGCTCATGGGCAATGACCTAGCTGGCAATTAGAGACCGGGCCACCTGGGCAGCAGGCATGGCAGTGCAACCTACCTTGACGTCCAACGACGAGAATCTTTGTTTCATGTTCAAGGCTGGAATTGACTTCCCGAGACAGATCCCAAGAATCCGGGCAGCACACACCAGTTTGCAGAATGATGATGCTCTACTTCCACGGCAGGCAAGCAGCCATACCCAAAACGAGGGGCACTTTACGATGGCGGGGCACAGGCGAAAATCGCTGCTGACATCACATCACGTGGGGAGCAGTTGTCCTAGCTCTCGCTCTCCTGGCCAGGGCGCCATGTTGTCAATGCAAGAAAGCTTCCTACACGGTGTTCATCTAGGTGAGCTACGTGTACTAAACCATCGTGGTGAGATCTCGGGACGTAGATCATCGTTCATGCTCATTGACCGCCTGAGGAACGGGCTGCGTTGGCGAGCTGGGGGGGGGCTCTATGCCTAGCTTGAATGCACGTGACTTGAGGCGTTGCAGCAACCTCGCAGGCGGTCCCCTAAATTGTCATGGATACCTACAGAGCACTGGGGCATTGGAAGCAGAGCTTGCGTGCAGCAACGACTGATAAGCAAGACATCTCTCCATTGGCCTCCGCCCCAGCTTTGGGGCAGCCCAATCCCCAGAATAAGACCCAGCGCATAACTGGGTGAGCCGATCGCAGCAACGCCGCGATCTTTCATGCTGACCACACACTCACAGCTCGCGCCCTATCGCCCAGGATTATCGACCGAGGTAAAACCTAGACCTGCCAGCAGCGCTTGAATGATAATTGCACATGTAATCATAAACTCTGCCGATTCCTACAGCCGAGAGGACGCGCCCGTTGCTGCAAAGGCCACACCCCGTGTCCTAGTCGCGTTGGACGGAAAGAAGGGCTGGCCCAAGCTGCGATTGGATGCTTGGGCCCACAGCAATTCAATGAGCTCCCAGGCCAAGGACGCTTGTTGTCCCAGCAACTGCGTTAGAGCGCAAGCTACCCCTGGTTTTCAGCTGAGCTTGCGCCCCTGAAGCTGGGTCCCCATGTGTCAACACGAGCGGGAGAGATGGAAGCAGACGCAGGAGACGGGGGAAGGTGGACGACAACAACAAGCAAGAGGAGCCGTGATCTTACAATCTTCACAGCCAGTGGCTAAGGGGGCGGGGAGACGACTTGCATGGCCATTGGGCCCCAATTGGCAATCAGATTGAATCATCATTAGCCCCGATGGCTGGGACAGGAGCTACGGCGATTGGCTCAAGGACTGGGGAAGTGCACCACCAGCGCCTCATTTACCAGGTTGGACGGCTCAGAAGTTGCATGAAATACGGAAGCTCTGCTGGAGAGATCCAATGACGGCGCTCCACGACACACGCCTTGATAACATAACCTGAGCTGAGGGCAGCCGAGGAGGTTGGGGCTGTCTTACTTCGAGGCGCCGGAGGTCGCGGCCTCCCAACCACCCCTATTACAGTGCATACAGTGTGTCAGGATGCCGCTGGGTGCGCGCGCTGTTCAGCACTTGCATTTGGCGATCATCATCAGCAGACGGGAGGGGAGCCCAGCCAGAACCAAATTGGTGGTACGGAAGCGCCTTGTCGTTGAGCAGGGCCAGGTAGAGAAGCCAATTGAGCATCTGCGCCATGGATAGTAATGATGGCGTCTGAAGAGCTCTTCTTGTGCAGACACACGGTACCACCGAAGCTGTCTGAACAGCTGTAGCTTACGCTGCTCTGGACCAGAAGCAAGGCGGCGCCTGGTTTCACCCAGAGCCAAGACAGACACAAGCCTATCTTTGCACAACACCTCCGCGGCCTCCAGTATGCATGTCGACCACCTCTTCGACAGCAATGTCACAAGCAGGCTCACAGTGCAGACGACGCGGACCCCCATGAGGCGCTGACGGTGGGCGATTCATCACACTACTAGACGACGCCATGCATCGGTAGCGTAGCAGTGGAGCTTGGTTTGGGCCGTCTAGGCCGCTTTGGACCAGAGTAAACAACAAGGGGGCCCCTGTCATGGTAAACAAGATGGCCTCAGGCTTGATACAGGCACCTCCCCTGGTCTGGTCGCCCTCCCGACCGTCGCAAAACACGCCCTTGGCCAGGCCAATGGCCACCCCAGCTTGCGCCAGTTCGCTGCCTTCAAAACCCATCCGGCCTCTCCTTTCTCTCCCCTCCAATTACTTCCCTACACATCATCAGCTCGGATTCAGACAAGCAGCAAGCAAAGAACTGGAAGAAAAGATCTAACAGAGGCCTCTCTCTTTCTTTTCTCCTTTCTTTCCCTTCGACTTTTGTTTCTTCAGGAACAAGAGCCAGAGGATCCTTCTTGTCTTCCTTTCGTGCTCTGCTACGGAAGGTTGTATGAGAAGATTCTCTCGCGCCAGCAAAAGTCGTCAACCTGGACTTTGAAGCCCGTGTCCCGGTCCCCTTCAGCATCTTTCCCTCCACATATCGGGACAGCGAAGCGCAGACCGCCACCGAGACCAAGACAGAGGTCGATATCAAAGTTCAGGCAGAGAAACCCGGACGGGAAGGTCAACACTCTTCTTCGTTCTCTGTCACTGCCGAACAGCCTCCTCGCCCAGAGCACCGCTACAGTGAAGAAGAGGTCCGTATCACACGTGAAGAAGAACGTCACCACCACCGTCCCGGTACTACCTTTGAGCACGAGCATCACGTCTACGAGTCAAGACGGTAAGCCAACCCTTTTCTTTCTTCCAAGTCCTCCCTCCCTGGCGCAACAATTGCGCCGCGCGCTCCAAATCCCTTGCCTCCCTCTTTCCACGCGATCCGCGGCGCCTCCTTTCCTGCTCCACCAGGAGGAGTGCAGGCGGCAAAATGCATAAGGTTATGTACGCCGAATAGCTCGGCTGCAGGGCCCCCAATTCGGCACTGTGTTGGACCGCTCAATTTGCCAGGGCTGGGGCCAACACTCATCACAACCCATAATTTCTTTTTCTGTTACGGCTGTTCACGCGTCACCGCCTGACCTGACCCCGGTTCAGGGGGGCTGGTTCCATAGCTTGGTTGTCTAAGGAACCATTCAGCTCACATCCCCTACCTACTGCTTACCATACCTACCTTACCTTCCCCTACCTTACCTACTTACCTACCTATTGCTCAACGCAAACTGACATCAACCTTCCAGCCCTGCTGCACCTCGCACCGAGTACACAGACACCCACATCCACGTTGACGCTCGCCCTCACCCCGAGCCTTACTCCAGCCCCATTGACCTCGCTGAACGTCAGTACCGCGAGCGTTACCGTCCCTCTTACAACTCCCAGACCTACGACGCTACTGTAGACGGCGTCGCACCTGGTCGATACCAATCCCACCACCACACTCAGGTCAACGAATACACCGTTGACTCGCGTGTGCCTGGATCCGCTCCCCGCAAGGACACTTCCCACTTCAACGAGTTCACCGTTGAAGAGCGCGTGCCCTCTGCTCCCTACAAGCAAAACACTTCTCACGTCAACGAGTTCACCGTTGAGGAGCGTGTTACTTCCGCCCCCTACAAGAACAACACCACCCACTTCAACGAGTTTACCGTCGACGCTCGCGTTCCCGGTTCTGCTCCCCGTAAGGACGTAAAGTTCTCCGAAGAAACCGTTGAACCCGCCCGCTTCTCTTCCACTCAACAAAAGTCCAAGATGGGTTACTACGACGAGGACGGTTCGTATTTTCTTGCCAATTGTCCACCTCTCTACTAGTTTATACTAATATTTTGTTGGAGATGCAGGTCACTACCACTCCTTCCGCCAGGGAGTTCACAAGCTGGCGGACCGCATTGCCCACCCCCGTCATGATCATGTCGAGGCTCACCACGGTCCCCGTCCCCGCCCTGGTGACTCTAGTGAGGCCTATGCCCCCAACACCGTCACCATCCCTTGCAACCACATCCGCCTGGGTGATTTCCTGATTCTCCAGGGCCGCCCCTGCCAGGTCATCCGCATCTCTACCTCCTCTGCAACTGGACAGTACCGCTACCTTGGTGTTGACCTGTTCACCAAGCAGCTCCACGAGGAGTCCTCTTTCATCTCCAACCCTGCCCCCAGTGTCGTTGTCCAGACCATGCTCGGCCCTGTCTTCAAGCAGTACCGTGTCCTCGACATCCAGGACGGCAACATCGTCGCCATGACCGAGACCGGTGATGTCAAGCAGTCCCTGGCCATCATTGACCAGTCCAACCTCCACGGCCGTCTCGCTCGTGCTTTCGAGTCCGGCCGTGGCAGCGTCCGTGTCCTCGTCCTCAACGACAACGGCCAGGAGCTCGCCGTCGACATGAAGGTTATCCACGGCTCTCGCCTGTAAACATTTTTTTCCTAATTCTCTTTCCCTGTTTTTTCTCAGATGAAAGCGCGTCTTAAGTACCCATGACGAGGCATCATGAATGCTCCCCGCAAGGTACCAAACAAGCGTGGCACATTTGTATTAGTCAATATGTCTTGACCGGATTGGGTTTTATTTTGCGTTGGCATCTATTGTTTCCCTAGGAGATTGAACAAGTAAGCTATCTTGGGATGAGATCTGGAAATACGGAGTCTTTTGAGTAGATAACAAGCTAGTTTCTGTGTACATTGGACGGAGAGGTAATGGGAAGTTGTTCCTTAAAAACTGCCGAGAATTTTCGCGTGAGAATCCAACTGGTGCATGCGAATTGATTTCAAGGATTTTGACCACAGGCGTCCATGCCGACTCTGCGTCAACAGTGAAATCCGATGATCCATCCACCCGGTAAAGCAATTGGTGAAGCCATCATCTCACTAGCTCAGTATAACGCGACTAGAGGTGATGATGCGTAGACCTTGGAAGCCTGACCCCAGATGTGGCCGCAATGGATGCGCGATCTTACTGATCTACAGTTCTACTTGAGGTGATGCTGCCCAAGCTTACATAGTCCCCACCAGCGCCGCGCACTCTCTTCGGACGCCCTGATACCACAAACGCGTTTGGATATCAATGTTCATGTTTTTTTGCCTGACTCAGTGTTCTGGTAAGGCAACTGAAGATGTAATCTTACTATGCTGGCCGAAAGTTTGTCTCGGACCGGCGCAACAAGTTTGTCAATGAACATGTACAGAAACTCGCCATCAATGGAATCATCTTAGATTAGCACTATTTACGCGTCTCACATTCTCGACCTACTTAGGCTTTTCACATATTACTGTATATCCAATTCTAATACACACCAAGAATACAGAGCGATAAAAATTCCATGTTGTCCAATGATTAGATCGTCGTGAAGGTGTAGTAGTGCTCTTGGTATAGGGTAGGTTCATGACTTGAATTTTATGGTCTTTTGATAGACCGCGCTCTAAACCTATAGAATAATGAACGTGGTATCGGATCTCAATTTATTCATGTCGTATGTACCTTGACGTGCCAAACTGATTGAAATCACCCATGAACTGTGGTTCTAGCGAAACACGATCATGTTTTGAGATCAAGCTCTGTCCGAAGGTGAGATATCTCCCTCGAGGATCATCGCATAGCAAATGCTTTAAGTTTGATGTTGAGACTCGGAGGGGGGGTTCCGCCATCTTGGCGCCTACCTACTCCTGGCCTGGACTGCTGTCTTACCATCTCTTGGACTTCAAGGCTATAGTAAATGAACGAGCCATCGCCAGGAGGGTATGTAGAGAGACCAACAAGCATTCGGTACGAAGCCAGCAGCTTGAGGAGGTCTCATCAGCACGTACTCAAGCCTAAATAATGCGACAAAAGTTAGGCCCCTAGGATTTTGTTTTGTTCAAGGAGGTATTCTAGCGGTTCTATTGAAAACAAACGCTCCGTTGGTGGTAGTTACAGTTTTTTCCCCCAAATCCCACTTCTCCCCCCATGCTTAGCCCTTGTAAGGTGAAGGACCAACCATCAGCTCGGGTTTGACAAGGGTGTCGAATTCCTCAGAGGTGAGAGCATCCAGCTCCATGGCACTCTCCTTGAGGGTGAGACCCTTCTTGTGGGCGTTCTTGGCAACCTTGCTAGCCATGTCGTAACCAATCTTGGGGTTCAGGCAAGTGACAAGCATGAGGCTATAGAGTTCAGTTAGCATCGTTTCGTAAATTGACAAAATGTTCTTAACGGTTGGGGTATTGGGGTGTTTTGACTTACGATTCCTTCATGATGCTGGAGATCTTCTCCTCGTTGGCCTGCAGACCAGCAACCAAGTTCTTCTCAAACGAGCGCATGCCGTCTGCGAGTAGCCTGGAGCTGTGTAGGAGGTTGCGGATGACCAGAGGCTTGTAAACGTTGAGCTCGAACTGACCGTTCATGCCTCCGATAGTAGTGGCGACGTGGTTACCCATCACCTGGGCGCAGACCATGGTAAGAGCCTCGCACTGGGTGGGGTTGACCTTGCCCGGCATGATGCTGCTGCCGGGCTCGTTCTCAGGGAGGATGAGCTCGCCGAGACCGCAGCGGGGGCCGCTGCCCAGGTATCGAACGTCCTGGGCAATCTTGGTGAGGGAGGTGGCCAGGGTGTTCAGGCTGCCGTGGGCCTGGACGATGGCGTCGTGGGCAGCAAGAGCCTCGAACTTGTTGGGGGCGGTCTTGAACTCGGTGCCGGTCATCTTGGTGACCTCCTCAGCAATGCCCTCGGCAAAGCCCACGAAGGTGTTGATCCCAGTACCGACAGCAGTACCGCCCTGGGCGAGAAGGCGGAGATCGGGCAGGGAGCTTTCGACACGCTTGATTCCAAACTCGAGCTGGGCGACGTAGCCGGAGAACTCCTGGGCAAGAGTGAGCGGGGTAGCATCCTGGAGATGGGTACGCCCGATCTTAATGATCTTCTTGGCCTCGAAATCGTCGACCTTGGCCTGGAGAGCATCGCGGAGGCTGCGCAGAGCAGGGAGAAGGTCGTTCTCGAGCTCAAGAACAGCAGCGATGTGCATGACAGTGGGGAAGGTGTCGTTGGAGGAGGCGCTGCGGTTGACGTGGTCGTTGGGGTGGACGGGCTTCTTGCTACCCTTGACTCCGCCGAGGATCTCAATGGCACGGTTGGAGATGACCTCGTTGGCGTTCATGTTGGACTGGGTGCCGGAGCCAGTCTGCCAGACGACGAGGGGGAAGTGGTCCAGGAGCTTGCCGTCGGCGACCTCCTGGGCAGCCTGCTGGATGGCCTTGCCAATGGTGGGGTCTAAAAGGCGAATTGTTAGCCATGCACTCTGAGGCCATGGGCCGACCTGGACTCACCAAGACCGTAGCGCATGTTGACGGTGGCAGCAGCTCCCTTGAGGATACCAAAGGCCTTGACAATGGCGGGGGGCATGCGGTCCTGAGGCTGGTTGATCTTGAAGTTCTCGAGAGATCGCTCAGTCTGGGCTCCCCAGTACTTGTCGGCGGGGACCTGGACCTCGCCAAAGGCATCGCTCTCGGTTCGGGTCGAAACTGACATTTTGCCAACGGTGTTGTGGAAGCTGCGGGAGGTGGAGGGGATTTTGGTCGAGGAAGACAGCTGGGCTCGTCGAAGGTAGATGGATGCGGGGGATTGTGTGGTCGAGGTCGAGGCCAATCGTCGCTGCAGGCACGCGGCAGCCGATGAGGAGAAGCATGTGCTGCTCGGGAGCGACTGGCATGACCTCACTTGGCCGAGGCCGGCAGCTCCTGATTTCGCCGACAAGGTTCGAAGCATGGCTGCTACTGCTGGATGGCGCTGAAAAGGGCTGGTTGGGGTAGCACCTGGGATTGCAGTTGGAGCAGATCAAAAGTGGGCTCTCTGGCAGACTCTGATGGTTTGCAGCTTCTGGCTCTTCGGGCTCGCGAGGCAATTGACGTTTCTTGTCCCGCGAGAGTTCCGGACCTCGAATAATAAATAATTAGTTGTTCAAGATTTACCAAGGTCCAGCACTCTGGCGGTGGATCTAAATAAACCGACTTCGGCTGAACTCGGCAGAGCAGTCAATGCGCCATTATTTTCCGATGCTGCTACCCTAAGCTGCTGCTCCCTGGTCTCGCTCAGCCTTATTTTCACGTATAATGATTGACTCACTAGTGACTGATGGGGTGGGATTCCTTACTGTGGCGGTGGTGGCTTGCTTGAGAGTCTCGCCTTCTGCTTCGAGTAGGATGTATTGTTGAGTTGGAACTGGAGTTACTGATCATATGGGCGATTACCAGTGTAAGCTGGACGAGTTTAGTTTTAGCATCTTCCTGGGGTCTTTGGCCTACTTATACGTCCTGGACCTAATTAAAGTTTCCCCTTGTTCTTATTTCTTCTTATTTCTTTCTTTCTAGGTTTTTTCTGGGGGGCATTGATGCTTGTTGCCCGGTCTATATGGTGTTGACTCTGATGGGTTTTCTGAGAGTTTACTACCTATTTCGGGTATGACCGCCGTTGGAATTCGTGAGAGAAAATTACCTAGTTAGTTGCGCATGTCTGCCCTCGGCCGTCCGCTCGCTTTCCGGCCGGTACTTGCCAACCGCGTCCTCCTTTCATCCGCCAATCTCATCCCCAATTGGTTCTCTCGATCTCAGCAATCCGTAATTTTCCCCAGAGCCAGCAGATGTATCGGTTGTTGGCAAGTGAAACACGGAAATGACCTAGAGAGAGGACCTTCCCCCAGATACCATGTTTGCTTGTGGTTGTTTGTAGCAATCCTGGCCCAATAGTCAAAGATGACTGACTACTTTAAGGGGGCCAGATGGGCTCCAAACGCCATTGAATATGACGTGGAACATGAGAAGTCTGAAGGAAATTGAATAATTTCCAAGTCAAAGCATGCTTCTTTGCCTGCATTTGATATAGTTGAAGACAGTCAACAAATATTGCGTATTTATCGGATTTGTACAGAAATCGGAGACTCCAAAAGTTGAACTGTTAATTGGACGAGGCTCGTCAGTTCCAGATCAGATGAAGAAGCAGGCATGCCTAGATCCCTCACGAGATAAGAGAAAAAGTAGCCTACAAAACTTCATATAGAAAGAAAAGTCATAGACTTAGACTTTTCAGTCATAAAGTGATTGATAGTACGGCCATTGGATAATTTGGAGCCAGTAGGCAACCCTGCTACTAGGAGATCCTACGCAGAAGCTCACAACGTCTTGTCGGCATGGCCGACTACTTGAACTGAACTTCGATGCCCTCAATCGCATACAAAATCCCCCCTTCAAGTTTTTGTATCGTCATTGGCAAGTTTTCGTAGGTGGAGATGCCACTGGATCCGAAGATCATCATCGGACGAGGAATTAAGTACGAGCTTTGATATTATTATCGGACAGATTCTAAGTATTTAAGACTGCCTCGTTATTCGAAGGAGAATAGATATCTGCATATGAATGAGTCATATTGTGGTAAATTCTTCTTCCTCACACAAAAATTCGAGCAAGATGCGTGAAAGCGAGGATTGGCAAGATGATGAAGATCTGCTCATAATGCTAGATGATCGTTACAGCATCATGCTAGATCGAATTTATTACTTAAAGATACTACCTACAGTGTGAAGCCAGGTGAAAAGAGGGCATCTTTAATAGTCATTCGACGAGCCGCTGCCCTGACGGCAAGTGAGTCATCGGAACGAAGGTTCATAGAATTTTTCTGCCGTATGACTATATCCTGGGCGGGCTAGGAAAGGCTATATTTTTAAGCTTTAGTATTCAATGGGATGAGTTGTTGGGCCCTGGCAGCTTTCATTGCCGTTGAACTTTATTTTCTTTCTCCTACAATACTACTTGCAAGACTTGACTGGCTTGAAGGGGAAAGGAGAGCTGAGATACCCAGATTGCCACCTGTACGACCCTGGAGCCTGGTTCAAGAGCACAAGAGCGTGAACCGGGTTCAATTCTATCAATTTTTAATAGCCATGTGATTGGGACACCGAAAAGGACATGATGAGAATCCACCTTGGGTTGTAGGACATACGGCTGATATATTTCCATGGTATTCGTTGTCTTAGTGGTTTGTTTCCCTCTCAACCATTCGACGAAGCTGCCCTTGTACGGTCAACATAGCTTTAAGTATAAGGAAAAAACCAAGTGTGGTGCCCAACACGTACTACATGAGTTGTTTGCTTCTATTTTTTCTTATTCTCGTATGTGAATGATACATAATATACTAGATAGACCATGCGCGTTCGTTCGTCGCCGTGATCGCCCTGAAAGGTGTGTCATGCTAAATCTGATAATGAGCGAGTTCTCAGTTTACCAGTCGCCAACATGCTATGTAAGGGCATCAAGTCCTTCCAATGTGCGGCACTTATATCGGAGGCTTGAATAACCTCCCATTCAGCTGCTCCTCATGTAGTCTCAATACTTGGTTCATAAATAACTCTACTTCTTCAATCATGACCCTGTCCATGTTGAGTTTCCTATAAAATCCTCTTTCAACTACGTCATGGCTGCTATAGAGAAAGGTTGTTCCTTGTAAAAACCTTACTGAGATCGCAAGGTAGTCCCAGCCTGTACCACGCTATGTTTCTCTTTGGAGTACGAGAGAACTAGGAGGATTCCGAAGCAAAAACCCACTGTTCTACCGCGTGGAGCCTGAAGGCTCATTCGAGACCCTCGCAAGATTCGAAAGTCAAATCCTCTACGAAGGGGAGTCGATATAGGCTGGTAATCTCGCTCTTCATGATGTGCACAGGGAAAAGACGGTCAAGGCAGTGGGTCTGCCCTGGATGTGCTGCAAGAGACGTGTCATATTTCACCGAGCTGTAAAGCATGCATGTACAGGCAGACAAGAAGATCAATCCGATAGGACGTTGGCGATGGTGGCATGTGTGGAGTGCATGACTGACACAGAGATGCCGCGGTAACGGAAGCTGATACCACCGGACTGCAAAGCAGGGGGCCTTAGTACAATAAGCGTACATGCCGAGTGTCTTAGTGTTGCTTTGTGCTCAATCTTCTTTTACCTTGAAGGTCCATTCGTGTGCCCTGGTACTACTCCAGAGAGGGAACACTGGGGCTGCAGGATCTCATCTTATGGATGCCCAAGCAAGGTTTACTGCCTAGCCTAGTCCCTTGTTCCTGAAGCCCAATTTGAGATCCAGCGGCTAGCTAGCAAGAGGGGGACCAGCGGGACCACTGTTCCGGGTCCGAGTCTCGCGCGCCTTTGAGGCAATACTAAGGGTGTACGAAGATAGCACTGATAGAACCAGAACACACCGAATCGCAGTGCATTGAAACAACAATGCAAGCAGAACCTCGGGAGTTACATTAAGTGCGAGCAACATTGTTTGATGGCATCAATCATGGCGATGATGGTGTCGCTATGGAGGGATAGCCCTGGCTCCTGTTGAGATGCGCCGCCGGGCGTTGTGATATTTCCGAGCGGGCGCAACTGTTGGGCACACACCACAGAGCCACTGGAATCGCCATCCCAGACACCTCCACCACCTGCATCGCCGCAGCGGTAGCAGTAACACATGCCCTCGCTTCGCTGCGTTGGACGGGAGGAGGCGACGGGAAAAGTTTGCTGCCGCCAGTCCTGAACAAGCAATGCGGCAGCGAGAACGACACTAAGCATCAGACCTGGTCCCTGAATCTGAATGGGCCTGATCTCTTCTGTCACCTTCTACCTGCCTAGTCATAGGGCAGCCATCCATCATCACAGTACCAGAATGTATGTGTGATGTACCTCAAATTTCACAATTGGGGTCAGCCTTGGGTACTCAATGGCAGGAAAAATAGCGTTGTTGCTGCTGCTGCTGCTGCTGCTGCGTGAGGAAGAGTGAGGTGGCCCAGGCAGTATCCCAATGGCAATGTTTGACGGGCACTTGTTCATGCGCTACGGGCATGATGGGCGGAGGAAGCATTGCCGAGGCCCTGCATTGAAAGCTTGAGTCGATGCTTGGAACAGAGCTATATCATGTCAAGTGCGGATTGAGTCAGATGAGAGGAAATGTAGGGTAGGGGGCGTGTCTTGCCCACACGCGTCTCCATTCACAATGTGATGACGTCCGAACTTGGGCTGGATGCATTTCGTGGCCAAGAAAAATTTCAGAACGCATGCCGAAGCCACCTCCAGGGACCTTTGGCTGAGCTGGATCCTTCAATGCTCCAGTCAGAGCCCGAATCCCCGTAGCAGGCACCGTTTCGCCAGCGACTCAGCAGGTAACTTGAAACGATACAGAGTCGCTCAACAGCGTCACGCCTATTTTTAGTGAGCCTACTCGTATCTAATCTGGGTACATAGCTTCCATTGCTTGTCTACCTACCTAGGTAGGTAGCTAGCTTTACTGAACTGTCGATGGCCAGGAATGACGTGCAGAACAGCATACACATCCCCTATCAGCTATTGGGTTTCACCAACTCATTGACAGGTGGTCTTGTCCGCCTTACAACGTACACAAGAGTCCATGTGCCCACCATCTCGGGTCAGATCGAGCCTTGTTGTACGACAAAAAGAGTGACTGATTAGCAGGTGGCTAATTTATTTTCTTGCTATTGATGTCGGGCTGAGGGAGGGAGGGAGGGGGGTCTCGAATGACGTCGGATGGGCTCACCACCTGTGTGTCTCTACCAGGTATGTATGTACACACATATACTCAGGTATGTACACGAATACGCAAAACAATGCCCACTTATCGATCTGTGTACACAGGGAGGTAGTCGTTATTGTCGCCCACCCTTGCTAATAAGCTTAGCCAGAGACCAGATTCCTGCCCGCCCAATACTGCACCCATTGGCGGCACTGCGATCGAGCTTTGCCTCCATACCTTACCTCTATGCCATGGACCAGTCGCTGCCGGCTAACTAATTCACCTTGGTAGGTCTTGTTGAAGCTAGGAGAGCACTCACCGTTGATGCCAAGTAGAATGAGGTAGCTAGAAGTAGTTTGGGATCACTGTACACCGGATACGCCAAAATCCATCCATCAATGTTACCTACCTGAGCGGCACAGCCAGTACCTACTAATATCACTAATCCCGCAGTGAGGGGAAGATGAGAAAAGCAATGTTGCCTTGTAAGACACGGCTGGCCAAGCAGCTCATTACTAATAGTAAGAGCAAGCCGTGTGGACAGTGGAAAATGATGACCGAGCCTTGGTGGTTGAACAAGTACACGCCCAAGGTTCCTCCGGTTGGGCAGCTGGGCCATTGGCTAGCTGGCAGCTCCATCGATGGATGGGGTGGCCCTTGAGCTGTCAACGTTGGCTCACAGCTCTAAGACTGGAGGAGGGAGCCAGCCTGATCACCTCGTCGCCACACGATGTCACTAAAATTGGCAGCCTGATCCCAGCCCGGTAGCCACTGGTGGACGACACTAGAACAGGCCCATAGACTACCTGTAATCTACCTCCAGACACTTATGGAGTACCTCGAGCTGTCTGAAGACCTCCATGTTTGATTGTGGAGATTGTCTCGTGCGCCGGACGCCTAACGGACCTAGTGGCCGGGGTTTGGGCGGAGGCTCTGAGGCTGGCAAGAGGGAAAATGAAGGCCTTTTTTCACGTCCGGCGTCATCGTGCCCCGTCTGAGGCAGTGTGTGTGAGGTGCACATACTATGCAATACGTTCCCTGTAACAATCATGGCCGTGTTCTTAGTCTCGTCCAGCCGGGCCCCCAGCCATCTGTCCATTTCTCTCTCTTAAAATTTTGCCCAAGCAATAAATTAATCGATTTGCATTGCTGCTGCCCCAGTCCGGATCTACTCTTGCCTCCTCTCCATTTCAACCCAGACGACAGGGCCAAAACTAGCTACAACAGAACAACCGCAGCATCACCCGCACCAGATTCCTCAGCCTTCACCATACGGCTGCTTTCCTCTTCTCTCCCCAGGGATCCGTTTATCTCCTTGAGTTTCAGCGCATGGTCCAGCACTGAGCCGGCCGCTGTTCTATTGGCTTCACAAGGCACAGCCTCTCGCCCATCTCCGACACTCCAAGGGAACGGGAGAGATCCGGGAAAAGCAAAAAAAAAGCGAAACCAGCCTGTTGGTCCAGCATTTCCCTATTTGCTGACGGGTTCGTGCCCAGCCCAGCCCAGCGCTTGTTGCGGCCAGAGCTGCCCCTCTTTCCTCGTCCCCAGCGGCGTTGCAGCTGCAGGTGCACCCACCAACCACAGAACCAGCTCACATAATAATTTCACACCACACGACCGACCCCTCCTCCTCTTCGTCTCGCCGCCACCAATTCCTCCCGGCCAATCTCTCCCTCCAAAACTTTCTCTCTTTGCTCCTTCACCATTCAATATATTTATGCACACATAAACGCCCATATAAATATCTCCGACCGAGTATCATTGCTTCGACGATTCGGCCTGAGGGCCGTCCTTGACTGCATCTTACAAATCCACAACGACTCACCATCGAGAAGCGCATCGCCGCCATGACGGATCGCTATGTTTACGCTTCAACCAATGGACGGTCGTCCACTTTCAACAACCCGGAAAGGGCTTCGATGCCCTCGAGCATCGGCTACAGCTCGCTCCACGCTGGCGACATGCATGTGATGCCGGCCTCGACAAGACAACAGCCTATTACCACCCCGCGAGGCTACACAGTTGCGTCAACAACGACCGCTGCGCCTACAAATAACCGCACCTATGCCTACGAGGACCCCAGGGCTCAAGAAGCTGTGGGTTATGAGACTATTCGCAACCGCAGATCAACTATAGACTCGAACGTCAGACCCCCGGTCATCATTACAACTACACAAAAGGATAGGCCTCATGGCTCCTCTTCAACGGCCACTAACGTGCCTACTTCATCTCATGCGCAGAATCGTGGCTCGAGTCCTGTTCGCAGCAGCCTCCGCGTGAGCGAGACTCAGTTCAGTTACGCCCAGCCAGCCTCATCCATACGCAACCGCAGCGACTCAGTACCCTACCCCAGAAACCCGGGAGACGTCGATGATTACTCGCGGCCTAGAGATCGCTCCGATAGCCTCGCTAATCGCGATGCCGAGGCCTACCGCAATTCCCGGCCATCCGTCCTTTATAGTGCTCCTCATCACAGCACATCCACTATCAACTACGGGGATGAGTATCAGTACACCAACGCTGGGGAGCTGGTCAGATATGACCTTGATCATTCCACCACTCCCGCTCGGTCTCGTAGTAAAAGGGAGAGCTTTGACCGCGGCTACTATCGACCCAACGTTAGCTACAACGCGGATCAGCGAAGCTTCAACATCAATACCAGTTCCGACCAGAGCCGGAACTATGGCATGAATACCAGCCGCCCATATGAGGGACGGGGCGGCCCTCCAATGACCACCCGTGGTTTTGACAAGATCGAAAGAAGTTATGACGCACCCAGAGAGCGTGATCATCATACCCCAGTTGCGGCATTACCGCCAACTCCCACTCGAGGTGATGTCCCGGTAGGAACCGAGAGGCGCGGTGGAAGACGTCTTCCCCGACCCGTCTCACTCTACCAGGACGGGACTCCCTCATCAAGTCACTTTGAGGACTTCCACCGTAGCCGTGATGATGAGAGGATCATGAGAGAAGCTCGGGAGCGAGAACTTGAGCGACCCCGTGAGATTGGATACTTCCACGATGATAATGTGACCTCACGTGGCTTCGGTATCCGGACCGCTCCAGCAGATGATCACCGTGACCATCGTCGTGATACGAGGAACAATGAACCACAGAAGCGATCCAACGAAGAAGTTCCCTCGCGTGAGCCTGGCGTGAGACGTGAATCTAGGCATCGTGACCATCGCGACGTGAGGAGAGAGGAGCCGCAAATACGATCGAATGAGGAACTATCTTCCCGAGAGCCCGACTTTGGTCGTGACTCTAGGCGACGGAGCAGAATCGAGGATAGAGAAGACCTGCCTCCTCCAGAATCTGACCTGAGCCGTGATTCCAGACGGCGAAGCAGGGTCGAGGACAAGGAAGATCGTCGCGAACAACGCGAAGACAAGAGAGGACGCGATGACAAGAGAGGTAGCGACGATGACAAGGAAAGACCAAGGGACAAATCTCGTTTGCGCGACAAACTGGCTTCGGGGGTGGGCATTGCGGCAGCCGCCGTGGGCCTCGCCCCCATCCTCAAGGATGACAGCAAAAACGATAAAGAGCCAAGACGGCGCAGAAGCCCTACTGACGATCGCGATGTCCAAGGGGAGCCCAGCAACGTCGAGAAGCGGAGTAAGACTGAAAAGGATCGCTCGCGTGAACAATCAAAGGACAGAACTCGTGGTCGGGAAAGGCGAGAATCACCCAAAAACGATTCAGCACCTAAAGACCGCCCCCCACGGAATACTGACATCAAGCCTAATGGCGAGGTTTCCAACTCCTTGTCGGACTCGGGAGATGCCAAGAAGGACACGCGCCGCCATCGCACGTCTGCTGCGTTCAATCCCAATGACGCGGGTGAAATCCACAAGCTTAGAGAGCAGCTGGCTGCTATGAAAACCTCAGATAGCTCTGAGAAGTCAGAGAAGCCCGAAAAGGCAAAGAGCAGTGACAAAGGCAAAGAAGTAGAAAGGGAGCCTGCTATTGTGACCGAGTCAAAGAGCAAACCATCTCGCTCGCGCTCACGTTCTCGCTCTATGTCTGAAGCCAGAGATGCTAAGCTCAAAGAGCTTATTGAGGAGGACTCCCGAGGTCGCGCCTCTGGCATGTCCGCCATCAACGCGTTAGCCGAGCAGGGCAAATCGGTTCGTGTTGTCTCCCCTCCACGGGAAAAGCCTGAGGAGAAACCTCTTAAGGGCATCCTCAAGCAACCCAGCGCGCGTTTCCCTGAGCAAACAAACTTCATTCGTGAAGGGGCTGCACCACATAAAGAAGACAAGAAACTTAAGGACGCCCCTGCTGGCGCCCGGTGGACAAAGATCAGCCGAAAGATTGTCAACCCAGAGGCGTTGACAGTTGGCAAAGAAAGGTTCGAGGTACGAGACGACTTTGTGATTGTCCTCCGCGTATTGAACAAGGAGGAGATTCAGGCATATGCCTCGGCTACGCAAGTTCTAAGGGGTAAGCTACATTCCACATCCACCGCATTCGCACAAGTGTCTAACATATTCCACAGACAGACGACGCAACGCGCGTGAACGGGACCGGGAGGGAAACGACGATGACAGCAGCGATGATACCCGTCGTGGCAACCGGTCGCACCGGCGTGGAGATGATGAGAGCAGCGATGAGACAGAAGACCGCGACCGCGAAAGGCGCAGGCGTCACCATCGCCGCCGGGAAGATTGAGATAGTTATGGTCTGAGGAATACGGGATGAAAACCTCCTCCAAAGTAGTTGAAATGGGGTAGGGTTCTTGCAGGATGGCTGAAGCTCAACATGCGAAAGGTATGGTATATCTGTGAAATTTTTGGGTTGGATATTTTAGCTTGCGAGCGTTTTGTCACATACTGTTGGTTATATTGGTGATGTTTGAGCGTTCTGCATTGCGCATATGGGATTGAGTAGATATAAAACGACAAGGCAAAAAATTCCATTCAACCTTTCAGTTTCATCTCTATTTGGCTGAGGCTCACTGACTTGACTTTTACTTCTCAGCACCAACTTACCTCCGCAGAACAACTGAGTGAATGAATGAACAACAAACATCCATGTGCCTACGCCTTTGGGATAAACTGAATAAAGCATCTCATGCATAACAGAATAAGAAACTCCCATGATTTACTAATCACCAAGTGTCGGTCGGAATACAGAAGGAGGAAACCCCAAGTCATCCTCAGAGAATACGAGGTGGACATCGTCAGGTATCAACTCAAACACATCATCCATTGGGACGTGCATGGGCATTGCAGACAAACGTGTCGCAACTTGCAGTGAAATCCCCCCTTCCGCCGCATGTCCCCCTTCGCAACGACCCTACAAGAGGCAACAGCAGAGATGGGGGACTGAAAATTGAGGCAGAGGGGACCCTTTGCCCCCTTCCCCCCCCCATCGATGTGACAACTGTCACTACTCACCGACATATTGTGCCCACACCCTTCGAACACATTTCTCGGTTCTTTTTTATTCCCTCTCGCCCAAACCTCGCAGCATAGTTATGTAGTCCCATATAAACATGTCATGGGACGACGGAGAGGTAGGAGGAAGCTGGGCTCTGTTATCCCCTAATCCGCCCTGCGGGCCATCAACCGGCCGAGCTAGCGCATGAGACACCAACGTGTACACGGACATGCATGTCACATAGTTGGGGGGGGAGGGGTGGTCTAGACGACGGTTGGGAACGTGTGAGTGAGTGTGTGAGTGTGTGAGTGTGTGTATGTGCGCTTCGATACCACCACCTCTGGCTATCTGTGCCTCACGTCCATGATTTACGTCCCGCTCCGCCAAATCGGATGATGCGCGAGCGCCTCGGGGTCTAGATAATGCAGCACACCTTTTCTCTTTCCTGGTGGTGTCCGCAGCTGCACGTCGTGTGGGCATTCCCCATCTGCACAGCTAATGTATAGTTGTCTTTGCCCTCGAAGATGTGTGTGTGGTGTGGTGTGTCGACGAAAACCCAACGGCGGCAGGTTGGCCAATTGAACGGGCCGTTTCTTTTTTGGTTTCTTCTCTTTCTTCTGTCGTACACCAACCACATCACATGAAGCTTAATGGATGCACCACGAGTAAGGTAACGCACAGGAAGGTGACCTGGCGCGAGCTACATGCAGACCTCTCGCATATTGGTCCTGAGTAAAGTAGTGGCACGGGCCCTCGAAGGTGTACACACAACACAAGCTCGGCCGGGACATACATGAACCTCCAGCGTGGGTGGATGCGTCATGTACCTCTGCCTTGGTCTGAAACCGCTGTCGCCATTTGTAATCATTACCGTCCATTCACTTCGACCGCCAGACGCGCATCTCGAGGAGGTTCTGTCCAATGCGGAAATAAGCTCTAAAGTCCAAGCCCGTGTCTCGAAACGGCAAATGCAGCAAGCAAGAGAGCAAAGCCCACCGCCTAAGCAGTTGGACCAAATTAGAGAAAATGTGAGCAGAGTACAGTGGCAAATGCCGGCCACGCGCTGGAGAGCACACACACACACGCGGCTCGAGAAGGAAAGGGGGGGGGGGCGTGCGGAGGTGTGCTCGAGGTGTGCTGCTGGTGTGTGTGTATATTGGCCGGAGACAGCTGGCCAGACTCAAAGAAGGAGGAGGACAGAGCCGGAGGGCGGGATTCCACCCCCGGGGCTTCTGGTGATTTCTCGCAAACCTTTGGCATCGCCAGCGGGAACTTGCTAGGATGCCGGAGACAAAAAGGACACCCGGCCATGGGCACGGCTTGGGTAGGGGAGGTAGCCTGGGTAGGCAACAACGCGCGACGGGTAACGAGGACGGATCGCCGATAGCCTCTCCAACGCTGAACTGGGCAGGGTTCAATGTTGCCAGCGTGTGGAGTCTTGGCCAGGCTTTCCGGCCTCCCCCCTTCGCGCTCGCCCCTCTGTATGACAATGGCCGACAGCTTGTTCTGAGCGAATACCCTGACGCTATCTGTGACGAGACCGAGATGGTGCGCGCGCTAAGGGGTGGAAAGCAGGAGGTTCGACGTGTTGAGAGGCAATGTGATGGTGGTGTGAGTACCTGCACTTGCGCGTGGACAGGGACGAGACGACAACTCAGCACTCCCTCCCACGCCAATCTTGCAATTGCGTCCGGTGGTACCTACAGCAGCATGTACTGTACCTGCTCTGTGTGTGCTAGCCATGTAGGTGATGCTGTAGGTGCCCCCAATATGTATCCTGCAGCGCAATGCAGCGCCGTGCAATGCATTTAAACGTCTGGCCCATCAATGTCACCCTGCTGGGTCCATGTCCCAGATGGTCCCATGCTTGCCCCTCCTGCTTCCCCTCCCCTAGCCAGCACGATGCTCACAACCTTGGCGAAGAGAGCATGCAAGTGACAAACCTAGCTAGATCTATCTACACAGTCAGATGGATGGAGATTGGGCAGTCTTTGATCCCTGGGAAAGGCAAGGCAAGCTCCGTTCCGCAGCCATCCGTGTACATTGCCATCTGAGCAGTGTATGCCTCAGATAGGTAATTCTGCAGGTAGCTTGGGAGCCAGCCGAGGGAACTAGGCAAGTAGCTCCTGATTTGATGATGTAGTTTGATGGGGTGGCTTCGTCTCCTCCATCAGCTTCCCACACTCCCTCTCTCAGCAGCCGCCGTGCCATCTGATAATGGGTACCGCCCATGCTGCTAAAGACAGCAACCACCCGCGGCTGCGTATGGGATGGGTGGGCAGGTAGGTAGGTAAATAATTAGCCTACTGGGCATGGACTTTTTGGTGGGTGGATGGGTGCTAGGCCAAGGTTCTCCGCTTTGCAACGACAGTGGTGTCTGTCGGTTACCAGTAGAACGGGTCTGACCACGACAAGACGAGGAGGAAGAGACAAGCAGCAAGAAGGTGGGTGGGGGAGCCCACCCTGGTGCCAACGTCGACGAAGGGTCAAGGCGTACACGGTTCGTGATGGCCTTGTGTGTTGGTGACGAGAGGCGGTATCGATCTCGGCTTTACTTTCTCTTCTCTGTCATGTCTCTTGACGCATCGTGCCTAGTGCATGCGCGTGCGTGAGCGAGCGAGCTCGCACTGGTGGGCGCGCGGTTATCCCCGTCTGCTCGCATGATGAACAACTCTTCTCTCATCTGCAATTTCACGTTGGATCATATTTCTGCGCCTCGTGACAGGATGGCCAAAGCAGGCAGGCACGCATGGGCCATCTGCAAGAACCCGCGGGTGTGAGTCCGTGGGGAGAGGAGCGAGATTATGATGCAGAAACGGGACACCTTGAGACTCCCGGTCGGCCGCCGGTGAGCGAGAGAGCGGCAGAGCTCTTGCTGCAGATGTTGACCGCCTTTGGGCAGTAATAGCAACAGCGTCTTATTCCCCGCGGTGATATACGGTGAATGGGTGTCAGATTGGGTGTCCTAGCGTCCATCCTCAATGAGCGAGTATTACGCAGATAGGCAAGTAACCATGTCGCGTACGCACGCTGCGTGCCCTCCGACAGGTCGGTATGTACCAGCGAAGTATTCAGGTACGGAGCCAACTCGCAGTACGTACTCGGCGCGCCATGAGAGCTGCCAATGCGTGCCGGGACGGTTCTGGCGTTTTAGCACGCGTCAGAGTTAGTCCCTTGCCACGCTCCGCCTGGGCAAATCATGGCACTCGGTCTAGGCTCACTCATTAGCCACATGTGTTTCCGTTAATACCAGTCCAATCGCGCGCCACCTGGTGCGTTTGGACCAGCCGTGTGATAGGCCGGATGCCGCAGCCTCCACCCCCATCAGCGGAATTCCTTATGCTGACTTCCTACACTTACCTGTTCTCGACAAGCGGTCTAGACGGCTTGCAGTATAGCGTGCTTTCTGACATCTGTTTCCTGCTGCCTGTTGGGCCGGGTAAGACCACGGCGCTCCCGCGGGGCGCGTTGGCTGATTCGTGCATGGTTTTCTTTTACAGTTCGATTTTCTGCGGAGCAATAGCGGGCTGGTTTTAGAGAGTAAAAGCGCGGTAAGAGGGAAAAAAAGAAGGGTCATGACACTCCTATAGCACCCTGCGAAGGATCTTAATGGGGACAGGCATCAATATTTACGAAGATGGAACGGTGAATGTCCGAATCGACTGACAAAGTGCTTCGAGCTATAATTCGTTAGCTTGCTATCAATATACGTCCAGACCGCTGTGAAGAAGTGGGAGCAGTGAGTCCGCATGCATCGGTACTTCTCACCGGCCTAGCAGACGGAACTGTTGGTTCATGACCTATTAGAAAAAAGCAAGCAAAACCGTTGAAATGATGATTATGCCTGGTCGGTTGCCCTTAATGGAATATCAGATCTCATGAACGATTATGGCCTTCAACCGTTGCGCATGGGGTCCTTCCCGTGGAAAACGGGGCACGAGGCCAAGAGACTATTTGGCTCCCTGTTCTGCGGGATTGCGAGGGTTCACGTTCCAAGACCCGCAGGCACGTCGTAACCTGCACGGGTACGAGGACGGGACCTGGGTTCCCTCACGGAGAAACCCTGCTCGTACCAAACTCCCCCTTTCTGGTTGGAGGGGACGAACCTGGGTCGGTCGTGGGAGAAAAGGGGGGCGGGGACGACAAAGAAGCTTGACAACTTTAGACCAACACCCCCCTCCCCTGCCCCTGCCTGCCTGCCGCCCACCATGAAAACCCTGCTGGCGGAGGATACAGGGCGGATTGAAGGGTAGTGGAGAGCCTGGCGCGTGTGGATTGGGCAGCATCCCTGCCCGGCACCATCATTGTGGACCCAAGGAGACTTTAGGGATAGGCGAAGGATGACGGTGCAGTTGGAGAAAGAAATTGAAGGTTCATCCAGTGTCGAGTTCAGGTGGCGGTCCAATTGGGCACCAGCGCGCTCACGCCAAAGAGCCAAAGTGGCCTGTCAGCACAGAGAGGGGAACGGTACGATCAATTGAAATTGCGCCCCAGTTTAAAAGAGTAAAGAAGGCGAGGGGAGAGAATACCACGTACGTGACCGGAGGGTTCTGGTTGCTGACACCAGAGCTTCCATTTGACGTCTCCGGCAAATGCATGCATGGGCTGCACGCACATAATTGTCTTGGTGTCTCGACGAACAGTTCACTCGCCAGAAGGCCTGTCTCTGCTCCCCTCTTAGCTACCGCGCCCCTCCACCCCCCAGTCATACCCTGTGACTGATCCTGGCTGTGGGAGGGATCAGTCCTCGGGAGCGAGCTGGGAGGGTGGCAGACGGCGTTAGGTTGGCGTCGTCGTACCGCCGCACCGTTGGCGTCTTTGGCGCTGTAATGTCACTGCCGTCAGGGGCTTCAACCAGGCTGCTGGAACTACCACCACGATATTATGGCCCATGATGCGGCATGGCAGGTAGGCCACATGCTGTTGTCGGTAGGGCTGGCCTGGCCTGGCCGTGGGAGAGCATGTTGCCCAGCGCCGTGCAGCAGGGGGCTCTGAGCATCTCGGAGCCGAACGAACGGATCTCTATGGAGATGGAGAAGTTGTTCTTTGGTTTGTGGATGGCCTGAAGCTCGGGTGCAGCCCTTGCGTCGGACAGGCCTTGAGCCAATTGGCAGCAGTTGATTGCTTTATTATCTCGTGTGACGGTTGCAAGTTACATCACACTGCCATCAGTGATGAACAGCTCCAATGCCTAGCTACCTGCGTACAAAAAAAAAAAAAAAAAAAAAATCCAGCACTCCCGGCGGCCGACCGGAAACACGGCTCTGCTCTGCCAAGGTACTCCCACACAGCACAGCGACCAGACACGGTCAATCTGACGCCTCGCTGGGTGGCTGGGAGAAAACCAAGTTGAAACAACACCCACTGCTGAAGGCTCTCGCTTGAGAGCAACAACTCGGTGTGTCGTGCCTCTCTGCTTTGGGGCGCGGGCGATCATCTTCCTCGTTTGGTCCGTTGCCGCGTATGCAGCCCCAAATTAACTGAAATGAGCTCCTCAAATCCGCCGCTCTGCCAGCCCAAGCCCACCCACACCAAGCTTAGTCAATTGAAATCGTACCATGGCGGGCTCTTTTCTATTGCCATTATTTGACGGAAAAGGATGGCCTATATTAGTAGTCATAGCTTCCTCTGTTATACCCACCTGTACAGAGGACAGTTGCGGAGCAGTCACCAACCTATCCGTTTATCTCCCTGTCCCAACGTCCATTACGGTGCAGTAGCCATCCATCTGTGGCGCACACGCAGTCTTTAACATGGCATGGCATCTTCCAAGATACCCGCACCTTGCAATGGTTCATGCCGGTGCTGGGTTGTTGTTCAAGCTGTGCCTAAAAGGTTCGATGCTGGAGGAGATGTAGACGTAGGGATTGGTATAGCCGGGTATTCCCGCAAACCCAATCCAACCCACGGGATAGAGCCTCCAGGACTAATACATACCGAGGGCCTTTTCCGTGTTCCCAGTACAATGTATTGTATACTTGCTCATTGCCCCCGGTGTGACAAGAAGATCGTCAATCGGCTAGAGCCGTGTCTCACTCAACCCAACGAGCAAGGAATGAATGTGGTCGTGCTGGAATATTCCGTATCCCATTGCAATACGAATGAATGAGGTACCAAACAGTCCCGTGAGGCTGGCAACATACCCTGTCTCAGATATCTCCTGTCAAGCTGCCATTGGGCATTGGGCGCGGTGCGTTCATCAGGCACATCTAATCAGCAACAGATCATCCGTGTATTGTGATCACCGAATCCCACAGTAGTGCCTTTACGATGCAGATCCTTTGAGTACCTATAGGCTGAGACGATTAGCTGACTGAATGATGATTTTGCCCATTCGCAGTTCTGTTCAATAGATTGAATCCCCTAGGGTGATGGATTTCCCCGCGCATGCAGAGATGCCCAGTGCAACTTGGCCCGACATGGTTACATCGATATGCATACACTTACATGTTCACTTGTCGATGCAACCCTTGCCGGTGGCTGGCTCGGTGTTGGTGTTTTGGGCAATCGATTCCAGCATGGGTGGTACCGTCTACAGATCACGGTTATTCCAGATAGAGTGCTTTCGAAAGGTACTTCAGTCCATGCAGCGGGCAGTTAGGGGCTGCAACGCCAGACCGTCAGTATGGCGTAACTCGCCATATGTAGATGAAGAGAGTCCCTTGTCGAGTGATCAGCGTTGTGGCGGCGGGTTGTAGCACGACGAGCAGCGTCGACGGTCTTGCCAGGTCTTGCCATGAAACAGGAACCCTCAGCAGCTCTTGTCGCCTCTTGTCGTGCTTACTATGCTGATCAACCGGGGTCAATCGGCGCCAGCTCCTTCGACAGCTCTGCTGCGGGTGCTTTGAGAGGCGTTCGGGCCCCAGCAGCAGGCCACACCGCATGCGGTGACGTCTCACATCGTGATCTGGAGGCAGGAGCAGGCTCTCGTCATCGTCATCGGTCGCGTTGACATTAAGGCTTCGGTGCCTGGGCCTTGGCGCATTAGACTTCCCTGGCCTGCCGTTGGAAAGTCTATCTTGTTTCAACGTTATTTGATCATGGGTGTTTATTCTTTGGAGCATCTGGAGGCGGTTGCCGTTTCCTCCCTGCTGCGCTAACGGTCGGGCCCATTAGCGCCTTGTTTCCGCTGGAATGGTGCGGTCTAGCTGGGGTGGACGTGGTGGTTAGCAGGTACAGGTACTGAAATCCGATAGACTGCGCTGATGTCTCCTCGGGGCCGACCCGAGTTTCTGTCACCATGCTCTTCGGAGGCAAAAACAAAAACAAAAACCAGGGGGCTGGGGCTTGTGCTGGGGCATTTGGGAGGCAGCGCATGGGGGGCAGGGGAGGGGGGCGTTTGGTTCGAGGATGCTGGGCCATGGTACCTACCGTTGGGACAGGCACCTCAGTCCCGTCAGTAACTGTGTGCAAGGACAGGCCGTACCGTGCCTACATTGGTTCCACTCCCAGTCCAAAATTTCCCCAGATTACGAGAGTAATAAACGTGGTCGAGCTGGGATTACCCGGCGATGTGTGCGTTGGGCCGGCTGCTTTCTAGAATGGTTCATTGCGGCGTTCTTGATCGAGAGGCTACGCAGAGCCCATTGGGCTTCTATCATCTGCGGCATATGTTGCACATTTAGTCGGTGGCTTGCGATCTCAAGCTTCTTGCAACTGGGTGCAGATTAGCATTTTCCGGATGGTGTTGGCTATCCACTGTCGTCCTCGTTTACCTGTGTGGATATCCATTGCCGTTTCCTCCGGCGGTAATTACGTCGTGATAAGTGATGTAGCCGTATGTAGCTTGTGAGATTGGCTCGAAAATATAAAGGGATGCTCTCTGAGCCAACTACTTACCCACTGCCTAACTGTTTATTTTAGGCACAACAAGAGACAGCATCCTACCGAGGCTCCATTTGAGATTTCCAACCTCAGCTGACTGTCATAATTACGCGAGGACATTATTCTCCCGATCACTCCCTACGACAGAGACTGCACAGCATCAGTCAAGTCGTCGTCTGGTTTGTGCACCCATAGGGTAGGTAAGTACTTTGCAAGGCCGCCAATCATCAAGGGCGCTGCATCCAAGGCGCACAGGAGAGAAATCTGTTCCTGGATTCAGGCCAGGGTTTAATTTCCACCATCTTATGTGCCTGCATGTGCTAAATTGGGTCCCGGCTGGTACGCAGGCCTAGACGGAGCAACCCACTCTCAGACAGTCATCGCAGATATTGACAATCTGCACAGTCTGTCGGGAGGGCTTGGCCATTTTTATTTAATACTACTGTCAATCAACGACTGACCCAACCCTCCTAGAACATCCCTCCCCTCGATGCAGCTACTCTCCCAGACTGCGCACCGCCCATACACAAGTCTGCAGGAACCGGCAATCCCCAGAGACACCAGCGCAGCCGGTGAACCAGGAGGCAGCCGTCTGTACTCTGCGACTCCCTTCAGTACCCCCACTCGCAGCACCAGTCCAGTGTTCCGCTGAACCCCAAGGAACCAGCAGCAAGACAAGGTGATACCCTTCACCCACAAGCCGTTCGTTCGTTCGAAGAGGGTGGTACGCACACACGCACCCGCCGGCAGCACTTAGTAGTTACTTTTTCGCGACCTCGGCACACGTGGCCAAGCGCGTCGAACCTGGCCTGTCCCTGCATCTCGCCGCTGGCCTTCGTTCTGGGTACATCTTGCAAACACGTCTCGTACGTGCCGCACCGTACCGCAGCCACAGCCGTTCTTTCCACTGGATTGGAGACATCTACCAACTCTCGTTGAGCAGTTGAGTTGGCCCACAACACTATAGGTTCGTGCAAACTGCAAATTCACAACATCACTACCCCCTTCAAGTCTTCTTCAACTCCTTATTTCACCCCATGGATAATATATACGCTGGCGAGGGTTTGAAATCAAATCCATGGTCCTGCATTTCTTATTCCTGACAGGAGGAATGCATCAAGTCACAGATCATGTTGATTGTCCAAAACCACGCATCTCATGCTGGCTGGAACTCATGGCATTGCATCGATAGCAACACTTTATCAACAGAAAGACTTGCAACGTGCTGTTCTGGCTTCAACAGACTTGACCAACATACCTCCTATACCGCCAGGCGTTGAATTCAAGCTAGCTGGTGTTGCGGTAGCACTAATTCGAGTCCGTGTTTAGAAACCGAAAAGGGAAGTCCGAGCCTCGAGGGCCATTCTGTTGTGACGCCAACACACAGCCCGAAGCGTTTAGAGGGAAACTCATAATAGGAGGAGTCATTAATTGGTATGTTTGTTTTCTCACCGTCTATTGCAATGTGTCTTCCGCGAAACTCCTTCCTATGCGCATGATTTGACGAAATTCGAGAGAATATTGGCAATCATGCTCAAGCGGAGAAAAGGGGTTATCCCCATGTCGAAGACACGCTCAAATAATGATCCATTTGCTGACCGTTTGCATTAAAATTGATCAGTTGGGCGATTTCGAGCTCCCCAACCCATGCCCGTTGACTCCAACGACATGTCGGCGCACGGACAGGCTCACGGCCATTTCATCAAGGCCGATCCTGGCATGGCCCATTCGGTATGTAATGTTTTCACGTCTTCTTTCCCCAGAGGGTCAAGCCCATGTTTTTCCAAGACACG